GACTAAGAACTGGTCCAAGTGTTAGTGTGGGGTGTGAAGCCCATGGTCTGGGCTTTCTAACAAGTCCTAGGTGATGCTGGCCAGGCAAAAACTAGTGGAGGTATCATCCTTTTGGTGTGGTGATGCATTGGGACAGTTTTTTGAGTTTGAACCCAGTCTGCATAGTTTTGAGTTTAACAAAGTTTAAAATGCTGTGAGGTGCTTACTAATGCTTACATGATATATCACATGGTCTATTCAAGCATTCATCATCATAAAAACAATGCCAAACAATGAATTGGGACCATCAAGGCTCCCTCTTCTACCCAACTCATGACACTATCCTCCTTGTCCATCTGGGCCATTTGCTCAGAGTGATCTCCATAGATATTGGTGTCTTCTACAGTAATGTCATCAGGGTATATGTATGTCCAACACAATCAAACCCTTAAAAAATCTGCTTTCAGTCATCCCCTTGCTGTTTCCCCCACCCATACCTCACATATTTTGCAACTAATCAGTACTGAGAATGCTGAAAATGCCATGATGGTTAATCTGGCACTGTAAATCATGACCAACAATCCAATCACCTCTTATCTGGTGGGTTTCCACCTCACCCATGCCTGACATGTTCTCCAACTAATCAGTACTGTGACAGCTGGAAATGCCATGGAGGTCAATCTGGCACATCAGGAGATGATGAACAAACAAAACACCTTTTAGCCAGTACATTTTCACCACAGTGCAACTAGTTTCAATGCTGGGGTGAGACAAAACTTCCACAGTACCCACCAACTAGCCCATCCTGGTTGCTGGAAAATTGGTCATACCCAGGGGTGGCAAGCCAACATTGGACCCCAGAAAATCCTACCAGTGATGACACACTTCTGGGGTCAACTCTCCCTTTGCAACCCATATACTCCAGCAGCCCCTTCCTACAAGCAATCAGTCTTCTCAGTCACACACATCACCCTGGGCCCTGTCTCCCCACTCCAGCATCCTCCAGCTAATCCATGGCATATATCACCAGCCACATTGCTGAGAGCTGTCAAGTGTTTTGTAGGTTCATTAGGTGCATTGTATCTGTGCATTGCCTGTGCCATAGATACTTTTCCAGTAAATTAGATTTCCTGCTGTCTAATGGGTTTGAACTTTGTACACTCAAGGCAGAACAAGTATAGTTGAGTAGGATATTTAAAGTTACAAATAGGCATATATGTGAGGATACATTGATTCATGACATCCCAGCATGCAATGGACAAATTGAACTGTCTTGTGTATCATGCCCTTGTCAATTCACTTATTAATTTTACAGTGTAAATGACTTGGCTATTGGTCAGCTTAAAGTCACTAGCCACAGCTAGCATAGCCACCTTAAAGCTGTGAGAAGCTGTGCCTCTGGCTTATGCTCAGCCCAGCTAAACCAGTGCTGGCTATGACTAATAGCCAGCAGCAACCCAAAGTCATGGAAACACTAGGCTGACAGTACTCAGCAAACCAGTCCACATTCCCTTCATGGCATGCATTCAAGTTTGACCTTGGTTCCTGGTGGCCCACATATCAGCTACAATGTACCTCACCCTCTCCATTCTATGCAGTTCAATCATCCATTGCAGCAACATACTTTCACCAAGTGGCTCCCTGGGCCAGGTATCCCACTGTGGCAGATGCCATGGGTCCCTTATAATTACAACACTATCATACATGGAGGATGGTACAACCATCCAGCAGTTCCCTATCCTCCTCCATGTCCACCATCTGGCCATGCATCTTACAGATCATACATGGAGGGCACACCATCAACCATGCCACAGCCACAGACTAGTAACATGGGACATCCAAACTACAACATCCAGCATGTCACGATCACTCATGTGCCAGATTACTACTTTGGCAGGGGAAGGTATGATGATTCTCACTTCTGCCATGACCTGCTCCTGTCAGCCAGACTGCCACTGTCCCAGAGTTTTTCAAGCTTATATGTTACCATTTGCATACATCTACCTTATTATTCTTGAGAGAAAACTTTTTTTAAAAGTTACCATGTGCTTCCAAGATCTCATGCACAGTATGTGTTGGTCATTGATACACATCATGTTCTGTATACCCCCAATACAATTAGTTTATGCACTACAAATCATACTCATGTGACCAAGCTCAAAACTAACCAAAGAAAACATATTGTATGGGATGACTGCCACAAAGAACACAAAAAAGCTCCAGTGAGACCCTCAGCATAGCCTCTCAGCAACATCAGTCTGCTCCAATGGACCACTGCTAGTGGCTCTTAAGAGCTACTCACAAAAATTTGTGGAGCCTGTACCCTGGATTGTCACAGAACACAAAAAAGCTTCAGCAAGACCCTCAGCATAGCCTCTCAGAAATGTCAGTCTACTATGGTGAACTGCCACCAGTGGCTCTTAAGAGTGACTCACAAAGGTTAGCAGAGATGTTGCCTTACATACAGTATCTAGGGAATTCATTATGGCATTGGAGGCTCACAGATGATGCAACTATTTTTGGAATTGGCACAAGCCCCACCCTGAGGAACTGCTGCCAAGGGTGTTCCTTGTACATTGTCATCACCTCCCTCAGACATCCTATCTAGTCTAGTCCCAGGCACTCAAGGCCCCTTGGTCTTACTCACTGCATCAGAATTTTACCCTTCTCCTCACAAACTCACAGAATTATTTTCCTCCTATCAACATGTTGACATAAATGTGTGAGTATGCATGAAACAGCATGGATATGTGTGTAGACAAGATTTATTATTGCATCTAACCATACATGTGAAGTACTGTAGAGATAGTACTTTTTGAATGGTTTCAGCAAAAAAGAGAAATGTTTCCAATGCAGTATTTCTCACTGTATGCATCTATGGATTCTGCCTACCATCATGTACAGAACCTTTAGAACTGCTGTCACATGCAATGTGCTGACCAAAGGATGATCCAAAGTTCAGAGAATGGTTCATAACCATAACACAGTCCAGAGATAGGATTTAGTATCCTAACATAGTCAAACAAGAAAGGAGCACTATAAAACAACTTCTGGTTTTATTTCAACAAGTTCTTTGCTGATTGAAAGCTTTTGAGTATGCCATATTTACAAAAGAATTAAGCCTTACACATTTGATTCTCCTTTGCAATATCCACAAGAACAGGCCTCAAATCTTCCACATTCTCACCATGCCTTGAAAAAGCTTCCTCAATCAGTTTAATAACTCTACCTTGGACACCTGATGTCTGATATTGCTCAACAGCCAGTGTTACATGTGCTTGAATATCTTGCTGACTTTCCTTCTTGACTTGCAACAAGAAGTACAAAGATTCAAACACAAGAATAGTTCCTGCTGTTATAAGTTTTTTCATGTCAAAAAACCTCAGATATTGCCTACCAATGCCATGTTCTGCTATAAACCTCATTGGAGATTTCAATGAAGTTGATAATGCAGGAATAGTGGATGTTGATGGATTGTGAATGAAAGACTGACATTTGGCAACCAGATATTGACCCCAAACAACAGTGAGGAAAAAAGAAACATACCATCTAAGTGGTATTTCACAGCTATTATGAGAGTTGACATGAGGGGGAGATATAGCCACAAACCAGCTGTAAAATATATTGGTCACTCTGCATATTTAAGTCACAATAGAAAATGAGGATGCATACATTCTGTGTGAGGGAATGAGAAGTTATCAGTAATTCAAAGGTGGTCATGACTGACTGTCTGATGATTGCATATGGCAATACTATTGTCAACACTGCATTTGATGATGATGGAGCACACATACATCCTGAGAATAGATGATTAAATTTTCTGGTATGTCTAGATCAATGAAACTTACCATCTACTACAAATGATTTTACTGAGTAGGCACATTCTTCAAATGTAACTCACTTGCTATTGAAGCAAGTCACACAAAAGCAGAAATAAACACAGTCAGCATCTGTGTGCAACTGCCACCACTGCTGTGGCTCCACTCACATTCTATCAACACAAATGCAAGAGGGTGGCAGTGAACATGGTCAACATTATATCTTCACCATCTACTATGAATCCACCCACCCACTATCAGCCCAACCAGGTGGAGTTAGCACTCAACCTCCACCATTTTCAACACTTCACTCACCAGCTATCAATCCAAGTCAAACAGAGTATGAGGGAACATAATCAGAGTCTACCCTATACTACTGCCATGATTTCACTCATATCCTGTCAAAGAGGTTGTAAGTGAACTTTGTCAGCATCCATTGCCATGCCCCCACTTACCCACTAGCAACCCAAGTCCAGCAGGGTAGGAGCAAACATACATAATCAGCATCCACACTTCATTACTTGCTGCCATGGCTCCACTCACCAACTATAAAACCAAGTGGAAGTGAATATAATCAGCATCCAGCCTTCACCTTTGCCAAGACTCCACTCACTTCCTATCAACACAAGCCCAAGAGGATGAGAGTGTCAACATCTGACCTTTACCATCTGTCATGGCAGCACTCACCTACTATAGCAGGATGAGAGTAAACATGGTCAGTATCCTTACTCCATTACATGCTGCTTTACCTCTACTCACTGCCTATCAACACAAAGCCCAATGGAGTGGGAGTGAGCATGGTCAGCATTCATAGCCTCCTGCCCTGTTTCTACTCACTGCCTGTCAGCCAAAGCCCAATAAGAGGAGTAAACATCATCAGCATCCAATCTCCTCCACCTCTATGATTGCACTCACATCCTATCAACCCAAGTCCAACAAGGTGGGGGTAGAGTGGATGTGGTCAGCAATACTCCACCACATACTACCATAACTCCACTCACTGCCTGTCAATCCAAGTCCAGTGGGTACAAGTTTACATGGTCAGCATCCATGTTGTACCAGCTCCCATGACCCTACTTACTGCCTATGAACCAAAGTCCAACAGGGCAGAGTACCAACACCATCCTATGACTCTCATTCAATGGGATGCAAAACCTAACCCAACAACAGTGCTTAACTTTCAAGTGTCAGCCAAGGAAGTACTTACCAAATAGCATGTATTCTCTTGTCTAGCTTGGCTGTATTGGCACAATCCATCACAAATTCCTTCACTACACCAAATTGTGCTTCACTCCCAGCTTCAAAACCACATGAATCATGGAACACAAAGCATGGACCACACTTAAAGATCAGCTCATCCTCAATGCTGTGGTATCCACACTAGAAACAATCAATAGCAAGTTATGTTCAATGGGGGGATGATCTCACTGCTAATGAACCTTGCACCATAGTGGCATCAACCTGGATACAGTCAACAACAAGGCTCAAGAAAAGATTGTGCCTCTTACATACCTTTTTCCCTTCACCATTGAAAACCTCTGGTTGATCCATAGTGTTACAGATCCTCTGTAAGATAGTTGTTTTTCCCACATTTGCTCTGCCCATGACAAGGATATGAAAATGGTGGATGCAATCAATATGCCCTTTAGCTTGGGTGAGATCCAAGGAGTAATTGGCTTTCAGAGAAATTGTTTCTGGGACAGTTCAAAGTCCTTGCCTGATATCAAGAAGTAAAATACATACTCATGCATACTGAATCAGTCAATCCAGAGACAAGATTCTCCACAGTGTCCTGGGTAGCATGTGAAAGAATGCTAATGTCACTCAGTGCAGGTGCAAAAATGCCTGTTGGGGTGGAACCACAATGCATAACCTCAGCAAGTGCAGGAGTGGCAATCTCAGCCAGTACAGGGACATGAAGATTCACACTGCCTAGGGAAGACAGCACCCAAATAAATTCAGCCAGTGTAGCTTGCTTTGTCTGAGACATACTTGTTTGAGTGACTTTGATAGAAACTTGTGGAATGACAGCCTTGCTTCACAGAACTCACAAATGCAGCCATAAGTCACAGAGTCTGCTGAACCATCCAGAAGCCATGGATAATGTAGTAAAATTGGGGACTAGTGACTGAAAACAATACTTTGAGCAGCAGATGAGGTGAGAGTGATGGAAAATATGTGAAAAATGAACTGAAGACCCATGTTGTTTCGATGACAGGCACCATTCACATGCCATGTTAGCCAAACACACCCTGTGGTGTGATGCTGGCACATTAACATGTCAGTGCAATTGGAGTTACATTAGCCATGGCCCATTCACATTTCCTTTGTGAGCATTAAGTCTGAGTGACAGCAGCAATAAAGACTCACAGTTGTCATCATCCAAGTTCCAGACTGATACAGGGTCCTGCTACAGTTGCATGTTAGAAGAGAGATGGTAGGTGATTTATCACCACAGTTGAAGAGAAAGTGCCATGATGCAAAGGGTGGACTACCTGCTGACAGAACATTATGCATAGTAATGGTGTGGATGAGAGGACATGATCAGTAAATGCAGCATCAAGTGCCCTGTTCATCAAGTACATGCTGGTACTGAGGGGATTCTGGAAAGAAGCTGGATGGTGTTAAGGAAGGGGTGGTTGTATTCAGTGATGCTGTTACATGGAGGGCCTGCATCATGCCAATGACAGAGACATGTGCAAGGTGGATTAACAGGACATACAATGACAGACTTCAGATAATTTGTGTTGCCTGCAGTACTGACATCACTGAAGGACACCTGACAAGGCAATTACAGGAGGTCTGATTCTCTTGCCCATGATAAGTATTATATACACCAAACAAAATTGTGAGTGATCAATGTCTCAAAATCAGGGTGTGGAAAATAGGATTTTATTGGCATCCCTTAATATGCTGCAGTTAGATGCTACTGTAGTGTCCAGGACCAACTCATCAACCATCCTTGACACTGCTTCTATGGATGTTGAACATGGTTTGTCCTCTGGCAGTACATTTCATTAAATGAGCTTTGATTTATCTAAATCCAGGTGGTCCATCTGTTGATCATTCTATTGTCATGAATACCCTCCAAGCACCTCAGCAGGTCACATCTAGGCCTGACTCATTGACTGTCCCTGGTGTTCCCATCAACATTAATCTGTCTGTTGATCATCCTGCTGACAAAAATACCCTCTCAATGTCCATGCTTGTGTGTCATTGTGATAATGCTCCTATGGATGTTGAACATAGGTTGTCTTCCAGCAGTAGGTTTAATTAAATGAGCATTGATTTATCTAGATACAGGTGGTCTGTCCATCGATTCAACTGTGCTTAATGCTCCTGTCAACATTAATCTGTCCATTGATCATCCCACCAATGCAAATACCCTCTCAAGGTCTGTGCTTGTGCATTATCACAAATTGTTCCATGGACATCGGATTGGTGTGAGCCACCTTCTCACTCAAACATTAGCATTTGAAGCCAGCCAAAGGCTGTGAATGATCCACCCCCTGTTCTCCATCAGTGGCACTGCTCAGCTTTTCTTATGCATCAGGAGGCCATCATGAGCCTGATCAGGTTAGTAGATGGTGTGTACCCCCAAGACAGCATGGACCTGGATGTTCAAGAATCACAGAGGTGCCTTTCCCAGGAGCTGGACCCTTATCATGAGTGCTTGGATGCAATAGTTGATGCCCAATGGGCAAAGCTGAAGGGAGAGCAGGGCTTGCAGTCATTTTCTGGGAGTCTGAACTTGATGCCTGACTTAAGTTACTCCACTGGTTAGTGCATTTCATCACTTGGGATGAAATCATATAATGAATATCCAACAGACCTGCACATTGGCTTCCTTGATCATATCAAAACTGCATCACCACCTGTGTTGGCCTGTATCACTGTTGCTGTCACACTTCACCTTCTGTCAAATATGCCACAAAATGCATCTAATTTCCTGTTGAATGCAATAAAGACAGCCTTTCCATCTTTGAAGAAATGCACTTGTCTAGGAACTGACTTGCACAGAGGTAAACCTGCTGGAGGTTCCCAAGCCATGGGTTGAAAGGGGTCTAAATGAATCACCAGTCACCAGTAGGCATTATTATTTATCCAAATAGTGAACATACCTATGTCATGTCATATGTCCAGGCTAAGAACAACAATATGACCTCTTGCAACTGCAGCAACTCTTTGAGTACTGTCATGAACTGCAATATCCTTGACACAAGCTTCTGACAAAGTAAACATTCCAGCCTTAAAGAAAATGTTCTTCAAAAAGAAATTCAGTTTCACACTTGGAACAGAATGGTGTGGAATATACCCCTTTGTCTGGTTTCTTCCAAAGCTGAAGTGTTCCATCCACACCACCCAATATAAGGAAGCAAGAATTGTAATCTGTAGCATCACAGTACCATTGGATGACCATTATGGGCCCTTGCCTAACACTTATGGATTGTACCTGCTTCCCAGTTCACATGTTCCAAATAATGACATGGCTGTTGTTACCTGCTCTGCATGTTCAGATACAGGTAAAAGGGGATCATTAATTTCCAATCCTTACTGCTGCTTGCAAGGTATGGGGCATTGTCAGAGAATGCAATGGTGTGTATGGACCTATGGTGTCCTTCACTGGTCCAGAGAAGCTTGGTATGAGGGGTCTCCATTGAATTCTTATGGATTAGTGAAGTTACTTACTTGAAGAACATCTCAGACAAAGGCTTTTCAATTATGTAAGATACTTCGACTGGAAGCACCCCAGTTCACCTGCCATGGTGATGCATTATGACTGCTACTTTCCTCCAGTTACTGATACACAGGTCTTTGATGCAGAATGCAGTCCGAGTCCATGGGAAGGTGAAGCAAAATTAACACCAGAGCAGATTTTTGGCTTTGAATTGCCCATCAGTCTGTCATCTCCAGGCAGAGGTATAAACTCTAGACATCAGAGGCCAGAGGATGAGAACAAAGTGACCACTGCTGAGACAATGCCAATGCTTCCTAACTTTGTCTACCAGAGTCCATTGGAAGGTTGGTACTGATAATGGTGACATGAATTGACCATTGGCTTGAATTTTAAATATGTTAGGTCTTGCTCTCATCCCTCATCCCCTAGACTGATGTCAAAGCCAGGCCTAGGTGGGTGGTCTCTGAGGGAAATGTTGGGCTGGTCCGATAGTACCTACAGCAAAGTCCAGGTTGAGATCATGTTTATGCTTTTCTGGTAACATGGTAACACCAACTGAGATTCTGTCATTTAGGATGATGTACATGTGCTTTGCAAGCAGTTTTTCAACCTGACAAAACCATACAGTCAGCAGGATCCTGAGGCTATAGTGAGATATTCATTGGCAGTGGGTCACACAAGCTGTTTAGTTTGCTTCCATGATGCTAACACCTTGCATGGAAGGCTTGTGAAAAGTTTCCCAAAATGGTACATTATGTCTCCCTCTGGCCTGCAGAATCCTTTGCCACCATGTATCTCAAGAACATGGCATTTGAAATGCACAGGAAAGTTTTTTCAGGGAAATGAGAGTGCCCTTCATTGCAGGTCAATGAGTAGACATGACACTTTCTTCATGTGTACAAAATGTGCTCTGCCTCTATGGGGACATCAATCTGATCCTGCATGCATTGCAGGAATTCTAGTAGAAGCTTGTGTAGTTTGATTGTCAGACCCATACGAGCTGTTATGGTAATGAGGTTTAAAGAATGCGAGACACATTGAAGAAATGAATGTATAACAAATGTGCCATTCACCAAGAAATGCCAAGGGTGAGAGAAAGCAGATTTGGGTGTTGGAGCAACAAGCATGATGTCCTGTGCTGACTTGAGCATGAAATCAGCAGGCAGGACAAAACCTTTGTATGTCATCACTGACTGTAATGGGGGTTAAAGACTATTTGCAAAGTCATCAGAGATAGTGATGTGGGAATGATGGTGTACACACAAGAATGAGTGCCCAAGCACCTTTCCAAGCAAGAACTAGAATGAATGTGATCACAACAATCTTAATAGTCCCTGGATGATCTACTTTGTCCAAGTTGAAAAGCTACATCCCTGCCATGAAATACAGTACTCTATGGCTGCAAAACGACCCACCTGTCCAAAAGCATGTTTGATTTCCACATCTGTTTTTGCCTTCCAGAGTTTGATGGTCATGCACATGCTGTGTCCAGCAGCAGATGTTGCTAAGAAATTGTAATTCCTGCCCTGGAAACCACACAGCACCTGTACCATGACACCTACAGAATAAGCAGTTGCTATGAGGTATGTTAGCAGATTGGATGTACTTCCATGATGAAGAGTTTGGACTTGTGTTCCTGTTCTCATGCACCACACCCATACCTTACCATCAGTAGCTCCACTGACCACCTTTTGACCACAATCAACAAAATCAATAGCGCATGGATAATTTCCATTAGAAGAGTCACATGGGAATGGAAATGATAAGGATATGACAGAGTGGCCCACAGGATACAGGTCCAGGCCAGTCATTAGATTGGATATCAAGATGTGTGTCTTGTCTGGCAATAGCACCACACTCCCTCTGTAACCTTGATTGTCAGTTTGATTCCAGATGAATAAAATGAGGACTAACATATGCTGATGCATGTGAGCAGGACAGATTTGCCAAAGCGATTGTGATTTCTGGATGTCCCAACAGCTTGATGGAATATTAGAGGACACTAACAGTGAGATATTCTGATGACATACATCACTCTGTGATTTAGGTAGGCCACAACAACTTGATTCTTGCCTTTGAGGAAGTGTGCAGATCTCGGCTAGATACATACATCTGCCTCTGTTTGATGTGCATCAAGCTCTTTTGGTGCAGGAAGGAGGATTACCATCATATATATGTCTATCATTCAGAAAAGAGCTGTTACTGGTCAGTCCTTGTGACAACTGTAAGTCTACCTTTGTTCAGCTCTCATGCAATGTGGACTTTGCAGCCTACTCCTATTGTGAGGCCCCCAGAAGAAGGGTTCATGTCTAGGCAATGAACAGGTGCCATGATCCCCTTCTGGATGTCTTGTGTGTTGTCCAGGTTCTGGGTCACCATGATTCAGTACAAGTGGTACACTTCCATTGAAAGGGTAAAAAGATATCTGCTCACATTAAGTGCTGGTACAAGTGCCAATTTTCTGTCTTTACACCCAAAGATGAGTCTCGAAGAATGGGAAGAATGGACATCCCACTGCAGGCAAAGTACTGGACTTTGAAGGGACACCCTCTGTGTCATCACTCTTGTGTGGACATCCCAAATAATGAGCTGTAAATCTTTGCTGCCACTGGAAAGATACTTGCCACACAGAGAAAAGGAGAGGCACATAACAGAGTCAGTGTGTCCATCAGCCAGAGCCCCGGCTGGTTGGTACACATTAGTAGTTGAGTTGCTGGTCATGGTCATGAATAAAAGAATATTGAAGAATGTGAGTGTCAAAACATGGCATCCATTAAGCACCATTCAATGCTTTGTCTCTCTTTGAGGTTATGAATCCTTATGGGTGATGTTTGAAGCCCAAATCTCGAGTTCAAAATACAACTCATTGACAGTTATATTCTGAAATTTCTATCAAGGAGAATTGGTAAATGGGTACACATTTGTCTCATCTATCTTCAGTAATCTCTGCTCCTCTGCACAAAGAGAGTCACACCAACCCCTATTGTAACAATCAATGGGTAATCCCATTGGCACTTTGGCATTTGTGCTCATTTTTGGGGGATCAGGGTGGATACAGAATCATGGTGAATTACCCTGCAATCCAATATGACCTGCCTTCACCATTTGGTAGGCAGCACAGGAATCATTGATTTGCTGATACAGAGTGGCCAAAGTGGTGCTTCTCCAGGGTGGAGTTGATACAACATAAGTGCACTGTTCAAGAGGCCCTTCTCCTTCATCTGAGCTGATACCTTTTATCCCAATGTGTTTGAGTAGTGGAGCATGCCTATGCATGCTGGCATCATCTTTTGCCATCACAATATGTGCCTGAAACAACTGTGGTATAGGTGAAATGGGGCCTTAGCCAGAGTCAGTGACATAGATAAAGTGAACCTGCCTGTCACTTTCAGGTGGTACTAGCTGTGGTGACTAGACACCTTTGTTTCTTGGAATATCCACCCTGGAGTTCATCATAGATTTTCCAAAGATGCTTCAATTGCCTGTTTAGTGTGAATATGACATAGTCCACATTCAAGAACTTTTCCAGAATGGGGGGGTAGTTGTACCATTTGTGGTTGACAACTTTATTGATAAAATCAGCAGCTGCAACAGCCTTGGCACAGTTGTTAAAGGTGGATGTCTGCTTTCCAATAAGATCAAAACAGAAATTCTCGGAGGTTATTTCAATGCAACCAGGCAGCTTCTCATTGAAGGCTTTAATTTCATCTTGTGTGGGGGGGAGGGGGGGGGTACTGTGTCCAGAAGTTGTGACGTTGATTCAATTTTGAGGAGGATTTGTAAGTGCTTGTGAAGGTGTTGCTGGACATGGGAATCAGTTACTGAAATCAAGATGAAGCAGATGGAGCTCCAACCTGAAAGATTACTCTGAGGGGATCCTTTGCAAAGGGATCAAATCTGGTGCCTCCCTCGTCATCCAATGCCTCATCATTGGCTTCACTATCATGTATGTTAGTGCCAGGTGACTTCCATTTATGGCGCTTGGTGTTTGTCGCAATGTGTTGATGTACAATTACCAGTCTACTAACTGCTCCATGAATGGCAGTGAATTCTGCTCTAAGGTTTTCTTTGAGGGTCTTAAATGCATGAGATACAACACTGAGAAAGGGCCCATTTTGATCAAGTTTGTCCAATGCTGGCTGCCTTGAAGAAGGGTGAATGCCTTCCATGGATGTCAACCCTGGAGCAGAACCAAAATGCCTATGAATGGAACTCTGTGAAGGAAATGGCACCAGGTTACAGTGACTGGAGTGGCTGCTCATGGAACTTGCAGGCACAGCTGTCAGCCCTGGTATGGGACCAGATTGTCCATGAGTGGAACTCTGCAAGTGCAAGGGCTGTGGGTGATTGGAGTGTTCACTCACAGAATTTGCAGTTTGAATTCCTGTAGGATGTTAGAGGTCGACAAAACTGTCATAAACAGTGGGAACAGACACCTCACACAGGTGTTGGCCCTGATACAGAGCTAGATTGACTGTGGACAGAACTCTGTGAGAGCAATGGTGGCAGATGACTGGAGTGTCTGCTCATGGAACTTGTAGCTTGAATTCCTGTAAGACATTAGAGGTCAACAAAAGTGACACAAACAGTAGCAACAGATACCTTGCACAGCTGTTGGCCCTGGTACAGGGCAAGACTGACCATGAATGGAACTATGTGATGGCAATGGCAGCAGATGACTGGAGTGTCTGCTCATGGAACTTGCAGCTTGAGTTCCTGCAGGACATTGGAGGTTGAAAAAACCATCATAAACAGGGGGAACAGATACCTTGCACAGGTGTCAGCCCTGGTATGGGACCAGACTTTCCATGAATGGAACCCAATGAGGGCAATGGCAGCAGATGACTGGAGTGTCCACTCATGGAACTTGTAGCTTGAATTCCTGTAAGACATTAGAGATCAACAAAAGTGACACAAACAGTAGCAACAGATACCTTGCACAGCTGTTGGCCCTGGTACAGGGCAAGACTGACTGCAAACAGAACTCTGTGATGGCAATGGCAGTGGATGACTGGAGTGTCCACTCACAGAACTTGCAGCTTGAGTTCCTGTAGGTTGTTAGAGGTCAAAAAAACTGTCATAAACAGGGGGAACAGATACCTTGCACAGGTGTTGGCCCTGGTATGGGACCAGACTGACCATGAATGGAACTCTGTGAGGGCATTGGCAATGGATGACTGGAGTGTCTGCTCATGGAACTTGTAGCTTGAATTCCTATAAGATGTTAGAGGTCAACAAAAGTGATATAAACAGCAGACACAGATACCTTGCACAGGTGTTGGCCCTGGTATGGGACCAGACTTTCCACAAACAGAACTCTGTGAGGGAAATGGCAGTGAGTGACTGGAGTGTCCACTAATGGAACTTGCAGCTTGAATTCCTGGGAGACATTAAAGGTCAACAAAAGTGACACAAACAGTAGGTGCAGATACCTTGCACAGGTGTCAGCCCTGGTACAGGGCCAGACTGACCATGAATGGAACTCTGTGAGGGAAATGGCAGCAGATGACTGCAGTGTCCACTCATGGAACTTGTAGCTTGAATTCATGCAAGACATTAGAGGTCAACAAGAGTGACATAAACAGTAGGAACAGATACCTTGTACAGGTGTCAGCCCTAATATGGGACTGGACTTTCCATGAATGGAACTCTGCAAGGGAAACAGTGGTGAGTGACTGGAGTGTCTGCTCATGGAACTTGCAGCTTGAATTCCTGGGAGACATTAAAGGTCAACAAAAGTGACACAAACAGTAGGTGCAGATACCTTGCACAGGTGTTGGCCCTGGTACAGGGCCAGACTGACTGTGAACAGAACTCTGCAAGGGCAATGGCAGCAGATGACTGGAGTGTCCACTCATGGAACTTGTAGCTTGAATTCCTATAAGATGTTAGAGGTCAATAAAAGTGATATAAACAGTAGACACAGATACCTTGCACAGGTGTTGGCCCTGGTATGGGATCAGACTTTCCATGAACAGAACTCTGCAAAGGAAATGGCAGTGAGTGACTGGAGTGTCTGCTCATGGAACTTGCAGCTTGAAGTCCTGGGAGATGTTAAAGGTCAACAAAAGTGACATAAACAATAGGTGCAGATACCTTGCACAGGTGTTGGCTCTGGTATGGGACCAGACTGTGCACTGATGGAATTCCACAAAGGTCTTGATTGGGGGTAACCAGAGTGTCCACCCATGGAACTTGCTGAGAGAAGTGTGGGGGATGCTGTAAATGTGGCATGTATATGGGGAGGGTTAATGGCAGAAGTGCTGGCTTCTGAGGAAATGATGGAGGGTGCCAATGTCACATGCACATGAGGAGGGTTGGTGACAGGAACTGCATGGGGTGAGAGAGCCACCAAGGATGCTGCAGATGTGGTGCATGCACTGGGAACATTGACATCAGAGGATGAGTTAGCGTGCATCACAACCACAGAACTGCTCAATGGTGAGGGAGCCATGGAGGATGCTGCAGGCACAACACTGTCAGTACCAGCACCATCAAAGGACCAAGTTTGTGTTTGCTGTATAAAGGCAGGGGGAGCTTCCTGGTTTCAATTATGCATAAATGTGAAGTTGAAATTAGCAGGCATAATTGGCACTGGATGGCTGGAAGTGTTTAGACCTCTGTTGAGGAAGTCCAACATACTTTCCCTGGGATGTTGGAGAGGTATCCCATTTTCCTGGGGCAACAATGTTAGGGTGGATATATTGAAGGAGATTTAAAGATACTTGCATCACATTCCCTGTCACCCACCACATCAACATCCATTGAAAGATCTCCCTTATCACCACTGTACAAGGGCTGTCCACTAGACCTCTGACACAAGGTGTTAACAGAAATATGTGATACAGTTTAAACTAACCCATTGCTTCCAAAGGTGAAAACAGTCATTTAGCCAGGTCACCCAGTGCCCTACATATCAATTAGCCAATTGTGCTATTTGAAGAAGCCAGACTTACTAACTTTACATCTCTTAATCTGCGGCACCTGCAGGGTGGTCATCATCTTTGCTTCCTGGTGGTGTTGCTTTGCTTCAGGAGGTGGTTCTGGATTCTCTAGAGCCTGTTTTCCAGGTGTAGGAAGGCCACAACATTCATCAGTGTGCTTGCCAGAGACATCACTGGAGTCAACATCCAAGCCTGTTGTCACCATAGCCAGAGAAAACAGGATGGCAAATAATCTGTAATCATACCTTTGTAATATATGTAGTCACAGGGAGTGGCTCTTCAGAGACAAAGGGGACCTTTAACAAAGAATCATCAAAATTAGCAGAAGATGGATGCCAGCACACAGAGTATGTCTCACAGATCTCACTTGACAGTAACAAAGACAATGGCAGGTTGCCTTGTATGATTGTATGGCAGGTGAGGGGATCCAGTATTGCTTCTTACAATTGCAAAGTTGAGGGGGCTGTCATCATACTTAGCATGTTTGTATGTCAGATAACAGATCAGACCACAGAAATCCCATCTAAATCTTGCACTGAAGGACTGGAATGCAGGCAAAACCAGAATGATGACTCATGAGGAAATGAGGGCAGGGCACCAAATCAAAGTTGCAGCTCATGCACCAAATCAAAGACAGCTCAAGCAGGAAAGGGCTGACATAAGCAATCTACTAGCATCTAATGGCACTCTGGGGTATACAAAGGTACATGGGTTATCAGTAAATGCACCAAAAACTTGGAGTCACTAAAGAGAAAAAAAGTAGTGCCTAATGGTATTAGAAAATTATTTGAGCACTATGTAGAACAGTTAGTTTTCAGTATAAAACCAGCAGAATGGAGGGACAGAGAACTGCTCCCAGGATTGGACTAGCACATCATGGGTGAAGAGGCTAGCACGTTGATGCTGTTGATCATCCCCACCACAGAGAGAGTGGTAGTGGAATGCCCAGTAAGCCACAGGGTCACTAAAATGGACACAGTAGAGAAATCTGTTGATGAGTATAATCATGTGCTCCTGGGATCACATTGATAAAAAGGTCATTCCAAAATCTAATGATGATTGACAGGGGACTCACAAAATTGTGTGAGGGTGTAAGAAGGGTACTTTCCTTGACCAAATGTTGGATGAATATAAGGCCATCAGTCTTCAAAAGGAACCAGGCTGAACAGTCAAATGTTTGAGTAATGGAATGCAGAACACAGCATAATGGGAATGACTCACATTGTCCAGGAGTTTCCAATGCAACAAGCATGAGTGATGCCTGTGGAAATGCCAGCATAACTGGTCACAAAGGGGATGGGGGCACTGGGAAAAGCAAAATTCAGTTTGGGTACAAGACAGGGAAGAATTCTGACTGACAAATCAAGTGGGTTGCTGAATGGGAAAGGAGTAGCCTTGGGGAATGTGAATTGCATCAAGAATGACAGTACCTGTGACTGATCATAAGACATGACTGGTGACCATTAAATAACAAGCAGAGGTGCCATTATCCAAGCACCTCCAGTCTCTTTCAGTTGGCTATCTCTAACAAAGCAGACATCAGAATAGATCAAATGATACCTTGTGTGTATTGAGTGTGAACATTTAGCTTGCATCATGCCTCAGAGACTCAGAGGTTCAGAGTTGTTTGGAGTGTAAGCACTCTGTTGCCTTTGAACACTCAAAGGAATGAATAGTTGGCTATCTCCTTGTGTCATAGTGTTCAAAGGCCTGACTTTGAACACTTCAAGCAACCTGTCAATGTGTGACTTCATAAAGTATGTCTATATACTTCCTGTCCACATAGAAATTGTGCTCACAAAGAACCTGCCAATCAGTCTGGATGATAAATATCTGGCTAGAGGCCTCACCCTGAGGCCATATCCATTTGATTTCCCATTTCTTTGTTCTGTCTATGTCTGCCCAGCTATGCCTGCCACCCGCCTGTCACCTACCTGCAACTCACACACTTCTCCATACTTGTTGCATCCCAGGACTACCCCCCCCAGCCAGCCTTCGCCAAGCCTTCCTCCTAACCCCATCATCTCTGACATGTAAATGTCGCAGAAAGGGTTTGAATGAGCTCACCAAAGCTCATCAGGTAATACAATGTTTCCATTGATGCTGCAGTGCTCCATTGAATATGTACATTAATAGGAAGTTGAATGCCTTACAGTGGAAGTCAATAAAGCAAAGGCGAGCATCAGGGAAACTCAGGAGAACCTTGACCACCTCAAGCAAGTTGTCAATCAGGTCAGTCTTATCCATGCCAACAGCTGTTGGTCCCTGATACTCACCCTGATTGACTGCAGTTCAGTATTCACAGAAGCATGGTACTCAAGTGTCCCCTTTGCAGTGACACCATGCAGCAACCATTCACATATGTGTTAGTCTTTGCCTTTGGCTTTACTGTCATGCTAACTCTGATCATGCAGGCTGGTTAAATGTGGACATACATTCTGTCATACTTGCCTTTGGTCTTGGTTCCAGCAGTCCATTGCTAATGCCATGAGGAATTATGGCAACATCACTGTTCCAGAATACCTCAAGAACCATCCATACTCAGTTGGTGACATCAACACTATATTCATGTGTAAATACATCTCATATGTCTTTTATACCTGTCCTGTATGCAGGACCCACATTATGGACAAACCCACTGAAGCCTGGTCCCTCTGGGAACTCATCAAGGGCATCAATTCCACCTTTGGCAGTCCAGAAGACCCAACCGATGACAATGGCATTCAGTTTCTGCAGGATATATGGGCTGATTGTTGGTTTGACAAATGTGAGCTTATCACCATTGATGATTAGATACTTTTTGCACATCCCTATGTAATTCTCAACCATAAATGCATTTGTCTTGAATGGTATCAAAATAGGACATGAATGCCTCCAGATGCATAAGAAAGGCTGAACAGTGCAGCTAATGGAGAACAGCAGGTGGTGTTTGGCTGGCTTTTGAATGCTGATGTTTGAGTGAGAAGGCAGCTTGCACCAATCCAATGCACATGGAACAATTCATGATAATGCACAAGCATGGACCCCAAGATGGTATTTGCATCAGCAGGATGATCAATGGACAGATTGATGTCGATGGGAGCATTAAGGATGGTTGAATTGATGGATGGACCACCTGTATCTAGATAAATCAATGCTCATTTAATTAAACCTACTGCTGGAAGACAACCTACATTCAACATCCATAGGAGCATTATCACAATGATGCACGAGTGTGGACATCAAGAGGGTATTTGTGTCAGTGGGACAATCAATGGACAGATCAATGCTGATGGGAACACTGGGGACGGTCAATGAGTTGGGCCTAGATGTGACCCACTGAGGTGCTTGGAGGGTATTCATGATGATAGAACGATCAATGGATGGACCACCTGGATTTAGATAAATCAAAGCTCATTTAATGAAATGTACTGCTGGAGGACAAACCACATTCAACATCCATAGAAGCAGCATCAAGGATGGTTGATGAGTTGGTCCTGGATGCTACAGTAGCATCTAACTGCAGCATTTTAAGGGATGCCAATAAAATCCTACTTTCCACACCCTCATTTTCCATGGATTGGCAATGTTGCTGTGACAGTTCTTCATCGCATTGATGGCGAGCATGAGTAGACAGTTTCAACAGAACACCCAAGATGGATACACTCATCAGAGGATCTCACAAGTGGCCCCTGCAGCAACTGTGAATACAGCACCAACAAATCTTGTACTGTTGTTGCCTGGCCATGATTGCACTGTAACAAGATACTCAGTACCACAGATGCTAAGGTGAGTTGTTTAATCGATAATGCAGTAAAACAAAACCTATTGCAGCAATTTCCTTTTTTGTAAGGTGCTCATTTGAACACTGAGGGTGCCAGTGGTGTCTGTCCCTATGCAAGATATCACTGGGGATCAACAGTATGGTAGACTATTTCACTGCTCTACCATTGTCATTTGAATGATTGACTGTCTGTGGCAGGATTACCCCAGTGATCACTCACCATATATGAGGGCATCAGGCAGTGACTGTGTTGGAATCTGCTGCAATAGCCTTGAGCCCAAAATGAATCACACCCTTAGCCCCCATTCAACTGACTCCAGTCCATGTGCAGGGCACAAGAAAGGTAAATCCAGCTCTGGACGTCTTCCCATTCTAAGCCATTGACTTCTTCCAACTATCCATGTTCTCGCAGGTCCCCAGTCTCTGCCTCCTTCTCAACCCAATTTAATTGTAAATGCCATTGCTGCAGATACTTCTTCACTGCTCACATCTCCCTTATACAACATGCCACCAACTGCCTTGTCAGTGAACTGACTTCCAGAACCTCTCCAAGCTTGATGCACCCAATGATGGCAACATGGCCAGTATGCTATTACAATGCCAATTTACCCTGCCAAGATGAAGTCCCTTGCATGTTTGCAGTCATTAGTGAGAGGTTTGTAGGTAGGCCACTTGAGGATTGTGCAGTGCACAGCTACTACATTAACAGAAATCATTGACATCTATTTATGTATATGTGCAAACAAAACCTCTGAGAATGGTGCTGAGCTGATGCGCTGTAGCTGATGATGCTTACAGTACTCCTAGTGGCTTGGCTGTCACTACAACATTTGTTACAAGTGCAATGTTGGTTGAAGTGAGATAGCAAGTGAGGAAAAATGTTCAATTTATGCTTGATATTGCTGTGGCACACATGTGACACAATCATACAATTTGCACTTGATTTGCATTCCTTTTGCATGTGCCACCCTGTTTATCATTTGGTAAGGTATCTGCCTAGTAGATAGCATGATGGTATGTATAATTTCATAAAGGTTATTTACCTGCAGATAATTATGGGAAATTAAACTATTGACAAGCTTGCAGATTGAAATGAAATTCAAGTATTGCCCCTGCATTGTTCACACAACCCCACAGACAAAAGTTGAGCTTTGAATCAGATTTTACACTGTAATAATATGAGAACTAGGATGAAACTTAGCCATACTTCATACCAGCCAAATTCTTATGCAAATTTCACAGTTTATATCAATTTGTACTTCAGAATACTGGTGCAGAGAACCTTAGAGCCTGGTCAGCAACTGAACACCTGACATCAACTTAACATGTGTGTCAGTTAGAGTGAAGCAGAGATGTATCAGAGATTTAAAATAGTGATGCTTACTAATTGATATCTAGCACCTCTGACTGATATGGACCCTCAGTGACCTGAAGTTCAGCAGTGGCTCTACCAGTTTATAACATTGATTCTCAGTCTTATCACATGTGCAGCAGTGACTGTCATCCAGCCCCAACAACTCCAAAGAAAGACCCCTGAACCATACCATACATCAGCACTTTCAGGCGAGGCCTGGGAAATCAAACTCCTTGTGGGGCATCCAGAGCAGATCCATTGCGAGCTAGGAATGCATGCATTTGTCTTCACAGAACTCATCACAGAGTTGTGCACTCATGGTCATGGAAACTCCAAGTTTATCTCCCTTGAGGAACAAGCCACTATTTCTTTGTACATGTCTGTCATCAGATTAACTATTTGGCATGTTGGTGGACAGTTTCAACATTTGAATGCAACAATTTCATGGTATGTTTTCCATCATCTTTCAATTCTTTTTTATTCTGATTTTTCACAGATATTTCCGCAAGATGCTGATAATATTTTCTACCCCACCATTTTACACCAAATATGTCCATCTCCCAGATGAAAATAAGATCCACACCTGCATTCAAGACAGCATGAGGTTTTGGCCATTTTTCAAGGATGCAATAGGTGCTTTAGATGGGAGCCACATACATGCAGCCCCCAGCACTACTGACCATGGTACTTTCTGAGACCACAAAGGCTTTATCTCACAAAACTGTCTTTTTGCATGCAATTTTGACCTTTTCTTTACCTATGCACTCATGGGATGGGAGGGGTCTGCTACAGATGCATGTGTTTACCAGGATGCATGTACCAAAGGCCTCTACATCCCTCCTGGCAAGTATTTCCTTGCTGATGCTGGCTTCCCACTGCGACCAGAGCTTCTTGTTCCCTATTGGAATGTCTGATACCATCTGGCTGAATGGCAACATGCACAGCAAAGGTATGTAATTCATTTAAAATCACAGTAACACTGCCTGATCAAATTTATAGGCCCACCAATAAAGAGGAATTGTTTAATTTATGACACACCTCTGCACAGAACACCATTGAACAAATTTTCAGTGTGCTCAAATGATGATTTCATATCTTGCTTCTAGTGCCTGAATATGACCTAGAAACACAAGCATGCATTCCCAGCACACTATGTGCTGTTCACAACTTCATCTCTGTTCACAATCCCACTGAAGGTCCAATCCTGGGATCTGAGATGTTTGGCAGTGGCAGGAGTGTGATCAATGATGATCCAGAAGCAGACTGGGAGAATCAAGATGTGCTGGACATTGAGGCTGAAGCGATGCAAGATAGCATTGCACAAGTGATGTGGATCAATTATCAATGTATCATCAGGGAGAGGGACTACAATCATATTGTGCAGGGTTCAGAGGATGAAGGGGCTGAGGTTGAGAGGGATGATTTGGATGATGATGATGATGATGAGTTGGAATCCTGATTGTAGTAGTCATTTCTTACTTGCAATTTACTGTGTTCACTGAAACAAATGAGATTGATACATTGATGTAGTGAAACATGACAGAAGGTACATATAAATTGTAGTCACAAACTATCATCAATGGCATTATGCATTGTAGGAGCAGTCGAACTACATCTTTGCTTCTGAAGTAAATCTAAGATATACACATGGTGGTGGTCAGGTTTAACTAGTGTCAAAACATCTGAAATATAGTCATCCTTCCTGATGAGTCTGAAAAGCAAAATACATTGGTCAATACTCAGATCATCATGCTCCTCCTCCACAATACAAATGGCACTCTGCTTCTTTGAGCTCAGTCACTCCTCAGCTGGCTGCATTGTACATTTGATGGAGCCTGCCAGCTGGGTAACAGCACCAAGCAAGGTCACCAGAAGTGGGTTGGGTGGCTCTTCTGGTGGTGGTGCTTTTACCCAAGTGTTGCATGAGGAGGACCCTGCAGCAGCAATTGCCATCACATCAGTCATGGACACCACAGGAAGTGGTTCACCTATGTTGGCCCCCCTCCTCTTCTTCACAGAAGGCCTTGCGTCAACAGAGGAGATGGTGTTTGAATATGGGAGCTCCAGAAAATTTGATCTGACAGCAGGGTCAGTGTCACTGATTTTGGTGAAGGGATGCTTTCCCTGGCTTGATGCATTGGAGTGGGTAGGCCTCAGATTGCCAGTGCTAGTACTGCCACTTGTTGGGTGGCTAGGGGAGGAGAGTGTTTGAAAGGAAAACGTCTCCAAATTTACAGAGCTCAGTGATGAGGGAGGGAGGGGGGGTTCCATAGAAATGTCACATTGAGGGCCTTCATCCTCTCCAGCAGTGATGGCAGTAGAGGCAACATTGGTGGCAGCAGACATGGAAGGTGCATTGAATTCACCAGCAGTCAAGGTGGTAGACATGGTGGGGGTGGCAGATGTGGGAGAGGTGGCAGATGGAGCTGAGGTAGACATACTGGGAGCACTGGCATCAAATGCATGGTGACTGCTCACAATGCCACTTGGCATGATCTCAGATATCATATCAAACAGTGACCATCCCCAATTCCTGTATGGACAAAGAGATTTGTGTGTCTAAATTCATGGCTGTCAGTCAGTATCTATAGATACAATGTAACCAAAGAAATATTTGACCTTCATATATTCATCCCAGACCTGCCCCACATCAGTACTGACAATTGCAGCACCATTGTCATTGTCCCAGTGTTTTCCAGATGTACAATACCTTTGAATCTCAGCATATAGCTGCCTCAGCTGAATATCAGGCACTGATCAGTATGATGAAATAGATAATGAAAAAGTGCAACCTACCACCCTCCACTCGTTCTTGCATTGCAATGGTGTCTTCACAGGAGTCCCAGGCATTCAATAGGCTGCAATAGCAGCAGGAAGGTGGTTGTACATTTGTGGCTTGAAATTCCCTGTTCCATCCATTGCCTCTGCATGATGGGAGTGGAGAAACTTGACAAGTTTCTCTTCTTCTACTGGCATCCACTGTGCCACTACCTTGGGTTCACCATTGCTTTTGGGAGGCATCAGGAGAAGGATCATGCTCTGGATGGCCACCACCACCAGGGATGCTAGGATCTCCCAAATGCGTTGAAGATCACTGTGGTCAAATCGATAGTCCATGGCTTGAGAGAACAAGGTTTGGATTTCAAACTCAGTTGACCTGCCCTGCTGGTGTGCCAACAATCCAAATAACTACAACATGGTGATCTGGCATGCATAGTCGGGTTGCTTCGGGTTTCTGAACAGGCTCTTATATTCCTGTGGTGTCATTATGCCTCATTCCGTTCTCCCACTCGGTACCATAGGCTGATTGCCTAACAGGCTTCTCCAATGACAAAACCACTCTACACCTCGTCGCATCCTCACTCACCTACGTGTGTCTGGTGACATACGCGAGAATACCGTCCAGTTGTCCAATTTGCCTTTTCCTTCCCGTGGGCGATCGTGCGTCCTCCAGGAACCGCCATTTACGTCCGATCATTGGCCACACGGACAACGTGCATGAGTGCGAGACTTTGATTCTGATCACGCCCACCCCGTCCCTCTTTCCTCCCTCTGAATCGGTGGCTTTTCTTCCTTACGATGGTCAGGATGGAGATGGGCCTGCCGGAGATCTAGATTTTATTTCCCATCTGCAAATTGCGTCCTTAGATACTGCTTCTGCCTCTGCCTCAGATTTCCCTGCTCTTTCCCCTACTTGGAGTCGTCTCAAGAGACGGGGACGTCACAAAAGATGCTCTCTACCTCCTCACACGAGGATACATCGTTTGGATCTCCCTTATTCACACCATCAGGCCTATCTTTCCTACTCACTCGAAAACTGACATCACCTAGCGGTGGAAGTATGCCAACGATTGTCAAACACTCACGATCATCGTCTTTTACAACTGGGGGGTCCCTCCCTGACGAGCCTCGCTATAGAAGGAGGGACGAGGTCGCTGCCCGGGAAAGTGGTATTTTCCCAATACAAGAGCAAGAAGGAGCACTACCGCGTACGCCATCTGAAACGGCGCCCTCATTGCCTCGGCACACCGTCATCGCCCATCGCGATCCCCCCTCCAGTCTGGGTCCTCCCAAGAAAACTGTTCTCACGGGTTTGGGTGCCAGATTGCATCACGTATTTGAAATCGACGTCGATATTTGCGATGTGGCAAAAATAGCCATTTCCTCTGTTCCTGCAGTCATTTTTGGTGCCCTTTTGAACATCTTGGATGGTCTCTCCTGTGAGGGATTCTTTCTGCGTCCTTCCTGTTCTCTTCATGGACATTTCCACAGGTGGAATGATAATGTTTCCTGCTTCCAGTGTTTTCACTAGCTTGGGTGGAATGGGCGTATCGCTATTTTTCGTCTCGTGAGTACGAGCTTTCCTTTGCTAGTGTCGATGGTATGGCATTCCGACACCACCATCCGACTCGAATCCCGGTTCCACCGCTTTTTTGCTTTCTCGAGAATATGGGCACAAAATTCAGGGGATGGCTTGACACTTGAAACTGAATTCATTTCCAGAGCAGTGACTTCCCTATTCATCTACTCGTTCGGCGGAAGTCAGTTCGCAGGTGCGAATGGGAGTAACATGATCGAGACAGTCGTATGTCCATAACCTTCTCACAATTTCCAATCTGATCCCGCTTCCGATGTCCGAATACTGTGCTTCCTATTGCCTAAATTTCCTGTGAGGGCAGCCGTTTTTCCATATCATCGCGTCGACAATAGAGAGAGATCGGGAAAGAGCACGTGCGTGAAGTGATCGCAACAACGCTTATTGCATTTGCCTTGTCCTCTGTCTTGACAGGTAAGTAAATTTGTCAAACCATAACGCACTTCATCTTGTCTCGATGATGGAGCCTGCGTACCAATAGTTGGCGCGGATGATGTACGGACTGACGTTCCTCCTGCTGGGATACCTACTCTCGGTTTCATCATCGGATTCTTCCCGAGACACATCCTCGTCGGGTGCATAGGTGGAGTTGGCGTGTCCCTTATTTTGACAGAGTGAGCAAAACTCGGATTGACTGGGGCACTTATATTCGGGTCCATCTAATTCTGCCACGTCCGTCGATATGTTAGATTGACAGATAGCACACGTCTGCCCTCCGATGCGCTCGATCCACCTACGTGGGACACCCTTCGATATTTAACGACGAACACACATGCACTTGGACAGTGGATCCCGCCTTTGGCCCTAGCTATCCTGATGAGGGTTATTACACCCCGGTGGAAGCATCAACTCGTGTTTCCAATCTGTGAGTACAGCTTATTTTCTTTCCGGCTGTCAAGTTACTCATACTGCTCATACCCAATCTTTTTTTCGGACAATAGATTTCTTGGTGATGCCGGTGGTGTTTTATGTGATAGTCATCGCTACAGGTCTCGATCCAGACATGTTACGAAGAGACGGATGGCTATTCGATTCTGCAGGAACGACTGGGTCCGAAGGTTGGTATGAGTTCTACACCTATTTCGGTGAGTCTGTCTCTCGTCATAAAATTGTGTATTTCTCGAGTTTTTGGTTTTGCTGTGCCTGGAGACCACGGCTTGATTAAGTAGATACCAATGTGGAATACGTTGCCGACGCAGTTAGCACTGTAAGTGTCACATCATAGACTTGAGATCAACAGGGCCAGAAGGGTTTTCTCGGGATAGGTTGTTTTTTAATATTTTGCATCCGCCCCTCAACGTCCCCGCTTTGTGTGAGTCTAATTTACGGTCTGGTTGTTTCATGATAAGTCGCTGATATAATGAGGGCGATTGGGTCGGTGGTGGAATCATGAGTAGCCATTTCGTTGAATCAAGATATCGACACAAACAAGGAACTCGTCGGGTATGGATCGCCGAATTCGATTTCTGGATTTCTGGGTTCTGTGTATGCTCGTCTCTTTCCTCGTAGTGTGATGTTGCCAGGTCATTCTGACAAATTCGCTCCATTTGTAGGCCCAATTATCTTGTCTACGTCAATACGTTGATGTAATTGTTCCCTGCATTTTTCTGTACTGGACACTCACGCGAAGCTTGTCGTTCGATAGGTTCTACCGTGTCGGAGGAGGAAATAGAATCGCAGGGTTAATGCTTGCTCTTGTGACCCTTCTCATCCCGCTGGTCGGCACGGCACCAGTTGCATACATCCGTACGTCGTCACCTCACTTGAGTTCTCAAATCTCGTTCAAGGGTCCGTTCACTTGCCTGTGATAGCGTTCGTCGTCGTCGGTGCATTAATTTTTGCGCTTGGAATTGACCTTGTCGAGGGGACACTGTGGGATACAAGGTATCGCGTGAGTTGGTGCGTGGCAACATTTTCTTTCCTTTTCCGCAAGGTGGAGGGGGAACGGGTGATGGTGACACCGATTTCATTGCAGGACTGAGTATGTGACCATCGTGAGCATCATGGTGACGATGACTGTGGCATTTCATGATTGGCGTGCTGTTCGGGATAATTGTCAGTTGTGAGTTTTCTTTTCATTTAACTATGATCCCAGCATGTATCGTTCATTCCTTGCAAAGGTGTTTTCTTTGTCGTACAGAACTCGCGGCGGCGGAATATTCAAGCATGCTACCCTGGCAGCGCAACCATGTCCACTGTCCGCCGTCCTGCTGCATACAGGGCCTACATCCACGAAGTCTCGAAACAAACACACATTATCCAACTACAAGGTTTCCTTTTCTTTGGAACGATCGTGCGCGTTGAGGAAAAGTTACGGAGTATTGCTGAGGATCCGGACTGGCGAACCAACCCTTTACAGTTCATAGTCGTAGACTTTTTTTAAGTCTGAATTTAAGTGTGTGAGGGTGGTTCTACCCTATGTTGCACTATTCTAGCGTAGTTTGACGATCTAGCTTTGGCCCCCTGTGGCCTACCATTCCTTACCAGCGAGTGAATGCCCTGATGGCAGACCTGTTGGCCCCCCATCAGTCCGCTGTTCCCGCTGGCTGTTTTAGACACTCTGCCTTTATGGTGAGGATATGGTAGGAGTTTCAATATCGACAGCAAGATATACCGCGCCGACTTTTAGGATCGCATAGAGGACAACGATGGCCATCAGAAACTGTGGCAAGAAAAGAGGTACAATATCATCGGGACAAACAGATAAAGCATCTTTCAAGTACTGTGCGAATTGGTTGGAAGCGGCGTCGAGTCCAGCATAGCTATATACCACTCTTCCATCACATTCAACGGCGACGTTTTCTGGACGGGCAAGGGCACGACGTGCCAGCAGATCGTAAACGAAAGAGTAACGTGCAGGGTTCTCCGGCTCCGCTAAACTGTTGATTTTGACGACAGAGGGGGTTCCTGCGTGAACGCATGCTCGTTCGCTGTCATCATATTGACTTCCACACCAGACAATGAGGCGTTAACGAGGAATTGTTCAAATGCAAGAACGAGGTGGTCGAGCGTATACTGCATATCTTGCACGTCAGAACCGCCGGGAACGAACCTCAATGTGAAGGTGGGGTGTATGAGAGTGTCAGGTGCGGGGGCGTGTCGTATGAGCGGAAATGCGATCACTGAGCTAAGGAGAATAGCGAGAATGCAGGCTCCTCTAGAATCTCTGCAACAGAGTGGATTCCCTCGTTTATCACGCTCTTGGTAACTTCCCAGGTGGCCGAAGCACGAATGGCATCTGGAGCAAGTGGCAGGGACAACTGCTCTCGAGGATAGAGAATCGAGGAGAACCAAACCCGTCGAGGGACGAGAACGATCCCTGGCAGTACCGGTAACATTGTTCTTTAGTGGTAAATCTCGAAGACGTTAGATGACACGCCCTCGGCGGTGAGGATACCCTCGGTTCCGGCATGCTCTGACAGCACCACAGCCCAAGCATACAGCAGAGTCAATCGAATATCCACGTGCTTCATTCGTCCCAGACCAAGATGCTCGAAATCTGTGTGTGTTTCCGTGACTCAAATGGAAGCAGATGCTGAAGGTGCACGAACACATTTAGTGAGAGGGACCGAGCCGAAGTCTGACAACAGGGTGTACCAGTAGCGTTCAGAATCTGCGTATAACTGGCTAGTTATCATATTACACCCAGATGGTGGGACGGGGGAGACAGCAGAGGAAGAGGAGCAACACCAGTCAATGTAGTGAAGAATGCATAGAAGAGAAGAGTTGTCAGAGAGCAGAGGACTTGCAGATAAAACAAGGTGAAATGACCCATTATGAACATCGCCGAGGATATACATTCAAGTAACGTTGCAAGGGGTTCATTCGAAAATGCCATCGACAACATCGTGAAATCGCTGTTCGACGTTTGATGAGGTGAATACGATATTATCGCCACCCCTCCAAGTGGTGTTATAAGATGAACTCCCATGCGGAAAATTGTATAACCGGTATTCTACGAGAGAAGGGCAGGAGCTGAATCGTCGCGCAACATGCCAATCTTGCTCACAGAGTATCCACTATATGAAAAAAGGCTATGGGTGGCAATGGTTTGTCTAGTAGATGATATGAAGGTCAACAACTAGATCCCAGTGCCCTCGAGACGCTGCACAAAGTATGGGCAATTTTCCGTATGTGCATAGGCGAGTGGGGAAGGGATCACTGAGCTTGTGTTCAACGCCTTCAGTTGGGAAGGAAACAGATTGGACTTTGCAGTCGCTAGTTCATAGCACTCAGACTTGCTCGGTTCCCTGTTTTGTGTGAAGGAAAACGTCCGAGAAGCCTGAGGCCGCCGCCGCCGCCACGATCATGGAGCTGCCAAGAGTGCACATGCATGCTGTGTCACCGGATATACCGTGTCAAAAATTGGGGTGGTAGCGATGGTGTGACAGGGGGAGTTCTTGATGCTGGGTCATGATGAGCGTACTTGCTAACCCAAATTCATATCTTGGTAGAATAGCCATGGGGAAGGGAAGTGTAACCGCTAGCCAAGTAAGTTGAGGCGTTTGTCATGGATGTATGCATTAATGATGCGACGCGTGCGCCGTCTTGAACGACGAGCGTGTTGTCGTCCCCATAGAATCAAGCCATCGATGCGATGGACTCGGAGAGACTCTTCAAATCTGTGGATTGCAAGTACGGATGGGGCGGGTACGGGTGACCGTTCTGGACGATGAAAAAGGGTCATAATTTCACCGATGGCGACCTTCTAGACTTCCGACGATGAACTGGGTGCCACCATTTGTGGTTCATGCGACAAGGGATATTTCAGCCGTTCACAATACCCGTTACACATGCAACTAGTGGGCTGCGGAAGACTTCACATTGCTGCGTTATATGAAAGTGACCTGCAGGTCATTCCATACGACTAAACGTAATTCGCAACAAAACATGCTGCATTGAGGTGGGTATGAAGGAAGTACTCTCACCTGACTGCCGAAGTCAGCTTAGCCAGTTGCAACGCACGTTGCCCTCGCCACACAAGACCTCCAACCACGTTACTAACTGACTCTGTCCATCTAGCCCTTCGAGTCTGTCAGAGAAACTCCTTTTCTAGCAGACAGCATGAATTCACTGTACTCGGGTATGCGTACTTGGATTCCACTCACCGATCGAAATCATTTCATAAAATAGGGGTCGATAGGCACGCGTGATCCGAACGAATGAGGAATGCTATATGCACGTTGCAAGGAGGTTCAAAGACGACCCACCTTCAGCACCGCGATAAGCGTGAAAAGTGAAGAAGGTCGACACGTTCCGACACTGATGACACTAAGGGAATATCCGTGGCCAGAACAACAGCCGAATGTTCAGGCCCGTTCGAACCCGATCGCTGACGGATATTGGGCGGAAGTTACACCTCGAGGTCACGGCCTACATACTCTCTGGCCCGAAGTTATGCAGGACCGAACTGAAATGCGTGTGAATGGTAGTCAATTAGCTGCACATGCGCATGCGCTGGTCAGTGCTGCATGAGGTCGTAGGCGGATCGGAGGACAAGCACGCTGTCTTCGTCGTACACCCATGTGGTATAATATTGCCCGCGCATACCGGCCAGGGCCTACTCGGTGGATCGTTGTCTGATCTGTATAGACATATGCGCCAGTCAGTACTACACGAGACCGAAGGTGGATGGGAAAGCGAGCACGCTGGGTTCGTCGTGTACCCATGAGGTGTGATATTATCCGCATATAGCGGTCCGTGCTTACTGGATGGCTCGTCGTCTGACCTGCCATCACTATTATCGTGTTCTTGTATCTCAGTAACGAGGAAAACTGACCTGTTCCTGAGCGAATCGCTTCGCCAGAGTTACATAGGCGTACACGTCACCATGTACTAGCGGAGCTGGCACAGATGCCGATGCGCTTAAATGGGTCCTCCGACTTCTTGGGCGGTTGAAGGCGCGCTTGACTAGGAGCTTGTGGCTCAGATTGATGCGGGCGCATCACCGCCTTTCGACAGAGCAGCCGACCCTGACAATGGAAAACATTCTGATGGGCCGAACGGTGAGACCCCGAGGGTGGCTTCCAGCATTCCCTCAGTCACAGCCTTATTCGCAGCACTATGCGACTCCAAGCATCGGGAGTTGCGATAACCCCAATGTATTCGGTGGTTTCGTTCTCTTCTCAAGTTGTAGCTCAAAGAACCCGATCAGCCATCGGGAAATCAGTTCTGAGCACGTGTATTCCAAATTCGGATGGGTGATGCTGATTGGCCGGACAATTGCAACAACCTACATACTGAGGTCGAACTTCGGGTGCTTTTCCAGCAACAATAGTCGCGCCGACGTTTCTGCTCCCCGGTCTCAGTACCATGCTTGATACATCATGTGCAGCACTTACCGTATTGAGGGGTGTCGGAATCGTTGCCAGGGACGACAGAGTGAGAGCGCTCGTGGAGCGTGCATGACGTCACTGATCACGACACTAGAGACTGCGGGAGGAGGTGCGAGAGGAGGGTAACGATGAATGCTGTGGTTCGCTGACTGATATTTGTGGAGGAATTTACCCCGTTTGGACCACAGCCTCAACGAGCGGAGAAAGAGGGAAGTTCTGTAGTACATTATCATCGATAAGACGCCGCCACCGCCGCGATCATGGAGTACTGTCAAGAGTGCACATGCATGCTGTGTCACTGGATTTACCGTGTCAAAAATTGGGGTGATAGCGACGGGGTGACTCGGGGTGGAGAGTTCTTGATGCTGGGTCATCAGGAGTGCACCTATTAACCCAAACCTCCACCCTCTCGAAATCGCGGCATGGTAGAATAGCCGCGGGGAGGGCGGTGTAATAGGCCAAGTAAGTTTAGGTTTCTGCCATGTATGTATACATTAATGATGCAACGCGCGCGCCGTCTTGAACGACGAGCGCATTGTCGTCCCCATAGAATGAAGTCGCATCGATGCGATGGACTCGGAGAGTGTCTTCAAATCTGTGGATTGCAAGTACAGATGAGGCGGGTACGGGTGGACCGTTCTGGACGACGAAATTCTCCATCGATCAGAATTTAGAAAGCATGTCGGCTAAAAGAATGATGCCCGCTCCAAACTGGGGTGCCAATGGCTTCTATTTCCCACTTTAGGCTTGCCCTGTCGTATAAAAACAAATGTCGTCTGAGATACGGTGAGCTTCTCCCCCTTATCCTGTGCTCTCACCATGTCGGAGAGCGTACAGGAGTCGAAGCGTCACCATGAACACCATTCCCACCTGGACGCAAAGACTAGGGTTGTATCGTGCGTCGTTCACTCCTCGTTCGTCCTCCACCTTTTCACCCGATAAGTACAGCAACCTCGATGCCAAGTTGGCCAATCCACTACGAGGGGTCCCATACGAAACTCTCATGAACGAGGTCGAGATATTCGCTCAGGAGAGGGGCCTTTCACATATACTTCCTGAACTGAAAAAGGGGGCTCTTGTAGCACAAAATGCGGATGGTCAGTGTGACTTGAATTTCGTCCCTTGGTCTGTCTCATACCCCTGCCAGCCTACAGGCAGTATGACATGTTTACAGACGAAGATAAGAAGTTTTTGGAGGACGAGGTTACCCACAAATGGAGACAAACAGGGACCCTGTACTACGTGCGCACTCCACATTTCGACTTTCACACATGGAGTACACCTTTGACGCACGTTCTCCCATACTTACATAGATGGTCGTCATGTCTTCCCTGGCTGCCGCAGTACAAGGCATGGATGAGGCTGTGATTAACGGGGCCCAACTTTTCTATCCGTCACAATTTGGAATGGATACCACGACTTGTGTGTGCTTCACTTCTATATATGTCTGATTACACCTCTCATCATCTGCATCAGCGCGCGGCAGCTGGTTACTCGGCGTCGTTAACTCTGCGCCTTATCTGTACGTTATCATTAGCCTCCAAATATCTTCCTTGCCATCACTGATTCCCACACACTAGTTGCTGCGCAACCGTGTCATGTTGGCTCACCCACCCAATGAATCAATGGCTTGGGCGGAAGAAAACGATTTTTGTTACTTGCTTAATTTCGTTTCTCACTTGTATATGGTCAGCATTGACAAATACCTGGTGGCATCTTTTCATCGCGAGGTTCTTCCTCGGTTTCGGCATCGGTCCCAAATCTGCGACCGTCCCCGTCTATGCCGCCGAATGTGCGCCAGCTCCAATCCGTGGTGCACTTGTCATGATGTGGCAAATGTGGACAGCATTTGGTATCGGACTCGGCGACATCATTGATCTAGCATTCTACTTCATTCCCGACTCAGGAGGTATCAAAGGCCTCAACTGGCGGTTAATGCTTGCCTCTGCGGGTATCCCGGGTTTGATCGTTTGCTTGCAAGTTTTATATGCACCCGAATCTCCTCGTTGGCTAATTGGCAAGGGTCGATACGAGGAAGCCTTCAATGAACTCTGTCGCTTGCGTTTTTCACGTGTTCAAGCTGCCCGCGACCTGTACTATATCCATATCCTGCTCGAAGCAGAGAACGAGATGAAGAAGGGTAGAAACCGTGTCGTGGAGATGTTTACTATTCCCCGTAACAGGAACGCAGCGCTCGCAAGTTGGATTGTCATGTTTGGTCAACAATTCTGTGGGGTAAACGTGATCGGTTAGTTTACCTTCTTGCCTAGAGGCATATCGTAGTCTGATCCGCTCTCGCAGCGTACTACTCGTCGAACATCTTCTCCCAGTCTGGTTTCTCGGATACTTCTGCTCTCGCAGCAACGGTTGGTTTCGGAGTTTTGAACTGGTTATTCGCGCTCCCAGCAGTCTTTACCGTATGTCTTCTCTTTCTACGGTGTCCGTACTGTAGTTCACCCATCCCAGATCGACACGTTCGGGCGTCGTAACTTGCTCTTGTTCACCTTCCCGTGTATGGCGATTTGTCTCCTGATAACTGGCTTCTCTTTCTGGGATACCGTCAGGGAAGGACGAATTGCTGGGGTAGCGGTTGGCATCTGTATGTGAACTGCTTGTTTTGCTCAGTACAACTGTCGCTTACATTCTTCCAGATCTTTTCGCCATCTTCTACTCACCCGGCGAAGGGCCTGTTCCATTCACCTATTCCGCCGAAGCATTCCCACTCTACATCCGTGACATTGGCATGTCCTTTGCAACCGCCACGACTTGGTTCTGGAACTTTGTCTTGTCCATCACATGGCCGTCTCTGGTGCTTGCGTTCAAGCCCCAAGGTGCATTCGGGTGGTACGCAGCGTGGTGCATGGTACTCTGGTTCCTCATCCTCCTCTTCGTACGCGAGACGAAGGGTAAGACGCTCGAGGAACTGGATCAGGTGTTCTCAGTGCCCGCTCGTGTCCATGCTGCGTATGGGCTCAGACAGATCCCGTATGGGATTAAGAAGTTCATACTGTTCCAAAACCCGACACCGGAGCAGCTTTACCAGCCAGAGTCGGAGAGTGAGGAGAGCATTAAGGAAGGAGATGGTGCTGGAAAGGAGGCTCACCGAAGTGCAGCCGCGGAGCCATAGGAAGCCCCGTGTGATTCTTCATTGCTTCACTCGTTAATCTTTTATCCGAGTCCACGCGGTTCTCTGGAACATCTATTACGCACCTTTTATGTCTTACGTGGTGATACTGATAGGCAGGCTTGTTTTGTTTGGTACATACATAATTGAGTACATACGTACACGTGTACTTCTGAACGTGCGTGTATCCCTTTAGTCATTAACCTTCCAAAATCCTCGGCTGTGGGAAGGACACTATAAGACCTTAGGAAAAGGTTCAGTTACATTGTTGTATGTTTCGACGTACCGTCACAGGGGTACTTCTAATGCCATTCCAGGAGACACGCACGAGACTCATCAAGTCTTTTCACGAGTGCCGATGACAACGACATACTCTTACGCTGTACATGTTGCCCCCACCAGAATCAAGGAGTTGTACGTTGTAACATATAACTAACCATTTTGCCAGAACTAGTGGTTCAAGCCCGGGAGAAAGATGCTGCATTTCGTATCTAGTGAGTGAGTTGTGCGATTTTGTATCCACAATATCTCGTGATCGAGGAATGAAAAAGTCCCATCGAAGGAGAGCCGAGGCTTCCGCGGAACGAGACCTAATGGAATACTTGAACGGTGCCTGGTGACTATGCACCTACCATCATAAGGCGAAAACCAGGGCTCCAAGCAGCCAGCAGCGGTGTAAAGTTTCAGAGAGTGTTTCCTTCGAAATCTACTCTCGACTCCCTTCTTAACGCACTTGGAGATATCGAATATGGGAACCTTGATACATGCTCGCTGATGCCTGCATCAAGCGAAATGGAGACTGTCAGTTGTCTCACCTTACATCGCAACTCCAACAGTGTCGCGTGCATTCATCACAGGACAGAAAGTGATACTAACTTGCACCATCCCACAGGACAAAATTGGCTCGAACTCCAAAATGTGGTCAGGACGACCCGCCCGCTAAGAGGCATGAGTGTCAAATGAGACTCTTCTTCGATATCCCCATCCCGAGGGCTTGAGGTCCGGTCGGCCTTCGAAAGGAAAATAAGTGTCAGAAACGAAACTTCAGAAGCACCTCAGTCGCCCAGCTACTTCAACAGCTGCGGAATACGAGCATTATGTTTCGGCCGCTGTTCGTCCGCTGGCTTGCTATGCTATGCTGTGACAAGCATCGCCAACTGGTGCTGCGCAGATGGTGGCAGCCCATGAAAAAATTCCCGCAAATATTTACGGTTCGGCTCCCTAACGGTATAGCAGCGCATCGACTGGGACCCAAACCTTAGCGTAACGCAACTCCAACAATCTCGGCTGAATGAAAGTCGTCAGGCGACGGATCTCAGCCCTTACATCGTCCTCGAATTGAAGCTTCAAATTGCAATTTTCCGTCACTTATATTGTGCGGGGTCGCAGACAACGTAGGGGATCGTGACTGTTGTGGTGACAGAGGAGGTGCTGGGGGGGCAATATTCCTGAAACATGATCATTAACTGTTGTATGCCATTGGTGGGAATGTCCTACTACTGTCTGGCCCCTGCGTTTGACTCTTACTGGTCTCGACCAGGAGGTGTGAGAATCGGGGCGGGGTACAGCTTCCCCATTGCAGATCTCGCAAGAGGAAGGTGCGACTTCTGGTCGTTCCAGATTCCCGCCACGTATGAATTGTCGATAGTGCGTCGTCTTCAGCGTCGCAGTGTTTCGCCTACTGTGCTGGCCTAAAATTTCACCTTCTACTATGCATACCTGTTATTACTTTGCTTGTGTTATCGCGCTGCCTAAATGACCTGATCAAATACCACACGTTAGTCGACAGCCGTGTTAATTGTCGGCAAGGTTGAATGCCCCTTTTGAAACCATCCTGCCGATGACACCACACCAATGCTCGGGGAGCTTAACAATTGAGACTGAGCAAGGCTTGCCAGCCGCTGCCACCTTGCATCTATAAATATCTTTGTCACTTCTCAACTACAACGTACAAAGAAGATGTTTACATAGGACAGATTTTCAACATGGGCAGGTATTCCCTCAACACCTGCACTCCTACAAGTTAATCCCTGCCAGGAGCAGACCGGCGGCACTCAAAGTTTCGCGCGACTAGTACCACCCAAATCCCCTTCTGAGCCCACCAAAATCCTGACCATCAACTCTGCCATCTCAGCGGACTTCCACGCTCGGAAAATTTTCGCGATTTCCGACCCGATCGTTGTCTTGTCCACGGTCGGGTCCCCCCAATGTATCTTCACCCCTAACACCCCCCGAACATACGTATAAAGCATCCCTGTTCGACCGAGCAACTTCCCTCCAGCATCAGGGGATTTTGCATAACCTGCCCTGGTTTCCACGAAAATTTGGCGGGAGTGCCTGGTGAGTGATATGCGCCACTGGTTGATGGCTTTGAGAGGTACGTCCACGGTGGCGGTCTCATCATTTAGGAGGGATATAAGCGTGGACGCAAGGTCACCCATTACATGCTCGAAACGAGTCGCGGAATCCTGATCGGTAGACCCGTTCAAGAGCACGATCAGACGATTGTTGAGGCGTGTGAAGAAATCGTCGTCAAATCGTACGCCGGGGAGGTGCACGGCAGTCTCGGTGCGAAGTACGGAAAAGAGCTTGCTACGGAATGTCGCCTCGATGGTCCGGAGATCAGCTGCCTGGCAGAGAGCGAAGAGGTGGGTTGACATCAACTACAGGACTATGAGTATCGCCGGCACGAACACTCAGTAGGGACGTAATAAGACTTGCCATAAAACAAAGCTTGACCGCTTCGAGAGTATAGCGTCCGCTTATCAAAGCGAGAGAGTTGATAGACCTATTATGAGTATGTCAGTGCACATCACCTGCAGTCTACACTTAAGATACAGAACTGGTTATGCATCTCAGCAGAAACAACGTGCGTGCTAACAGGATTGGCAAGGTACGCAATCTCTAAAAGAACGATTAACGAGGGACAACACTGTTTTACCCGTTCTCAACCCACCAGAGAGGTAGGCAGCGGCAGCAACATCCGCCCCCTTCAGACTATAGTCGACACTAGGTTCGCCAACTGCGAGGTTGGGAGGCAACCCACAGTTCGTGGAGTGGTTCAGCAATTCGGTGAGCTGAGCAAACATCAACTTGGCTTGGGACAGAATATCAATTCCGTGTGTCCCCAGAGGCGATCAGAGCTTACCTATATGGTGCACTACTAATCGCAATTTCTCTGTTGCCTGGGATGTGTGAATAAAAGACAACTCTCAAAGGAAAAAATGCCTACAGAAGTCACGGCCATAGCCATAAAGTTCGCACCATGATGTATGTATTCTGTCTGCACGTCGACAATGGGGTTGTCTGTTGTCGAATTCAGCTCTACATCCAGGATTTTCTGCGCGACAAGCAGGTCCTCAAGCTGCGGCCCGAGCCACTGTGGAACGGAACGCAGACAATATCTGTCCTGTCGTAGCGTCGCCTCAGGGTCAGATTCGACATGATGAGGTCGTGCGAGTTGGGATGGCAGGAGAACACGACGGATGTTGGCTGCAGCCTCGATCTGGCCTGGGTGCGGGCGGGTAGCTTCGTGCAGGTATGGAGTGAATGGTTCCTGGAACCCCTTGAGCACCTCGACCGCTAACATGGTATTTGAGTACAACCAAATCTCAAAGCCAAAACGAAACTGGATTACCGAAGGCAGACAAAACCTGGGAAGCGACACCGATGATATGGCAGTCATGCATCCCCAAACATGCAACTGCACTGGAAGCACCCGTGCCGTTTATTAGTGAAAGGCCTTCCTTAGCGATGAACTCGATGGGCTGCAACCCGATCTTTTGCAGAATAGTGGGAGAATCGTACACCCTGCGTTCCGCGCTACGTGCGATATAAGTGCAAAACTACAGTGACGAGGACTCAAACAAGACTTACCCTTGACCATACCATGCATAGTTGTCAGGATGACCAGTCAAGACGCCGGATATGTACGCAAGAGGACCTAGATCTCCAGATGCACTTATACTTTGACGGAGCGGAACACAAGGTGCGACGTCATGAAGCAGTAATTTGTATAGACCCTCGATGACGATCCATCGCGTTCCAGATTGGGCACGGATGAGAGAATTAAGTCGAACGAACATCACACCACGGATCCAATCCTGAGGGAACAATAGATCCTGTTCCTCAGGAGTGAGAACTTGTCCGTTTTTAAAAGAGGGAACGATGCCCGCTTGGCAGAGTGCGATGAGCGCCTTCTGCAGAAGCGCAGTTTGCTTGGTCCGCGTTGTCGCTGAAATATACGAGTTCGGAGAATGAGGATCAGTTTATACGGCAAAAGGGAGCAAAAGGGTCACCAAACTCACCGCTCCCTCCGAAGCCGGTAGTGATCCCGTACTGGCTTTGTTCACCTGAAGCCAGCTTTGCGACGACCGCGACTGCTTTCGCAATATTTTGCTGCTTTTCCGGGGAGCAGTCAATACGGGGGGCATGAGCATGGCTGCAATAATTAGCCAGGCTTAGATAGCGACGCTGAGATTTCTGTAGGGACTAACCGAGAGACAGCCACTACTGCGGGCACATCGACACTATGGCCGTCGATGACCGCAGTTTTCTGACCATGAGTATGTGACCGAACTGATTCTAGGTGCTGCTTGACACAAGACAAGTGAGTAGACATGGTGCCGACTACTGGAAGCGTGGAGAACATAAGCCAGAATGGAGGTCCACATTATATATGTTCAAGAAGTGCAACCCTCCTGGACGGTCTTGTGGACGCCGTACAAGTAACGCAATGCTCCGGATGGCCTTGTGGACGCCGCACAAGTAACGCAATGCCCCCGGAGGGTCTTAAGAACGCCGTTAGGCGGGTCTGCAAAATGTTTGTCCCCCGAGTTTTCACATGCTCGGTATCGACTCAATTGACCGCACGACTTGTCAATGGGGCTGACACACGCAATTTTGTCATCTGGCCCGCTCCTGTTTGACTACCGGTGGCACGTGCGCTATAATTGTCTTGCTTGCGAGATAAGCGCAGCAGAATTCGAAAGAAGGGAAACTGCTTGATTACGAAGTGATACTGACTTGCAAACCATTCCACAGGAAAAAATGGCTTGAAGTCCAAAATATTATCAGAATAATTGACCTACCGAGAAGCGTATATCTTACGTGGGATGTTCCTTCGATATCTATGCCGCATGAGGTTTGATCAGTCTTTGGAAGGAAAGTAGACATTAGAAACGAGGCTTCATAAGCACTTGAGCTGCGGAATGCACATTATTTTTGGGTCGTTATTGGCCGGCTTTGCTATGCTGCGGCAAGCATCGCCAACTCGTTCTGCGTGGATCGTGGCAGCCCATGGCAAGATTACCGCAAACATTTGCGGTATAGCTTCCCAGTGAGCATGCATGGCACTGCATCGACTGGGACCCAAATCGTAGGCCAACGGAACTCCAATGATCTCGGCTGAATAACAGCCATCAAACGAAGAAATTCAGCAAAAGAATGAAACAACACACCCAGCTCAATTCTACAAGCAGTCAGTTTGAATTTCCAGTCTCGACGTCCAATGAAGTGAAGTCGTCCTTCATGATTGACACTGGGGAAATCAGCATTCAAAGATCAGAATGGGCAGGACGCGTTAAAACTCACCAGCCGAAGTCGCCAGTTCGGTGCATCCTAAACTCTTTCCTGAATGGATCCGTCATGAACAACTGCGCAGTAGCCTCCGGGTAGCCTAAGCTCATAGTCGGACCGGACATGAATACCTCCCCTACGTGCCAACCGGAACAAACTTCATGTCGGAATCCAAAACGTACAATCGTGTCTGTCCTCCAACGTTGAACCCCAAGGGGGTCTCGTTTGATGCTGACGAGCGCAAGGAATTTCCACCGTGAAACCGCAGATGGACTCGCTGGGACCGAAAGCGTTGAGTAGCATTCGTCCATCACTAAGCCACTCTACGTATCTAATTTGTAAAGAGGAAAAGCTGCAGACGATGAGACGCACTCTCCCGTACATCAGGAAATTAACACTTTACTATTTTTGACCTTTTTGTGACTTTTTTTGACTTTTTTGTGACTTTTTTTGACTTTTTTGTGACTATTGTGACTATTTGTGACTTTTTGGGAAGGAACCTACTATCTGTACTTTTTTTTTTGACCATATACAGCATTTTGAAGAGTGAAAAGAGAACAGCATCGATTGAGACAACTAAGTGATGATATATCTAAGCCAAGAAGACTAGAAAATGTCTGAAAATTCAGAGATATTGAGCCATTGGTGTGATGCACACTGTCTGAGAGAAAAATCACAATATCTCTTTGGAACCTCCATCAATTTGAATATATGTGGTATCTATTGAAAGCCATGAATTAGGTGGTTTGAACAAGACCAAAATTAGCAAGAAAAGTGCAGCCATGCCTGCAGGACATGGGTAATGATAGTAGACTCCTTCCCAAAAAGTCACATTAGTCACAAAAAGTCAAAAATAGTAAAGTGTTATTTTCCTGATGTAAGTACCATTTTCCCATCACTTACTTTGTGCAAGGTCGCAGACTTGGCAGACAATGTAGGGGATAGTCAGTGCTGCTGTGGCGTTGGAGGGGCTGGGGGCCAATATTCCTAGGGCAAGGTACAGTTTCCCCATTGCAAGTCTCACAAGAAGAAGGTGGAGCAAATGTGAGATCTCTGGTCATTCCAGATTCCTGCTTTGAATTGTGAATGTTCCAGCTTTGCAAAATGTCAGGGTGGCAAAATGCCAACTACAGCATGTTACACTTGAATTCAAGCCATATTATTGTACATGGAGCATGCCATACCATATCTCAAGAGGGCTGGATACTTGTTGAAGAAAAAATACATCTGTACACAAGGGGGAACCAGTTTATTGGTCCAAAGGGGTTATTTTCAGAATAACTCGTCAGGGCTGAGATCAAACCACAGCGGATAAATGTGAAACGCTGTGCATAGGAATCTTCAAACACTCCCACTTCCCACAAAAATTTTAGAGGAAATCAAGAGGACGGTTTACATAATTGTAATCATCGTTGCAATGGAGGGATGCGAGAACGTGACAATACGTGACAAGCATCAAGTGGAGCAGTGGCGGAGTGACGTGCTACTTGTGTGTCAACACGTCAAACGTGGTCCGAGTTACAATGCAAGGTGCGACAAAATGCCATTGGGCTGATGGGAACATTTGCAACTCTTGTGTCATTTCGTCTTTTGAACCAGCACCTCTTTGGCAGCTTCTACACCTCACGTGTTACTTCCGTCTCTATCAGAAGTTCCCTTACGCATCGCCCTGTACGTGCTCGTGTACTCTTCATATTATTTACCCGTGTAGTTGTGTAGTTCTGAGATACAGTGTTTCGATTTTTCAAAACTGGTGAACTGGTAGTAGTGCATCATTGTCGACGTTGCGACGTTGCGCCTACTGTGCTGGCCTAAAACTGCCTTTCACCTTCCATTTCCCTGTCAGTATCGATGGACAAAAGGTCTACCAATCACCACATGTTAGTCGGCAGCCGTGTTGGTAATGTCTCTTTCGACAGCATCATCACACTAGGCAATATCAATGCTCGGGGAGCCTAACAATTGGGGCCGAGTAAGAAAGGCGACCGTGGTAGTTAGTTACGACATGCACTGTCAACTAGATATGGTTTAATTCCGCACCGCATAGTGCGCACTCCTTCAATTTGGGTCTGGAAGTCAGGTATACTTCGCTCTGCGGTACGTGGAGATGATCCAGCTCATTGCCCTCTCCGAAATCTGAACACAAAGCATTGTGGGAAGGAAACATTGTTTGAAATTTTGCAAAGGATTACATAATGCGATCGATCGGCGACTGACTTGACAAGTACACGCTGTCATAGTCCGAACTATGAAAATAGAAGCTGATCCTACTCGCCCACCGTATCCTTTCGTCTGCGCATGGCGGTGCCAGACAAAATCTCGCTTCCACAGTGACTCCCCGATCTGTTAGAATTCTGGTTTGCAAAAAATATACTGATACAAGGACTTTTGGTGGTCTAAACCTGGCCTGTACCGAAGTAGTCTGCTTGACTGAGCGCTTGATTTTGTAGACTGGCTGATTTCCCGCGATACGCACGCTGCGTTTTGATGCTTATTCGCATCCCAAATGGGTCGGTGAGGCGTTCCGATTCCACTTCATTAGCCTTGTACTAACTAGACATTTTGGGTACTCGTCACCGATACTCGGTTGTTGGTCGTCTGAAATCGAGACTAGCTCTTCATTACAACCGCGCAGCATCATTCGATGGCTGTTCGGAGAACTGATTCGCCCTTATGATGGCGCTCCTTGACCGGTCGGTCATCTTTTCTTCCCTTCTTAACAGCTCGTTTAGTATCCTGCGCGGTGGTTGTGAAGAAAATGGCTACCGATGAAAGCACTCCCCTACTAAAAAATTCGCAAACGAAGGCGAAGACACCCCTGCCAAAAACACAACTGGGGCTTGTCTTGTTCGTCCTTGCCACTGAGCCTATGTCCTCACAATACATTTACCCGTTCATAAATCAGGTGAGTAAGACATGTGTAAGATCACTGTAGAGCACTGTGGGAGCTGATTGGATGACACAACACTGGACGGCTTCCATCGCCCGCCAACGCCGTGTAGCTAATAAGGGAGGTAGGCGTTACGGGTGGCGACGATCGCAAGATAGGATACTATGCTGGCACTATCGTGAGTATTCGTCTAGCGATTCTCATGGATGTGTTCGGCCAAACTCCGGTCTCGGGAAACCAGCTTCACGAGATACACATGCATTCTGTTCTCACACGACTTTCAATTAATTTACCTTCAGGAATCCCTGTTTTTTGTCACCCAAGCACTGACGGTCTTGAGCTGGAGTCGGATATCCGACTATGTCGGCCGCAAGCCTGTATTACTTGTCGGCCTCATGGGTCTGAGCATATCCAATTTGTGTTTTGGACTATCCAAGACGCTCTGGGCGCTCATTGCGAGGTAAGAACTCTTGTAGTGCACTCAGCTTGGAGTGTAATCCAAATTTTGGCTGTAGTCGATGTATTGCCGGAGCCTTGAACGGTAATATCGGGGTGATGAAAAGCGTCATAGGCGAAATAACAGACGACACCAATATGGCCCAGGCATTTGTGCTTATCCCTATCGTTTTCTCTACTGGTGCTTCAATCGCGTACGTAAACACGCTCTCGTGCCTACCGGGTGCTGAACATCAAGCCCTTGGCAGTCCCCTTTTTGGGGGCGGGTTGGCGAAGCCGCATGACCATTGGCCCGAGCTCTTCTCAGGGTCGTTCTGGATTCGATACCCGTACTTCCTCCCTTGTCTCGTATCCGCGTCGTTCGCTGCCTTCTCATTCTTCATAACTGCACTACTTTTGGAGGAGGTGAGCCAGCGTCGCGTACCATGTTGAACGGTTAACCATCTCAGAATACAGTCGCTGCCATCGAAGCGACATGGGAATAGCCCTCAGCCAGAGATACCTTCAATAGATACTCGGATTGGCACACCGGGTGGCAAAGATACTTCCCCAGTACCAATTCGTGCTCTACTCAAAACCTATTCGGTGATGATACCCGTCGCAAATTATGGTATACTGGCTCTTGTCGACATTGGTTTTTTCGCTCTTGTACCCTTGTTTTACGGAGCCCCTATCGAAATTGGGGGATTGGGATTGTCACCATTCGCCATTGGCGTGTGCTTGACGGCATTTGGCTTTGGCAATGGCCTGCTTCAAATGCTATTTGCGGCTCGGGCAGTAGATCGTTTCGGTGCAAGAAGGGTATTTTGTTCGACCGTACTTGCATTCTTCCCCACAATTGTTACATTTCCGATTATGAGTTGGGTCATCCATGTTCAAAAGGAAGTTGGCCCAGCCATCTGGATGCTCATCTTTGCTCAGCTACTCTCGTGGTCAGTAGTTGATATGTCCTATGGTATGTGACCCGTTACTCGATATAGTGAGTAGCTCCCTCATGCAATCGAGAAATTACAGCTATTATCTCTTTATTTGTCACGAGGGCTTCGCCGAACAAGCACTCGCTTGGTACAGTGAATGGTCTCAGCCAGACTACGGTATCGATTGCAAGGGCAATGGGGCCAGCAATGTTCACATCACTATTTGCGTTCTCAAAAGAATACAACTTACTTGGAGGAAATCTGGTATATATTGTGCTTCTGGTCCTTTCGTGTTTGTTAGCCTTCTTGTCGAAGCACCTTCCGGAGTTGAAGAAAGACAGTAAAAACAGGAGTACACACTCGGAATCGATACCGTGATACTTACATACACCGGCCCTTCGGGCAATCCAGGACGCGGATCCATGCATGGCTCAATCTCCTACCCGAACACAAATATACTGTACTATACAATGTGCATTTGGTTGGACATAGAGTACAAAGTCAGAAAAGGAACGTAGAGTGTGGATTCGGGACGAAGCAAAAAATGCGTTCAGGAATGGTGGAAAAATTTTAAAAAATGAAAATAAATGTTTCAGGGGGAGGGGGTTCGAGAGCGCTGTGGCAGGTACCATCGCCGTCGCATATGGCGTTAGATCTGCACATTTATTCCTGCGCGTTTTGTAGCGCCAACGCGCTTTTTTCCCCAGCTGGCCGCGCTGACGTAATGCCTGTGCCGCGCATTTTGTACCCTCACCACATTTTGCCTTAGTTGCATTGTGGTGTATTTTGTGCTCTACCGCATTGCTTTTGTACTTAGTTTGCTTTCAGACTTAGCAAGTTGGAGAATGTGACACAGTGTATTCAATCCAAGTATAAACTGTGTCTAAACAAAGTTACTAAACTCATGCTAAAGAAATGATTGAAGATCTTTCAGGGATAGAATGGTATAAGTTTCAGAGTCAGAAATCCAAGGGTTGACAATGGGACCAGCATTTGGCGAATCAGGGTGATGGCATCTCTGTAACAAGACATCATCTTCACTGATGCTGATGTGTTCTGGTGCAGATGAGATTTGAGCCTGAGGTGAATTGTGCTGGGGGATACTGATGGGAGGAATAATGGTACCAGCTTTGATGAGGCTGCAAACACCAAGTTGTTAGAAACACAAGGATTACATCATGGAAGACATACCATTCTTGAGCTTCTTGACTGCAGGGGGAGATTGTATTGGTGAGTGTAAAATGCAAGACCACTTTCCTGACAGTTGGTGGGAGGAATGTCAGTATGGTAGTAGTTATGAGCATAAAAATATAAAAGGACTGACCAGATTGTTGGGGGGGGGTGTCTTCAGGATGAGACAGTGCCTTTCAGTGCCCTTGCCTTTATCCATGACCTTAGCAACAATGCAATCATCTCCACAATGCAGGTTGAGCTCAATCATCAAACTTGAGAGCTTCACATCAATGTTGCTGCCACTGCCATTGTGGTTGTGATCAGACAGACAGATAATCTCTGTGCCATGGAAGGAGTCTCCAGACATGTCTGAGTCTACTTTGCTATCAGAGCCAAGGACAAGTGGCTCGGTATTCCATAACTCATAAATGTTGTCTGGAATGGTCCTTTGGCTTGCTGTGGATTATTGTAAGTCTGATGACAGATAAATTATTTTGGTGACCATACCAAACCACAATGCATGCCTTTCCACAACCCTTATTCTCATAAAGGGTGGATCTGTTAGGTTGAGTGACTTCAATGATCAAGAATGAGTGGTGGTTGATAGTAAGGAGTTGCCAATCTGGGGTTACAGATAGTGAGGCTGATCTATTACCTTTACAACTTGGATTCTTGTCAAAATAGTTGAAGACCTGTGGGAACCATTGGTGAAGTTGCCTGTTGACATTGGGGTGCATCCATGATGGGTCAATCTGAATGCCACCAGCACCGGGTGCAGCAGAGATGAAACAGCCACAATTTCTCATTAATTGGATACTGCTCCAGTAGCTCTTGCCAGAGGGAGCCATCAGATTCTTCAGATATCCATCCTTCTGTTGTAATCATTAGTTGTTAGTACTATCTGATTTTGTGAGATGCACATCAATTCTGCAAATGACTATACCAACAGACTGAACATGAAAGATTGTGCTGGACTTGGGTGCCATGGCTTGATGGTTGGATCCCATAAGGCCCTGTGGGACTAGCTGTTATGGTTGATAAAAATTGATAGGAATAGAAACCCACCTTGTGAGAACCTTTAACAGCTGCAGGGTTGATGGGAGGGTGACCTTTCATGAGCTTCCTGTAGTTGGCCTGCTTCTTTGATGAAAACATTGCCAGAGCCTCAGCATGAGTGTCTGAGGGAAGAGTATTGCTGCCCATCACCAGGCTGGTCAACAGTTGGCAGTTCTGTGATGCAATGATGTTGCAAAAAATGCCCTGAATCTTCATGTTCAAGGACATGGTAGGTGCAGTTGCTGGATATCAAGGCTGGGAGGATGGCAGGGGTGTCAGATCTGAGTGCAGGGTTATTGGGTGTTCGGTCGAAGTCAACTGATGGTCATGTGAGTGCTCTCCCTGTCATTCAGCACTCTGGTGGTGACGTGGTGCCATTGGTTGTGGCATGATGCAAGGGCGAATGACAGTTGACAAAGTGAGCTGCCAAAAGGCACTTCAGAACCTGGTGCACACAATATGGATAGCACAATACATTTATACCTGGTTCAAAAGATGTTACTGTACACTGTGCTCGATGAAATGTGTCAAACAAAGTAGGGCCTGGCCTCATAAGCACACCCAATCATACCAAATCTCCCCTGCAAGCAATATGTCCAGCTGTTTAGTCTGCCACCTCCCCACCTGAATTGACTCAAAGATAGGATAACCTGCCATTCCCCATTCTGCTGGTGTAAGCCAAAACCCATCCAGAATAATTTTCTGATGGATCACCTCATGTAACATCTTGAAAAAAAAACTTCATCCTCAAGGTTGGCAAATGGAGTCTTGAAGGAGGGAACATGTACAGCATCTTGATATGCATGTTGCTGTTGCTGTGCGCTGACCAGCTTGGCCACTTGTACCTCAACTTCAGTAGGCTCTTTGTCATCACTATCCTCTTCATTGGCTGGATGGTCAGCACCCAAATGACATCTTTCACACATCCAATCCTCCCCATGCACACCATAATACCTATCAATGATGTCTGGGAGGATGCCTTCACAGTCATCCCTGTATACACCAAATTGTGTTTGGCCTAAGAAGTGAAGGTCCTGAAAAATAAATAAATTAGGTAGATGTCTTGCAATGTGTACAATAACATATGTTAGGTGACTTATTGTTGGTGTCTGGACCACTGATTGGATGGCAATTCCATTCTTGCCAGAAATTGAGGCAGTCAGCATTCACAGCATTGAGAAAAAGGCAGTGCAAGAGCCATAAGTAGTTGGGGTTCTGATAGTCGAGCATGTGAGACTGCTCCACTGGTCAGAGATATGATGGTGGTGAAACGATTGGGTGGACCCACATTGACTTTGCTCACATAACATTTATATAGTGATGTAGCATATGTATTGTATGGGGATCCAATGCTATTTCTTAGACTTAGAACATGCCAGGTAATTAATACTGCTGGTGTTGTATAAGGATCCAATGCAGATCTAAACTACCCTGGAAAGCTCTACAACAAATATCAAATATTAATGGACCACTGTCTGGTATGACATGCTATGAAAAGGGTTGGTTCAGTATGGTTTTGCAGCTGTTCAAGAGATTTGCTCAATTGCTACATATCCTTAACCTGCCACTGTACAGGTGGCACCTCCTGAGTGACCAGAGCACAAGCAAGTCAGAAATTACTGGACTGTGTGACAGTTCATGCTACCATGTGACTTCAACATAGTCTGGAGTGCCCTGACCCTGTTGTGTCTGCCATCTCACCTGTGACTGTGCTTATATTCCTCTAGAATGTCTGTCCCTGTTCAACACCCTGTTTATTACTTTCAACATGGCATGCATGTCTTTCATGTGTGTATCTCCCTGTTTCAAAATATGTTATCATTCTGACATCTTTTGATAGGTCAAAAATACACTTTACAGGTTGCATGGCAATATCCTCAGTAGCCACTCCCTCACTTTCAAGGAAATGTTTGAGCATGCTGGAACCAGCTTGTCTTCTGATGAGAAAAGTGATGATGAAAGTGATGGAAAAGGTGATGGGGAGTGTGAAGGAGACTGTGACAAGTGGCCTATTTGTCTTTCAGTCAAGCAGCAAGCTCTGTTTGACTTGTTTCTTGATCATATCTATGGCCAGTAGGTCTTTTTTTTTCCCTCTCAATGTGGATTTTGCTTTGACCACTTCCACAGTTCATGTCATGTGGGTACTGCTGAGGCCTATTCTCACCAAGAAATGTGAGAGTTGCTGGGATTCATCCAGAAGTATCAATGTGGAGCCATGTGACACTTTGCCATTGCTCACATCTGGCACAAAAGATTTGCTTATCATCTGTCAGAATTTGTCAGGCTAGGTTGTGATTTCCACATCCTGAAGGTTTTCACCTGTGGTTTCAAGGAGCTCCTCCACTTTCTGCTCAAGGAGATTAGCAAGGAGCATCGTCAGTTGATAGGTGAGAAGGTATTTGTTGTGGTGGTGTACATGAAAGCCATGCTTGATGAGCACCACAAAATTATTGCTTGTGAAGAACCCACTATCCTCTCCCATGCAGAAGTAGAAGCTGGTCTTATATTTCACAAGAAGGACAGGGAGGGATTGGTGCCAAAGGAGATGCTGCTGGGGGAAATCCTAGAGGGTGAGATGACTGAAATCATTGAGGAGCCATCTGTGTGGAGAGAATTCCAGGTATTAATACATCCCTCCCCATTTTTTTCTTTCACAGCTTGTTCATTCATTTGGCAGAGGATCTTTAGTTTCTCGCACTCCCTCTGTCCTTAGCAGATCTGATTTATATGTGGCATTGTTCCTCTCACACTATATCTACACACTCCCCCTCCCTACTGTGTGGTGATGACAAGTGAAATCAACAAGTGAACTAGATGCAAACAAAAATGCTCTCCAACCAAATTTATTTATCTGTGTACTATATACAATAATACAATTACATGGTGGTACAGTTAAAAATAATGGCATGGCTGAACAAGTGCAGCAGCAAGGCAGTGAGGCTGCAACATATGGGTGATGTGGCTGATTGGACATGGTGGTGAGGCCATGGCATATAGGTATTGCAGCTGAATGGATGCAGTGATGTGGTGATGCAACCACAAAAAATAAATGTGCAGATTTTATGCCATACAGTGAAGTTTAATATTACATCATGTGACCCCCATAGCACTCATTATGTGCCCAGGACTCTATTTTACAGACAGTTCCTTACATAAATGCACACATGACATGTCTAAATGCGCACACAAGATGTCCAAATTGCACACTTTGACATGTCCAAAATGTGCATTCTGTGGTCTAAATCATGCATTTCCACAATAAACATTTTGTGGAATTATTTGGGGTTTACCATTCCATACACAACAGTCTATTGGCTTTCGCTGGAAGGCACTTTCACTCCTGCCTTTGAAATCCAAGTTGCAAATGTTTCCAACATGACAAGTATGTGATGTCATCTACTTGCAAACATCACAGTTCCACCTTCTCCACCTGCTCCATTCCCTCCTCCCTCCTTGGAAAGTCCCTTTTCACTACTAGCATGGTGGATCAATGTTCCCCTGCTGCGCTTGTGTTGGCCATCAATGATGTGTGTGACTATGGCATTAGATCTGCACATTTATTCCTGTGTGTTTTGTAGTGCCACTGCACTTTTTTCCCCAGCCGGCCATGCTGATGTAATGCCTGTGCCACACATTTTGTACCCTCGCTGCATTTTGCCTTAGTTGCATTGTAGTGTATTTTGTGCTCTACCACATTGCTTTTGTACTTAGTTCACTTTCAGACTTAGCAAGTTGGAGAATGCAACACAGTGTATTCAATGAAGGGAGGAATATATAGAAAGCTAACTAGGAAAACCAGTCACTGTTAATACCTACATTGTCTATGAGCCCTTGACAAACATCTGTAATGAAAGTATTGACATACTTAAAGGCAACCCCACACTCAAGCACCTGAAACATAAGTTTTTGACAGCTGGGAGCCATTTGACCAAACTGCATCTTGTGAAAATGCTTAACAGCATTGAAATATGGCTGTGGGTTTCTTCCATTGAGGAGAAAGCAGCCCATTCCATTCCACCAAACAGCATGCCAGTCTTCTTGACACATTGTCAGGTTTCAGCAATCATCTGCTTCATGCATCTGTACCTTGGTCATCAGATCCCTGTACCTCTGACAAAATTCGTCCAGAGTCATACTGACCTCAAACATGCATGCATTCCTCTTCACAACCTTGACCAACCCTGAGCTGCATACCTGACCCTTGACCGACCATCCTTCCAGCTGGTTTGGGAGTTGGGAGTCATTTGGGTTCATACAGAACATGAACCAATTGTGTGTCTCCCAACATATCAAAGAGTGTATTGAGGGCAGTGCAGAATTCACCTGTGATGCACAGAGTACCTGTGTTCTGGGAAGTAGTGATGTCCTCATCCTCATGTTCTTCTTTGACAATGGGAGGAGTCATGCCAGTGGCAGCATTGTTGCATGGCATATGACAAATGGTATTCATCTGGCAGGTGGAAGGAGCACACATGGGTTTGACAGGTTGTTGGGCTGCAGTGATCATGTCCTTGCTTCTGGGATGGGCCTGTATGGCAGTGGCTTTCCCCAAGAAGAGACCTTTGATGAAGGGATTGATGGACCCTGCCCCTTCAGCACCATCCCTGAGGCCAGTGCTGGCTGCCATGCCATGAAGAAGAGCCACAAAATCGGGGTTAAGAGCATTGAAGTTGTGCTCTAAAAACACCTCTGAGGAATATGTCACCAGGTCATTGAAATGGAAAATGGTGAACATTGGGAAACCAGACCCACCTCCTAGTTTAAAGGAAGAATGGTTGCCCCATTGCTTGGTGAAGGTGTTGGCCATGGTGTGATCTGTCTTTTTGTGGGATCGGTGAGCTTGGTTGTCCATGATGTGAATAAGGCCACCAGGTTCATTCCAGAGGAGTCAGATGCATGCAGAGTTGTTGAAGTAAGGAATGAGGGGGACATATTTAGATATGCCTTCTGATTGGTATTCATTGACATGGGACTCAAACAGCCATTGTTGAATGAAATGGTGCAGTCGTTCATTGGTGAAGTTAATGCAGAATTGGTCCAGCAAGTTGGATCTGCCCAACATGTTCTGTGGACCAGGGAGATTGAATAAACTGATAAAAGTGTCAAAGAGATATATTGTCTGTCATAGATTGACCAAGTTCTTCTTCAGCTGCTCAAGCATAAAAAAATCATGATATCACAAGTGCAAAAGCCACATACCTTCTTCATGAATGGTGCTGGTGTGTGCAAACATGCTTGGAACATTCCTTGCCACCCTTGCTTGTGATGGAGCAAGGGGGGCAGCTTGGTATGTGTGGCTGGTAGTTTGATATTACAAGACTATAAGGGCTGAGAGCAGCATGCTACAACTTCACTATTAGTCACACTTGTGTAGATATTCTCAATATAGGCCAGCACAACTGCTGGCAAAACAAATCAGATTCAGACAGTACTATGGACATTAGGGAGCAATAAGTAGCAAGTGAAAAAAATGGAAGTATCACAAATCAATGTTGGAAATATCTCCATCCTTCACCATTGTTGTCTGTTCAAATTGCATGAACCATGGATTTGGTGGAGATGGGGCATTGTCATCGCTGTCAGATAAGAAATCTTTCACTTCAACAGGGCCAGAAATGGGCCCCCCAGGCTGATGAGGCCAAGCAGGTTGGGTGTTGGCATTTACTTAATGCAGATATTGTGTGATTAGTATGTTACTGTAAGTCAACTAAATACAAATGTACAGCCTTTGCATTTCTTGCGGAAGGACTGCCTATTGGAGTCCATAGCCTCAGGGGAGGATAAGATGTTAATAGAACATGACCTCTTGCCTAGAAAAAAAAAAAAGTTGATTTTGATGGTAAAAACAACAGTACTTAACTTACTGGTCCCAGTCACTGTAGTGATTTCAAGGTTGGCAATGGAACTCGATAGCTCAACCACCTCATTGTCACTCTCACTCATAGCCTCTTCATCAGTTCCCACTATGTCCGATCCAACCTTCCACTTGTCAAAAATAAGATTGGGGACAGGATTTCGAGTGACTGTCCAAAAAATAAGGATGGCCAAAGTTGTAATATTTTGGCCACATACCAAACCACAGGTTACTATCAGCAATGCCAGACTTCTGACATCCCTTGAAACAGGCAAGAACAATACCATTCAGTCAAACAGCCATAGAGAGTTTGAAGCTGCCAGTCAGGTTGGGTTTGGGATGTCATATTGGCTTTCTCATGATGAGAGTCAAAATATTGAAAAACATTTGGGAACCACAAATGCAGCTGGGCTGTAACATCTTCATGTGACCAAGAAGAGTTAACTTCAATCATTTGTTGGAGATAGCATCCATGGTTTTCCAAGTTTTGGATGAACAGTCTCTTCTCCACAGTTGTCTGCAGCAAGATTGGGTCCTTCATTAACTGGCCATTTGCCTGTATTTCAATTTGTGAAGTAAGAGTCTGCACAATAAAAATTTAAAAAGAAAAAATACATCTATTCCACATGTAATGGTTGTGACAGAGCTGACATGGAATGTCTGACCACTGGTTTGCTGTTGAGAAGGCTGGAATAAAAATGTCAGCCTGAGCAGTCCCAAGGCACTACAAATGCCTACCTTGCATTTGTTAGAAGCAGTCATCTGTAATGTTGAAAGCAGCTTCAGCTTTGAAGATTTAGTTGCCAGCGCCTCCTGGTGGGGATTCAGTTGAGAAGTGCCAGTGAGATGTCTTGAAGTAAGTCCTTCAAATATTTTTGCCACATTTGATGAGCCACATACAGTGGGCTGCAATTGGGTGACAGCTGGGGCATTGATGGCTGGGGAATTGTCAGTGTGCAGGTGCTTACTGAACCCATGTGAACATTCCCAGCAATGAGCAGGGTCATCTGCCTTAGGCCTAAAGTGCTCACAATCACATTGACCACCTCCACCCTGGCAGAGGTTCGTCTGGGTCAACACACTCAACATGCTAAGTGAGGATGAGGTGAATGCGGTTGGTGTTACCACAGTAAAATTCAGATGCATTTATACAAATCATGAGCCATGGCTCATTAAGTAGAATGATAATGTAGACAACGCCTGGCACCATAGGCATGCCCAGGAATACCAAATTGCATCAGCCAATGAAATATCTACCTCTTTTCGTGCATGGTGCCCAATGTGTATAGTCTTGATCAACAGGTACATGTCAGAGTCCCACTCCATTGCTGTCAACCCGAAATTTTCCAGTGTGATGTCCTGCATGACTACCTGTTGAAGACCCCTGAAGAAGGTTAGTTCTTCTTTGTCATTCTGAAAAGGGTTCCAAAGAGACAGTACATGCACAGCCTCATGTTTAATGTGAACTCGCTGTTGGTGTGCAGTCACATCAGCTGTCTCTGTTACTTCATCATTGGCAAGGTTACATCCTTCACAATCTTCATGCTCTCAGTAGATTCCAAATTGAATCTGACCAAGCAGATGCATATCCTTTATTTCATGAGATGAAGAGTATAAACTAATAAAATTTGAGATTTACCAATGGACTCTTGTTGTTAGTACCTGTGCCACCCATTGGGTGGCAGTTCCACTCCTCCTGAAACACATGGCAGTTGTGATTGATATCATCAAGGAACAGTGTGTGGAGTAACCAGATATGTGATTGGTTTTCAATATCAAGCATATGAACACATTCAAGCTGTGCAAAAAAAGCATGCTGGCATCTGGCAAATTGGGATCCAACTTCAACCCATAAGTGCTTGATGTGACAATTCTGAGTTGAACTATCCATATGATCAGCAATGATGAATACAAAAATAATGTAAAACTCACATTCCCCAGATAAATGAGCCATAGTGGTGGCCATTCTTCATGATCATGTATGTCACAACACCAATGTTCTCACCACTATGGTCTCCACATACATGAGAAGGTATTCCATATTGTTGAGTAGTGTGTTTGAATAAGCAAAGGATGGTCGATGACCAGTTGTTGTTGTTAGCATGAATTGTGGTAACCTATGAGTGAATCAACAAATGTGACAAACTTGAGAAGGAGATAGATGTACTGTGCAGCAAAAGCCATTGATAAACCTGTGGATGACAATTCCCCACCGGATCAGCTTGTGGTGGCCATTGATGTGCCACAGCACATTTGGCCATTTGACATGATACTTGCATCTCATTTTCATGTGGCAGTCTCGTAAAGCTTGACCTAGTTGATCGATCCTTTGAAGCGACTGAATTATGCAGTGATGTTGCACACAGATCCCCTGTGCTTGCATAAACCCCATGATATAGCAAAGGCCAGACTTGGGCCATCTCTTCTTGAATGTGGTAACAAGCTTATCAAGCTCCATATCTGTGATCTTCATGTATCTTTGTTCAACACTGTGAGACTTCATGTAAGAACATAAGGTGTTTCTGTGGATTCCAAGGATGTGTGCAAGCTTGGTGGTGTGGATTTGCCTTGAAGTTGAAATGGCCTCCTCAAGAATGCTGATGTAAATGACTTTCCTTGGTTGTCCTCATAAGCCAATGTGAATTTCCATCACAGGCTCTGGGATCTCTACAGTGTTGTTGACACTAATCATGAGTTGGCATGACAGACTGTTAGTGTCAGTGGCCATTTATTCAAACATACTCACTGAGTCTTCATGCTGTCTCAATAACATGTAAGTGCCACATGCAGTCTTCCAATTGACTTGGCCACCAGTGAAAGCCAGTCAGACAGATCAGATCCTAGATGGTCTTCTTCAATTGTGGTAAGGAGATGCATCACATTGCCTTCCAGAAAGCTGAGGTGGCAGTCTAAGTGAACTAAGTCATTGTCCTCTTGAGTCCAGGCATGGAGAGCATGCTGGTAAATTTTGGATAGAAAGTCAAAAGCAGTGAGGAGATTGGGTGGCCATGGTGTGGTACTTGCAGGTAGCTGAGGGATGGCACTTGGGAGCAAAGTCCTAACAGAGTACATACATAGGTCTGGATGCATGAAACCTAAACCCACATACAGCCAAACAAATAACTGACATAATTTCAATGCACAATTTTCTAGGCCTAACCTTTCCAGCATTTTGCCCTAATCATGACTAGTCCTTCAGCACCAGCAACTGTGACAGCCACCTGCCATCCTGACTTTTATTTTGAAAATGGCATGTACATTATCCTGGTTGAAAATTTCCTTTACAAACTCAACCATGACATCTTGGTGAATGAGTCAGCCTTCTTTTCTGACCTCTTTTCACTTGGCAAATTCATGCCAGAAGACAAGGACAGGGAGGGGCACACTGATCAGAAGCCAATTATTGTGAAGGACAGATTCCTCACTACAGAAATTTTTGACTTGTTCCTTGAGATCAAGTTCATGTGGTAAGTCTACAAGTTTCTGCTCTGATGCACATACTGATTTCACCTACTAAAGTCCCCACCCACCTGCTAAATATTCTGCAGATGACCTCAAGAACCTCCTGGAGTTTATCCACAAGTTCCAATGCAGTGCATGCCTACTCAGCTTCATTACTTCCTGCATCATTGAGAAATCATATTCCTTCCATCCTTCTGAACTCATTTATTTGGGCATTGAGTACAAGATTTGGGTGCTCTTCGAAAGAGGTTTTATGAGGCTCTGCAACCTCCCTCTGACAAAGACCAAGAAGATTCACCATCACTGGATGGGGATGGAAACTTACATCACCTATGTTTATGTCAGGTCCCACCTGGATGAGTATGTCCACACAGTCGCTGTGGAGGCCCCCCCTATCGTACATGCCACTTGCTGTCAGGATCATAAGGGGTGTGAAGAAGACTGGGGTGTGGTGTGGTGGAACAGCATGGGGCAACTCTTCCTCAATGGAAGGAGCCCATACAGTTTCAACAATGCTATTGATCTCTTCAAGAAATTGCAGTTTGGCTGCATCGGCAAAGATTGCAAGAGGTATATGTTTTCAAATATAATGCACATAAATAAACCACTTGCCCACTCCCACTGGTTCATTACCCATGTTAGAGATTGTCTTGTCCAGAGCATTATACCTACATAGGTCTCATCATGTATCATTTGTTACTTCTTGTAATTGTATGTAGAAATGCAGTGGCACATCATATAAATTGACAAGACTTCATTTAAGTTGAAGTTATCTTAGCCTGGCTCATAAGCCAATTTCGAAGCACAACTAAGTTGTACTATGTACAATAATACAATTACATGGTGGTACAGTTAAAAATAATGGGCATGGCTGAATGGGCATGGCAGCAAGGTGGTGAGGCTGCAACATATGGGTGACGCAGCTGATTGGACATGGTGGTGAGGCTGCAGCATATAGGTATTGTGGCTGAACAGATGTGGTGATGTGGTGATGTGACTGTGAAAAATAAATGTGCAGATTTTATGCCATCTCGCTGCAAGTTGCTTTGCAGCATGGTCAATGAAATTCTCCTCATGCTGGAATGCCAGACCACCTTGAATTTTGTTCATCAGGGTCTGCCAGCATACCTGAGATACTTGGCCAACCCCTTCAAGCTCTTCAAAGTGCCTGACAGCATCCTTGTATGGCTGTGTGTTTCTCCTACCACATTCCCATCATCTGACTTCCATTTCAGAGCACTGAGAGAGGGCTCCCCATCCCCCCCCGAAGCAAGTTCCCCTCTCAGTAGACTTTGTTGAACCGAGTGTCGATGATATGATACTGCACCATGTGCCAGAACCAAGCAGTCCATTTGCTGCTCCTCGTGTCAATCCCTGGTCCAATGATCACTTCCTTGATGATGGTATTTACTAATGTCCACTTTCAGTCAATCTCTCGACATATGGCTCACAATACTATGTACTACTTTGTCAGGCATTAAACACAGTGATACCGTCTTGGGCTCTTAGGATCATCTTCTGTTGTGACATGGGCAACCTAAATTTAATTGATTAATTCTGAGTTTGAGTGTTATGAAAATTTTGTAAACACATGCACCCTGGTTGATGCATCCAACAGATTCTGAACACACATGCAACAGTGTTTGAAATGCATACATATTCTGAAGTCTAAAACGCACATTCAACAGTCTAAATTACACAGTCAACAGTCCAAAACACACATTCAATGGTCTAAGTCACGCATTTCCACAGTAAACATTTCGTGGAATTATTGGGGGTTTACCATTCTATAGTTGCACCCTATGATGCTGCATCTGTAACATTAAACAAACAAAAATAAAACAGCTGATTGTGTGACTTTTGCAGTAATGTGCAGAAAATTGGCAGGTGGCTGTGCCCACAACTACTGACTAAGCAGGGCACATGCATGGGGGAGTGAGTGAGTCAGGGCTACATGCACTTCCTCACCCATTCCTTGGGACTTGTTTTGATGCTACTGTACATAACCCATGTAATAATGGGTATTTTGCCAAGAAATGGGCCCAAATTCACTAGGCCAGTGATGACTACCAGGTGGGAGGGGCAGGGGAGGGGGTTGAGCATTCGAGTGGGCCCTGTGGAGCATCATGGCCTCATGGATTGGGTGGGATGACTGGGGAGGGTGCTGACAAACTGTGTTCATGTCCTGCCTATGTTTATCTATTTTATCTGCCTTCCTAGCTAGTGCAAAGAATTATGCAGGGGTAATATAAAAAGTTGCACAGGAGCAGTGCTGCAAAAGTTGCACAATCAGCTGCTTTATTTTGGTTTGTTTAATGTTACAGATGCAGCATCATAGCACCCTCCCATGGTCACTCGGAGTTCAAACCATCATGATCATGTGCAACAAAAGATGAAAACAGACCAGGAGTACTGTTCCGCATCCTAGAATAACCATGATCCTCTTTAGGACTCTTCAGATGATTTTGTCCATATATGTCATCTCATATCTGACACTCAAACTAAGGCCCTCGGACTGGAGGATGTTACAGAGGCGTTAATGTCATGAGTTGTTCATGAATGGAGAGTGATTAGTGTAACATTCTTGCAATGAAAAGTGGTAACTACCATCAGGTAGTGTTGCATTGTTCATGGCGACAGGGTTGTTGCAAAGAGTGTTGCAACATTTTGTCAACATTTCAACAATCATACTAATTTTGTTGCAGCATGTTGCAGCACTCATTGCAATGTCTATACTACTTTCATTGCAATGTGTTGTAGTGCCCTTGCCCCTTTTGTTGCAACATCTATACTACTTTCATTGCAACACATTGTAGCACCCTTGCCCCTTTTGTTGCAACACATTGTAATGTTGCAACACCTGTTGCAATGTCTATACTACTTTCATTGCAATGTGCTGTAGCGCCCTTCATTGCAATATGTTGCAACACCTTGTGACCACCATATTAATTACAACTTAATTGCTTATCTGCCAGTATATGCAGTTGGATAGCTCAAGCACATTTGCACATAGAAGTATGACATATACATGATGATGAGACAATTTTGACAAAGAGTACAAATTACAAAAAGCTTAAGGAACCGTCTTCCTTTTCCTGGCATAAACAATTATCATCAAAACATAGCATCCCAATTGAATTGCATGACTTACTTTGACTTCCTTGCCACACCATCCTTGAGTTCAGACTGCTTCTTCTTCACCCTATGCACTGCCAAACCATTCTCCTTATCCGCATCACCTATCATGTTGTCTCACTGGGCATGCAAGGATGGGACTGGTTTGCATTTAGGACAGCCTAGCAGAGGGTCCCCAAGTGCCTTGGAGGCTGGTGGTGGAGAGCTGTCATCAGATGGGGCAGGAGGTAACAAAGGCAGGTCTTGTGTCAAGTGCTCATATTGCCCTGCCATTGTGAAATAGTCCAGATATGGATTGGTAGTACTACTAGTAAGAGACATCAAATGGTTCATAGCATGGACAGTTGCAGGGTTAGAGCTAATGGGGGGTAGGCCATCAAAGTTCCACTGTGGTGTAAACATTGACATCATGTTGGCCTGGAGAATGCTATCCAGTTCTGTGCCAAAAGAGCCAAAATCCTGTGAAGATAAAAGATGATTGGAAATACCAGAAGGCTGGATACTCGCTGAAGGGACAAGAGTGTGCTCAGGCATTGCAACACTTGGAAGTCCCATGATGGAACTGGGCATTTCAATGCATGAAGGTGTTGCAACATATGCTGGAGTTTTGGCCAGACTTGCAATACTCAGATGTGTGGTCTGAATGTGCAGTGGTGAGACAATAGGATAACATGATGTTGCAAGAGTGGAACCTGTGACAAGTTGGGGTGGAGTTGTTGCAACAGACATACCATTGTGAGAAGTTGCAACACTTAAATACCAAAGTGTTGAGAATATAAATATGAGAGTGGAAGCATTGCTCAACTTGTCTGAATGCCCAGCATCATCAACCTCCTGGTCATCATCGGTCCCTGAATCATCACCTTCCTGGTCATCACCAATGCCCACATCATCCCCTTCATTGTCCTTGCCAATGCCTGCATTGTTACCTTCCTGACCCTCACCAACATCAGTGTCATCATCTTTGTCATCCATGTTCCTGTGGTTGTCAGGCTCATCATCATTGTCACCCTTCATGACATCAGTACCATTGTTTGTGTCATTGCCCTTGTCATGGCCTGTTTTCTTGCTGATGGAGGAGGCTGCAATGACGGGTACATTATCATCTTCCCAGTCAGCATTGCAGCTTTTCTAACTAAAGAATAAAAACTTACGAAGCTTGGAGTCAAGGAATTCTGTGTATGCTTGCACACAGTGGAGTCAAAGTGACAGTAAGACTCTGCAAAATTAAGTCCACATCTATTCTTCCCAATGTGAAGGCTTTACAAACACTGTTGTGTGAGCTAAAACACAATTAGTAGTACTTTGCTCACCTTGCAACCACACACTGCTCCTCAGTGTCTGCTGGATCTGGCCCACCCATCAGAACTGAAAAGGACCAACTGGTCTTTTGTGACAAATGGGTGAGAATCTGCATGAGTGTTGGCATGCACTGCTGTATATTACTGAAAGAGGAATGAGCGCTAACTGCCCTCAGCATCACAGCCAGTGTTCCCACCTTCTACATGTTTCAGCATCAACATCAGCACTGATTTCATCATCACTCTCAGCAGGGGGCATCTTCATACTGGTATGTTGCTCATTATGGATGTGCATAACTTTGTGTCAGATCTCTTGACATTCCACCCTAAACTTTTTGTTGATCTGATTGCAAAGACTGGAAATGTTACTATTGGTCAAGATGTCAGGCTTGACCTGTGAAGTATAGTACATTTTTGAATAAATTTCCAGTGGCTTTTTTATGTGAGTTTTAGCTTTCATCAAGCCATCAATAATGGTCAATGTCTTCCTGTTTGCAGCCTGATTTTTCCCAGCTCCCACATGCCAGCACAACCACTGTCATAATTGCTGCACAAAATTCAGTGAGCTCTTCCATGAAGTAATGTGATATTGCTGACCTGTTGGTGCTTGGTGACAGCATCTCCAAGGATCTTGTCCTGCTCAAGAGTCAATGATACATCTGGTGGGAGGTCAGGAATGCAACAGCCCTCTCAGGCCAGAGTTGCAACCATTGTTTGAAGACAGTCAGCCAGTATTGTGAGTATTCCTTGGTGCTCATACTCAAGTACCACACTAACTCATCCTGCAAAAACATCTTCTGCTCGGGGGTCATCCATTCCTTCCTTGGCATGTCTACAATGTGATGCCAGTCACTAACCCTAATGTGTACTGCGCAACAAAATCAAACTTACTGGCAGCCAACAGTTATAATGCAATGGACAGAGAGTTGAGACAAGGTGAGGCATATAAACAAAACATTTTATACTTAACATGTTGATGCAGAACATGCTGATATGTTTGTCACATTCAACAAGGAGCATGTCAACACATCTTATCTTACACTAGGTGATCTACATTGATTAGGGATCTAGGCCACTGCATTCAAAATGAAAAATTAATGCAGATCCTAAAAGGTATGTGTTGGCAAGTCTTCTGTGTAATATATCAATGTATCTTATGTTACAGATCTTGGTGACTGCAGAAAGCCTTGGATTCATGGAATGGCCACTGAGTGAGAGTGAAGGCAATGATGGTAATCCATCTTCATGCTCATGTAGCGCATTGATGTGCCTTTGTACAATGCATCCATGTATCTCATGTACAGATCTTGGCCACTACAGAATGCATCAGATTCACAGAATGGCCACTGAGTAACTATGTGACTGGCATGTAGGAGAAAAGTGCAAGAGCAAAGACAGTGATGGTGATTCAGATAAATTGGAGATCTTCAATTATCAAATACCACAAGTCATTGTTCTTGACACTGTGGCAAGTGCAGGGTCAGTGCATTTGGATAGTGAGAGAACCACTTCATTCTGTAGTACTACATAGTGTCTAGTGGGTAGTTCTGGAACAATAAAATGCCTCTTGTATGCATCCCAGCTACATCTGCACCTTCCATAGCATTCATCAAGAGGTCCTCCAGAATTTGTGATACTAAGTGAATACAATTGTATGTTTCCTTGGTAGGATCATTCAGGTTGTCCCAGTGTTGCCATTTCAATGTATGCACTCATGACTCCAAGCCATCCACCTTAGACAGAACAGCCCAAATTTTTTAATAATCTCCACTATTGACATAGTTTTGGCATAGGTTGTCCATAGATGAGTGACAGGAGTTCCCTATTATTGCCTTCAGTGAGTGGTTGATCTGATCAATGGAATCTGGCCCAGAGCATGATGAAGAATTGACATGAAACCACCCATCAGGATGCGATGAGGCATGAAACTGTTCTGGGCAAGTACCTCCGACCTGCCTGGGCCCAAATCCTTGTCATTCCTTAGGATTGCTGAAGGGTCTCAGGTTACAGGATATGGGGAGTGGAGTGAGTGTGCACAGCAGCTTAGGGGACAATTCTGTGTCCTGTCATTCACTAGGATTGCCGAAGAGTGTCAGGTTATAGGATATGGGGAGTGGACTGAGTGTGCACAACAGTTCAGGGGATGGTTTGGTGTCCCATCGTTCACTGGGACTGCTGAAGGGTGTCAGATTACAATATATGAGGAGTGGAGTGAGTGTGCACAGCAGTTCAGGGGATGGTTCTGTGTCCAAATGGATTGCCCTAGACTCATAAGAGTAAGTAACTTGCTGTGACAACTAGTTAGAAACCTGATCATATGAAGAAGTCTCCTCCGACTGGAAAGAACTCTTGGCTCTGCCTCATTTTGCCTTGAGCTTGAGGTTGATTTCATTTCTATGGCTGAGGATGAACAACAGCCCTGAGCCGAGAAGCGTCCTTCAGAATAAAGAGAAATAGATTTAATACCTCTGATAGTATTTCATTCAATAAGCCTGAGCGGCCAAAACCTTTTGATCTTGTGTTTTGTATAATTTCGGCCACCCCATGTCGAAGTTGTCAGAGTAGTGAGAGCATGTCGCCATGATAGGAGATTTACTACATATGCCTATTACAGCAGATAACCATATACACACAAACAACTAATCCTAATCGTGTATTTGCTTCATACCTATTAGTGCATTTGCATGTATACCCTTCAGTCTCCAGATGTTCTGTAGCATGAAGAATTCACACACTAGACAGTGCCTTCCAGAATTTCTCAGGACTTTATACCCATGTGTTTCATGCTGTTTTGTTTCATATTCCTGGTCTGATAGTTAGATTTTGCAGAGTCATGCACATGTTTAGGCAAAAATCAGTTGATAATTTATGTATACAACTAATAATGTTCAAGCAAAAGTCAGTACAAGATGGATCACTGTAACTGAATCACATGCCACAAATACAAAGCCTCTGCCATGGCAAGGCCATGTTGTGAAAGTCGAAGAGCAAATATGTGGTCACTTAATGTGCCATTACATGCACATATAATAGTGTCAATAGCCTCATGCATATAGCCATGAGCAGTGAGATATTGTGCTGCATGAGCACCAAGCACCTGGGCATGAATATAGGTAGCTGTATTTTCAGAGTAGTGGTGGCAACTTTCTGTGATCCCCCTAAGACTCCATACATGTGCATATATAATTGGGCTTGTATAAGATCCAGAATCATGCTGAATTGGAGGCAGAGCTGAGGTCAAAGTGAGAAGTTGGATGTCAATGAAGGACAACATCATCCACCCACCACTCATGGAATGTCTACACCCTTGAGAAGGCATGGATTGGGTCAGTTGAGGGGCCACAACATCATCAGTAAACCACTTTGTGAGCTGGTAGTCTTAGGGAATCTGTCCAGTGCTGGACAGCTCTGGACAGCTCTGGCCAGCAAAAGTGATTTACTGATGGTCAGCATCTTGAAGGCCTATTCATGGTAAGCACACAACATCAGTGGGGAGAACAGTATATGATACTAACTGGTGGATTCAGCTACTTTGTCTACTGTCACCACTCATGGTAGTTGATCCTCAATGCCCTTCACCACCATATACACTAAGGCCTCATGAAGTGTGTCGATCTGTTTCCATTTTGCCCAATGAAATGAGCTCCCCACATGAGTGGCTCCATCTCTAGTATAGGATTGTGATTAGTCAGGGAGAATTTGTAGTATGAGACACTTACTCAGTGTGATGAACACTGGGGGGGTTTCCAACAACAACTGCATAGAAACTATCACCTGTGTCTTTGAGGAGGTCTTGAACTGCTGGTGACTTGTTGAGGAAGGTGACCAAGTCATGGGTGGTCAGTTCAGGTAGTATTGGTTGTAAGACACTATCCAATGTTTGCATGACAAGTTTTGCCTCGTCCATGGAAGTACACTCAATGGTGATGGGGAGTGGAGGTGACAACCTCCCACAAAGGATATATGGACTATAATGACACGGTTTTCCATCATTATCTGTATGCATTAGTCAGTTCATCAGTAAACCACTTTGTGTGCTGGCAGTCCTAGGGAATCTGTCCAGTGCTGGACAGCTCTGGACAGCTCTGGCCAGCTCTGGACAGCTCTTGCCAGCAAAAGTGATTTACTGATGTTGAAGAGTCTGACTCACCACCCATGGTAAATGCCAGGTTTGGTCCCACCTATGATTACCCACCAAGACATTGTAGTGCACAGCAGGTGATTCTAGTCTCATGCTCTCTCATTTTATAACCAGTCCACTATCTTAGCACCATCTCCAGGCTTCAATTAGTCCTCAGATTGTGTAACCTTGGGTGCTGAATGCTAAGTGCAGTGTGCAATTTGCCATTGCCAAAGTCCACAGTCTGCAGTCTGGGGAATGCTTGTGCTCCATGTTACACAAACTTCTTCAGAGGTGAGTGATTAGGAAAGAAGCATCACTGAAAAACCCTGAGGATGAATCAATGATGTCTGATCACCTGCCATTTTGCCAGGATTTTGCCTTATAAGTTTTAACTTTAATCCTGAAGATCAACATACTGCAAACCCCAAGGATGTCTAACCGCCTGTCATGTCACTGTTGTCAAGATTAACCCTGAAGATTGACATGTACATTCCTTCAACTTTAAATCCAAGGCTAGATGAAAAGCATGTTACTATAGGTCAGGTATCTATTACAGCAGTTGCACATTCAGCTTGCTTTCAACCCCCCTTCCCTACTTGTCCTTTGTTACTGGTATTGAGTCACTGTTTATCATGCCACATAAATGCATCAAGCTGATATTGCCAAATGAAACAGGACTCCATGGTTCCTCTATTTCATATATGCATGAGGAACCAGCCATAATGGTATGTGTAATGATGTTCACATGAGCATGAGATGACTGACTTACCCCTCTCAAGACATTTCAGATTCTTATCGATGACTCCGATGACAGCAATTCTCCAACCAATACTAAGGTTCCAGTGGCATCCAAGGAGGTGTCATCGGTGAGCATTCCATTCCATTATGTAATGAGCATCTTGCTTATAGCCTTAAATTTACAGCCCAAAACTTGCAAAAGGGGTGTCAACAGCTCTCCCTCGCCTGTGGCAGTGAAACAGACTAGGGGGAGTGCTCAAACTACCTAAAGGGTTAATAGATCTACCCACTTCTTTGATTACATAAGTTGTATTTGGCATGTTGTAAATGCATGGCTCCCAAGTTTCAACCTCTCAACATATATATGAAGGACCATATATGACATGACGTGAATAATCTGCAGTTGTTTTGGTCAGCTTTGTTGATCACCATTACCCCAGCATTCAAAAGCTCTTGGAATGTGGCACTCAGATTCACCAACAATATATACAGCTATTCATTTGATCATTTTGGTGATAGATTCAGCAGTATCAAAAATTTGTAGATCCTCATCTTTTTTCACAAGCAAAAGGCTGAGGAGATGAAACATACACACTTTCACTTTCGTCAACAGTATGTTTATGCCCCTCCTGCACTGTACTTACATACTGACCATTGTCAACAGGTCACTTTCATGCAACAAGAATCACATGTCAGCGATGGGCCATCCCTGCCCTGACCTCCTATGGGCCCACTTTGTTTCTGAAAAATTCCTGGCTTTACCATTCATAAATGAAAGGCTGAGGAGATGGAATCCACATCTACCCATTGCCACACCAAGATTTAGTTGGACATGCACAGTGCACTCCATTTGACTACCCACATATTCACCACTCCCAACCCTGTCCCCAAACCTACTGCTGTGCAGCCCAGGGTTGCATACCATCACCTAGAGATTCCTGAGTGTACAGACAGACTGCCATCTGGTGTCAACCTTGGAATTTTGGGTATGGAGCCCAGACAGACAACAGAATCTGTAAGTGAACTTTTTGTGAGATTGGATGCAACTTGGCTGATGTATCGATTAGGACTTACCACTCCTCACATGGTCAAAATTAGACTGTGAAGACTACTTATCAGAGCTACTCAGGCTGGAAGGTAGATGTGGTGTTTCCGGTATCTGTCCCAACTGCAAGCTTCAACTGGCTCACTTCTGCTGTGATGATTGCCTTGGATTTGACATGTACTGCCAAGAATGTGTAGTGACTCATCATGGAGATCACCCATTGCACTGTGTGAGGATAAGTGGTAATACACTTGGAAGAGTATCATACTTATACTATTGACAGGAGTGGAATGGCAGATACTTTGCAAGCAAAACATTGAAGGAGTTGGGCTTGATCGTGCAGTTAGGCCATCCTATTGGCAAAAGGTGCTGCAGGCCCTGGTCTGTCCTGAAAGATGAGTTTGTTGTTATGCACAGGAATGGGATTCACATTGTCAGCCTTGCCTTCTGTGGGTGTGAGACTGCAGATTCATATACACAACAATTGCTGCACATTTGCTGGCTCCCTGCAACTTCCAATAAGCCCCACACTGCAGCAATGTTCCAAGTCCTGGAAGACTTTCATCTCCTGTCATTAGAATCCAAGCTTTCTTGTTATGAGTTTTACAGTGCCTTGTCACATCATTCAGATAATACTGGATTAAATCCACCTAAGGTGCATCACAGTTCATGTTGTAAAGTTTGTGCTCAGTCATGTCAGGCTTGTTACAAACAGTTTTTGAGAATGGTCTGTCAATGGTGCCACCTCAAGATGCTCAAACATTCAGGATGAGGACATGATCCTGCTGGTGTTTTGAATACAAAAGAAGGCAAATGTGCAGTGTTATGTCTAGCATGCCCTCAACCTGGGAAGAACATGACAGGGTCACCAGAAAGGTTAGCTATATCTTAACTCCGATATTTGACTAAATTGTTATGTAGAGATGTTGATGCACTTTTTGTCACTCTTGATGCCAACTTTTGCCTCAGATGTCATGCAGTCTCAAATAATGAGAACAATCTGAGCCTCAGTCAGGGCTGGGCATATTTTGTGGAGGACACCATGTTCAAGAGATACTTAAGTGACCACTGGCATGATATCCAAGAGGTATGCAGTTGTCCACTGAATGCACTTGCAAACATTTATTTTAATCCAGAAAAGCATGTGCTCAAATCACAATGCAGTGAATATGGCAGATGTGAAGTCAAAGAAGGGTTGCAATGCAACTGGCATTGGCATGATTGTTTGCACCAGGCATAGCATGAGGCTCCCAAATGGGATAGTTGACCTACAATACAGTGAAAGGTGTGTATCATTTACATCCAATGTGATATCATTTCATGAGCATAAAACATACAGATATGTGAACATGGACTATGCATTTGCATCTGCACTACACCACTCAGATGCGACTGTCCTCAAAGTTTTGTATGACATTGCCTGCCAGTGGCACAAGAAGTTATATCAGCAGATGGACCAGATGCCACCTTCTTTACAGTCAAACTTACACAACTGGGCTGTTACATTTCTCATACCCAAGTTTCACCTTCCTGCCCACATCGCCTCATGCCAATGGTCCTTCTCCTTCAATTGGACCAAGGGTGTTGGTCAGACAGATGGCAAAGAACTTGAGTGTGGATGGGCAAACCTTAACCCCACTGCTTCAAGCATGAAGACCATGGGCCCTGGTCATCGTCAAGACACACTGGGTGACTACTTTGGTGACTGGAACTGGAAAAAGCTTATTGGACTGGGTTTGCTACCATTTCCATTGATTCACTCAGGACTGATTTACCTCCCATTCATCATAGGCACTTCTCTTCTTAGGAAGGTAAAGGAGGCCATCCCTGAGCACAATGATCATCAACATGACTTTGAAGAATTAACACAGTCACTCAAGCTCAAGTTTCCTGAGCAACTCGCTCTATGGAAGCAGCAGGTAGAGGACTGGGAAGCCGACTCAACCAAGCCTAATCCATTTGAAGTCAAGAATGATGGTATGTACAGTCTCAAACAAATTTTTGTTTCCCTTCAATTCATCTATACTGTACCTTCACAGGTATCACACAAGCTAGTATCTGCTTACAATTGGCGAAGGATGAGGCCAATGCACTTGTGGGAGGGAGTGAGCTCCTACTACATCCAGATGTAACCCTGAGCATTCTCATTGGCACTGGGATTGACCTAGAGGATCAGCAGTAAGTCACCCTCTGTGGGACATCTGTTGATCTAACTCCTGCAACATAGATGATGTCTGCATGATGCCACTGAGCTGGCATTGTGTGTCACAGATATGCACAAACTCAGGGTTCAACAATGAAGCAATGCACTGGTGAGGCAAATTGAGGCATGGCAAAAACTTCAAGTCCTGTTTATGCCTGGTGTAAGTGCCCTCCAGGATGAGTGGCCAGAGTTTGCCAGTCAACCTCATTCCCTGGAGGACATCCCATTGTTCCTCCCATTGCAAGTTAGCAGCAAAGTCACATGTCCACCAAAATTGGCAATGATTGAACTTCAACTCAGGGAGGGTCAAGTGCACAATGCATTGAATGATCTGTGCCAGGGTCTTTGATCTCATGCATACATGCCCAAATTCAAGGATCATTTTTTATGTGGTCAAGGAGCCAACACCCATGCATGAAATTGTCTCAAAGCCCTAGATACCAAGATAAATACTGCTGCTACAAGGTATCATGTAGCATATCAAGCATTAACCATTCTCGCCCCCCTGGTTGGACAAGTTGGGTGGAGGGACAAGCTTCGCCCACTTGCAGACAAGGACATTAGTGCACTCACAGATGCTTACAACCTCCAGCCTGGAGAGGGACAATGCCATGTTTCTTGGATTTGGCAGTCATATGGGTACAGTGATCATGCCACAGAGAAGGAATCAGATGACAGTTTTCAGGAGGGTAAGCATCTTCTAGCAGCCTCATCAACCTCACTTTAGTGCTAATCTTAACTCCATATTAGCCATCCATGTGGAGTGGTGCAAAGCATGTGCATGCACACACCACTGGGAAGAGGAGGTTAGGCTACTATTTGAAGAAAAGCAACATACATTACAGTTTCTTGAGTGGCACACAAATTGGTGGATGGGCCATGCTAGTGCCATTGCAACAGGTGACAAAGCTCTCTCCTGATGGGTGTTGTGCATATGCTGAGCATCAGGCAGAACTTTGGCATCAGCTCACAAGGTCATTTGCTGATATGTGGAAGGACACACAGCATTTCTTGGATGTTGCCAATGCTTATAGTGTATCTCCCTCTCCTATGCTCTGAAACATCTTAGTTTCTATCTTACTGCTTTGTAACTGTGAATTGACTGTGACCATGAGTATCTGTGTATTGTGCACAGTGCCATACATCAGGAAAATAACACTTTACTATTTTTGACTTTTTGTGACTAATGTGACTTTTTGGGAAGGAATCTACTTTCATTACCCATGTCCTGCAGGCATGGCTGCACTTTTCTTTCTGATTTTGGTCTTGTTCAAACCACCTAATTCATAGCTTTCAGTAGATACCACATACATTCAAATTGATGGAGGTTCCAAAGAGATATTGTGATTTTTCTCTCAGACAGTGTGCATCACATCAATGGCTCAATATCTCTGAATTTTCAGACATTTTCTAGTCTTCTTGGCTTAGATATATCATCACTTAGTTGTCTCAATAGATTCTGTTCTCTTTTCATTCTTCAAAATGCTGTATATGGTCAAAAAAAAAAGTACAGATAGTAGGTTCCTTCCCAAAAAGTCACAAATAGTCACAATAGTCACAAAAAAGTCAAAAAAAGTCACAAAAAGGTCAAAAATAGTAAGGTGTTAATTTCCTGATGTAGTGCCATAGGGTAGTGTTGCTGTTGCATTATTATACTAATCTTATTGCCGTCTATACTACACATGTTGCAGCACCTGTTGCAATGTCTATACTACTTTTGTTGCAATGTGTTGCAGCACCTTGTGTATTGCACACAGTGCCATAGCACCATAGGTGTTAGATTTGGCAAGTCCGAGTCGTGAGTGTCACTTTCATTTTAAGGCTTTATTTCATATAGTACTACTTTTGTTGCAATGCATTGCAGCACCCATTGCAACATCTATACTACTTTTATTGCAATAATATTGCAATAATTCATGGTTGATGTGCCATCGTGAGTGGTGCAACAGAGCCCAATGGTAGTTACCGTGTTAGTTGCAACAAACTGGCATGAACTTGTGGAATGGACGTCCTCGTACCTATTAGTCTTGTACTAAACTAAGTATGTACTTCAATAATCCTGCCAGGACGTGGTGCCGAAACCCAGTCGATGACAAGTTCTATGGGTGGAAACCGAGCCAGTGGTTCGTCCGCCATTTCGGATGCTCTCGATGCCACTGATACGTTGTTGGGCTCTGCTTCTGCCAGACTTGGAATTGGGCTGTGCCCTTGGTGGGACCCACGAGCTGCTCATGCCTGAGCAGCAGCTTGTTTGTAGTGTTTCTTCCTTATTGCAGCAACTGAGAATAAAAAGCTTTCTTCTCTCCATAACATGTGAGCCGGATTCTCCACTGGCATAGACTGGACTATGTGATCAAACAGCTCATCGTATCTCGGCTCTAAACCCCATTCTGGGGTTGCATAAGTACACACAAGGATGTTTTACATAGAGAGCACCTGCACTCCCGCAAATTAATCCCCACCAGATGCAGACCGGCGGCACTCAAAGTTTCGCGCGACCACTACCACCCGAACCCCCTTCTGGACCCACCAAAATTCTGACCATCAACTCCGCTATCTCAGCGGACTTCCACGCTCGGAAAATTTTCGCGATTTCCGACCCAATCGTTGTCTTGTCCATGGTCGGGTCCCCCCAATGCATCTTCACTCCTAACACCCCCCGAACATACGTATAAAGCATGCCGGTTCGGCCGAGCAACTTCCCTCCAGCATCAGGGGATTTTGCATAACCTGCCCTGGTTTCCATGAAAATTTGGCGGGAGTGCCTGGTGAGTGATATGCGCCACTGGTTGATGGCTTTGAGAGGTACGTCCATGGTGGCGGTCTCATCATTTAGGAGGGATATGAACGTGGACGCAAGGTCACCCATTACACGCTCGAAACGAGTCGTGGAATCCTGATCGGTAGACCCGTTCAAGAGCACGATCAGACGATTGTTGAGGTGTGTGAAGAAGTTATCGTCAAATCGTACACCAGGGAGGTGCACGGCAGTCTCGGTGCGAAGTACGGAGAAGAGCTTGCTACGGAATGTCGCCTCGATGGTCCGGAGATCAGCTGCCTGGCAGAGAGCGAAGATGTGGGTTGACATCAACTATATGACTATGAGTATCGCTGGCAGGGACACTCAGTAGGGACGTAATAAGACTTTCCATGAAACAAAGCTTGACTGCGTCAAGAGTATAGCGCCCGCTTATCAGAGCAAGAGAGTTGATAGACCTGTGTGAGTATGTCAGTGCGCATCAGCCGTAGTCTACATAAAGGCACTTGACTGGTTGTGCATCTCAGCAGAAACAACGTGCGTGCTGACAGGATTGGCAAGGTACGCAATCTCTAAAAGAACGATTAACGAGTGACATTACTGTCGGACTCATTCTCAACCCACCAGAGAGGTAGGCAGCGGCAGCAATATCTGCGCCCTTCAGACTGTAGTCGACGCTAGGCTCGCCAACCGCGAGATTGGGAGGCAGCCCGCAATTCGTGGAGTGGTTCAGCAATTCGGTGAGCTGAGCAAACATCAACTTGGCTTGGGACAGAATATCAATTCCGTGTGTCCCTGTGTCCCTAGAGGCGGTCAGAGCGTACCTATATGGTGTACCACCAGCCGCATTTTCTCTGTTGCCTGGGATTCATGAACAAAAGACAATCCTCAAAGAAGCAACCGCCTACTGAAGTCACGGCCATAGCCATAAAATTCGCACCATGATGCAGGTATTCTTTCTGCACGTCGACAATGGGGTTGTCTGTTGTCGAATTCAGCTCCACATCCAATATTTTCTGAGCGACAAGCAAGTCCTCAAGCTGCGGTCCGAGCCACTGTGGAACGGAACGCAGACAATATCTGTCCTGTCGTAGCGCTGCCTCGGGGTCAGATTCGACATGATGAGGTCGTGCGAGCTTGGAGGACAGGAGAACACGACGAATATTGGCTGCAGCTTCGATCTGGCCTGGGTGCGGGCGGGCAGCTTCGTGCAGGTATGGAGTGAATGGTTCCTGGAACCCTTTGAGCATCTCGACCGCTAATATGGTACTTGAGCTCGACCACATCTCAAAGTCAAAACAAGACCGGATTACCGAAAGCGGACAAAACCTGGGAAGCGAGGCCGATGATGTGGCAGTCATGCATCCCCAAACATGCAACAGCACTGGAAGCACCCGTGCCGTTTATTAATGAAAGTCCTTCTTTAGCAATGAACTCGATCGGTTGCAGTCCGATTTTCTGTAGGATAGTGGGGGAATCATACACCCTGCGTTCCGCGCTACGTGTGACTTAAGTGCAAAGCCGCGATAACGAGGACGCAAACAAGAACTACCCTTGGCCATACCATGCATAATTATCAGGATGACCCGTCAAGACGCCAGATATGTACGCAAGAGGAGCCAGATCTCCAGATGCACTTATGCTCTGACGGATCGGAACACAAGGTGCGACGTCGTGAAGCAGTAGTTTGTATAAACCCTCGATGACGATCCAACGCGTTCCAGATTGGGCACGAATGAGAGAATTAAGTCGAACGAACATCACACCACGGATCCAATCTTGGGGAAACAATAGTTCCTGTTCCTCAGGAGTGAGAACTTGTCCGTTTTTAAACGCGGGAACGATGCCAGCTTGGCAGTGCGCGATGAGCGCCTTCTGTAGAAGCGCGGTTTGTTTCGTCCGCGTTGTCGCTAAAATATACGAGTTCGAGGGATGAGGACCAATTTACATGGGAAAAGAGCCACCAAACTCACCGCTCCCTCCGAAGCCGGTAGTAATCCCATATTGGCTTTGTTCACCTAACGCTAGCTTTGCGACGACGGCGACCGCGTCGGCGATTTCTCGCTGTTTTTCTGGAGAGGAGGCAATACGGGGAAGATGAGCATCGCTACATTAATCAACCGGGTCAGATAGCGACGCTCATATTTCTGTAGGACCAACCGAGAGACAGCCACTACTGCGGGAACATCGACACTGTGGCCGTCGATGACCGCGGTTTTCTGACCACGAGAATATGACCGAACTGATTCCAAGTGCTGGTTAACGGAAGACAAGTGAGAAGACATGGTGCCGAGAGATGGAAGCGTGCAGAACGAAAGCCAGGGCTAGCACTGAGATGCACATTAAATATACCGAAGACCCTCTGGCCCGTCCGGGAGTCCCTCATCACCATCCCAACAAACAAAAATAAGTACATCAGAAGTGTGGTGTTGCTGCGTGGCTGGTCGCACTGGGCCTAGCACAATTAAAGAACCTTCGTGCATTGTCGTCATCCAGTCCTGTGGCGTGATGGGGGGAAAGTTGGGTTACCTCTTATATCATGTGCGTCTCCCATGATTGGGAGCAAGGCAAGACAGGAGGAGCGAGAAAGTGACAGGCTATTGTTGGATGGCTGCGGAGGACGGAAGTGAAAAGCAAAACGTTGCCATATAGGGGCACTTCTTTCTTTCTTTATCTCTACGTATGATCCTTCTCATCGCCGCTGTGATTTAGATTTCAAGTCTCTCGATACAACTCCCTTCGACATAGCGGCACGCTCACGGGTGGTTGGCTTTTGCAGTCAGTATGCGAGGCGTTTCGCATCGCACACCTCTTGGCACGGGGTCCTTCCACCTCTCGCCTCGCTTCTACTCTCATCTGGTCTATAGACCAGGACCCTGCGGTCGATTTACATTTTACAGTGACACCATCGTGATCAAACCTAGTGTGGGCAAGTGTCATATCCCGAGTAACCAGTCACGAAACTATGCCTGGTGATGCATAGATTACGTATGGGTTGAGAGCACCACTCAGGTCCCAAGATAGGAAGAAGCGTGACATTCAGTTCCCTTGACTCGGGATGCTTTTTCTAGTATAAATTCTGCACTCTTCTGCTCCCCTGCGACCACCTCCAACTCCTAGAAGAAACGTAAACAACATGAGTGATTACCTACCTACCACCCCAAATGGAAGCTGTCAATTGTCACACCTTACAATACAACTCTAACAGACTGTTATATACATTCACCGCAGTACAGGAGTGATACTAACTTGCAAATCATTTTACAGGAGAAAATGGCTCGAAGTCCAAAATATGGTTAGAATAACCGGCTTACTGAAAAGCATATGTACTGCGTGGGACCCTCCATCAATATCCCTGTCGCATGAGGTCCGGTCGGCTCTTGGAAGGAAAATAGATATTAGAAACGAGACTTCAGAGGCACTTGAGCTGCGGAATGCGCATTATGTTCTGGTCGTCGTTGGTCTGGTGACCGGCTCTGCTATGCTGTGGCAAGCATCGCCAAATCGTTCTGCGTGGATCGTGGCAACCCATGGAAAAATTCCCGTAAACATTTGCGGTTTAGCTTCCCGGTGACCGTGCATGGCACTGCATCGACTGGGACCCAAATCGTAGGCCAACGGAACTCCAATAATCTCGGCTGAATGAAAGCCATCAAACGAAGGATTTCAGCCTTGACATCGTCCGAAAGCTGAAGCGTTAATCTGTGTGAGCCATTGACAAAGCGGGAGGCAAGGAATGAAGCGATGCGCGGCTCTTCATTGTATGTGACAACCTCCGCTGCTATCGACCACTTGCTTTCGGCCGCATGGAGAGCAGCCTCGATTTCTCCTACTGCAGGTGAGACCTCGCAAGTTGCAAACCGAAACGATGAATTAACACACCCAGCTCAATTCTGCAAGCAGTCAGTTTGATTTGCCTGTCTCGACGTCCAATAAATTGAAGTCTTCCTTCATGGTTGACACTGGGAAAACCGGCATTCAAAGATCAGAATGGGCAGGACGCGTTAAGACTTACCGGCCAAAGTCTCCAGTTCGGTACATCCTAAACTCTTTCCTGAATGGGTCCACCATGAACGACTGCGCGGTAGCTTCTGGGTCTCCAAGGTAGCCTAAGCCCACAGTTGGACCGGACACAAATATCTCCCCTACACAACCAACCGGCACGAACTTCATGTCGCAATCTAGAACGTAAAGTCGTGTCTGCCCTCCAATACTGAACCCCGCGGGGGTCTCGTTTGATGCTGACGAGCGCACGGGAGTTTCCACCGTAAAACCGCAGATGGACTCGCTGGGACCGAAAGCATTGAGTAGCGTTCGTCCATCACTAAGCCACTCTACGTATATAATTTGTAAAATGGAGAAGCTACAGAAAATGAGACGCACTCTCCCGTACGAACCGCGTCAGGGGTTCACCCGTGAACACAACCAATTTCAAGAATGGGTAATCTGCAGGGTGCAACTGCATACCTCGCGTCGGTGAAAGGGTAATCGAGTTGGCTTTCGTTGCAACAAGGGCGTCGTGTATGTCCGACACGGTTTCAATTTTCATAGTTATGCAAACCGAGCCGCCTACGTAATGCGTGAGGAAGATTTCTTCGATAGAACCATCCCAGTACAATTCATGCACCTGTGTAGCATATCACCGATTGCTGACAATGATAGAGACGAAGATCATCCTACCATGAGCTGACGTGTTTCCATCGTACGACCAAAAGCGGGTGCAGCTTCGACGATCCAGTGCACCAAATTCGAATGCGACGTCATGCATTTTTTCGGAGGACCAGTCGATCCACTTGTAAAACTTAAATACGCCAGAGTGTTTTTTGGATTTCCTATAGGAAAGAGGCCAGGCTGCCATGCGCTATCCAAGTGACACCATTTCTCCGCCACAGTGTCTATCGAAACAATGTTCTGTCCGTAGCTCATCGCACGCAATTTCTCCTCCAGCGATGTAGCTGTCAGGAATAACGAGGAGTTAGTCATATCGACTGTCTGGTGGAAGAGTATGATAGGTGTTTCAATGTCGACAGCGAGAAATGCTGCGCCGACTTTTAGGATCGCATAGAGGACAACGATAGCCATCGCAGACCGCGGCAAGAAAAGAAGTACAATATCACCGGGACGAACAGATAAAGCATCTTTTAAGTACCGCGCGAATTGGTTGGAGGCGGCGTCGAGTCCAGCATAGGTATATACCACTCTTCCATCGCATTCAACCGCGGCATTGTCTGGACGGGCAAGGGCGCGACGTGCCAGCAGATCGTAAACGTAAGTATAACGTGAGGGGTTCTCCGGTTCCGCTAAACTGCTGGTTTTGATGACAGAGGGGAGTTCCTGCATGAAAGCTCGCTCGCTCGCAGTCATCATATTGAGTTCCGCACCAGAAAATGAGGGGTTAACGACGAGTTGCTCAAATACAAGAACAAGGTGGTCGAGGATATACTGCATATCTTGCACGTCAAAAACGCTGGGATCGAACCTCGATGTGAAGGTGAACGACCGCGAAGGGGTGTACGAGAGTGTTAGGTACAGCGGTGTGTCGTATGAGCGGAAATGCGATCCCTGATCCAAGGAGAGCAGCGACAACGCAGGCTCCTCTAGAACCTCCACAACAGAGTGGATTCCCTTGTTCATCATGCTCTTGGCGACTTCCCAGGCTGCTGACGCATGAATGGCATCTTGAGCTAGTTGCATGGACAACTGCTCTCGAGGAGAGGGTGTCGAGGCAAACTGAACCCGTCGAGGGACGAGAACAATCCCTGGTAGAGCTAGATACACATTATTCTTTAGTGATAAAACTCGAAGACGTTAAATGACATGCCTTCAGCAACAAGCACATCCTCAGTTCCAGCATGCCGCGACAGAACCACAGCCCAAGCATACAGCAGAGTCAATCGAATATCCTCGTGCTTCATTCGTTCTAGAGCAAGATGCTCGAAATCTGAGTTTGATTTCGTGATGCAAATGGAAGCAGAGGCTGAAGGTGCATGAACACGTTCGGTGAGGGGGACCGAGCTGAAGTCTGACAACAATGTGTGCCAGTAGCTCTCAAAATCTGCGTATAACTGACTGGTCATCGTATTACACCCAGATGGTGGGATGGGGGGGACAGCAAAGGAAGAGGAACAACACAAGTCGATGCAGTGAAGAACGCGTGCAAGAGCAGAGTTGTCAGAGAGCAGAGGGCCGGCAGATAAAACAAGGTGAGATGGCCCATTATGAACGTCGACGAGGATATAAAATCAAGTACAGTTGCAAAGGGCCGTTCCAAAAATGCCGCTGATGGTTTATGTGAGAGAATTTAGTTGGGCAGATGAGTTATTGGTACCGGGTACCAGGTTGGCGCATGAATCCATCGATCCTTGAAGTGAACTCTGGTCGGCCGCTCCTTCCAGCGAACCCGGATCACCATTCCCCGTATTGTAGAAGTAAGTTCTCGTACTTTCCATTGCACGGGACCTTGGCAGTCGAATTTGACAATTTCCACTCTTCGATCACCTTCAAGGCGCACTGTGCTTTGGAAGTTTCAGTGTTGGAGCTTCGGTTGCGGCGGCTCCGATGGTTGTAATATTGATGACGATTCGCTTGAGTCGCACCCCGGAATCCTCGGGGCTGTAGTTTCTGGCGTATTGGCCGTAATGTCTGGATCGAGACTAACTGGCTGCAAAACATGGTGCCGCTGAAACATATTTGCATTATTAGGTATATTTACAGCTGAAGCCACACCTGGTCCCCTGTGCCATATTGTATGCTTAGAAATTTCCTCGGCCCGACCGAATTGCACGGTCATGTTTAGCTTCTCCCAGAGTATGTCCAGGGACCACGATGAAAGATTCTCTGGGATCCTGACATGTAGCTTATTAGGTCCAGCAGTATACACGGATATCGCTTTACATAGCTTTACGGTGTTTATATAAAGCCATTACAAAGGTGAACCCAAGCAAGGCCAATGGAAAATCAAGGAATACCAAGGTATGAGGCCAATAGTGATAGTATGATGTGGCGCGGTCGGAGAGGACGGTGGCGAACGCGAGACTGACTCACCATCTCGAATGGTCATCGACCGTATCCATACGCCAAAGGTGGCACGTTGGCGCGTCTTCTATCGCCTGTAGTTGGTCAAGCAGATAGTGGGCCCGCTTGTCCGTATACGCGGGAGGTTCCTTGGAAAGTGGACCTAAGGTAAATGGTTTAGAGTTGCCTATTTGCACTTACTGATTTCAACACCTTTAACTCGTCGCGTATAGGCTGGATGCGCTGGGCGGCCTGGTCATTATGTTCTCTATCTTCTCGAACCCCAAACATAAGGAAAACGATGGCCAAGCGAGAACGCTTCTCTCGTCGCGCCGGTGGAGGTGGGGTGATTGACCGCTTTAGTGACCCTGCGGAGAAGGACAATGCTTTGGCCTGGATGTTCCTTCGTGGGTTGCTAGGAGCTTATCACCAGGTCCGAATAGCCTGGATGGTTGAAAGCATTTTCTATTCACCCCAAATGTGGTCTGACCATGCCGAGATGGGGCTGCGGTACAGACGCAACAATATCACATCTTCGAGAAGCCCTTGATTCACTTAATATTCTGATAGCTTCCCTACCCGGTAAGATCCTGGAACTCGGGTCATATCAGGAGCAAGTTGTTCGTTGCCGGTCTCCCGCCTTCCGTTTACCCGAGGAAATGAGGACCCGTTGCTAGTGTCCAGTCTCGTGCCGGTGTGCCGATATTGGCGAAATATCGTTGTCAGTACACCAGAACTGTGGATACTCCGTGACGATCTTCTGCACAAATGTAGTGTCTGGTGTCCCCCTTCCTTTTACTTATCTCCCGCTGACGTCCGAAACTCTTGTTGCTATTTGGCATTGCATTCCGCTGAAAGCACCTGCCCGCTCGGGACCGAGATTGTCTGTTGGCAAACTTTTTGTCCCTATATCAGCATCGAGTTCTGCATGTGCTTTCTCCATGGCGCAGGGACAAGTATGAAAGCGCTGAAGCAGCTGAAAGGGTCAACGCAACATAGAAGCCACAAGCAACAGAGTTTGCCTGAACAACTGACGCAATCCCGAAGGTCGTGAAAAATGCAGTCGTACTACATCATATTTGAGGACAACCTCAGCACAAGGAGCGCCAGTGCACTGCGATGCAACCTTTGATACAGGTCGCTGATGGCCGTTTTACACCAAATGGAAGCCGTAAGCGTCACACCTTACATTGCAACTCCAACAGAGTATTGGGTACATTGGTCACAGGACAGAAGTGATACTAACTTGCAAACCATTCCACAGGAGAAAATGACTCGAAGTTCAAAATATGGACAGGGCAATCCGCCCGCTAAGAAGCATAAGTACTAAATGAGACCCTCTTTTGATATCCGTGTCCCGAGTATTTGGGGCCCATCCGCCTTTTAGGTATTAGAAGCAAAACTTCAGAAGCACCTTAGCACAAGCTACTTCAACTGCGGAACTCACATTATGTTTCGGCCGTTGTTGGTCCAGTGACCTGCTATGCTATGCTATGGCAAACATCGACAGCTCTTCTGCGTAGATAGGTGGCAGCCTATAGAAAAATTCCTGCAAACATTTACAGTTCAGCTTCACAGTGAGTGCGCATGACAGCGCATCCACTACAATCCAAAGCTTAGGGCAACGGAACTTCAGTAATCTCAGCTGAATAGGAAGCCATCAGGCGAAGAACCTCAGCCTTAACATCTACTGTTAACCGAAGCTTGAAACTGCGTGAACAATTGACGAAGCATAGGAGCAAGAAGTGAAGCGATGCGCAGCTCTTCATTGTACGTGACGAGCTCCGCTGTTATCGACCACTTGCTTTCAGCCTCGATTTCCCCTACAGCAGGTAAGCCTCACAAGTTGCAAACCTGAAACAATGAAATAGCACACCCAGCTCAATTCTGCAAGCGTTATTTAGTCTGACTTGTCTGTCTCGACATCCAATGAAGTAAAGTCTTCATGATCAACGCTGGAAAAACCTGGCATTCAAATATGTGAATAGGCAGAAGGGGTTAGGGCTCACTGGCCAAAGTCGCCAGTTCGGTACATCCTAATCTCTTTCCTGAGGGGATCCATCACAAACGACCGCGTGGTAGCCTAAGCCCACGGTTGGACCGGACACGAACATCTCCCCTACGCAGCCAACCGCCACAAACATTATGTCGCAATCTAGAACGTGAAGTCGTCAATACTGAACGCCACAAGGGGTCCCATTTGATGCTGACGAGCGCACAGGAATCTCCACCGTAAAACCGCAGATGGACTCGCTGGGACCGAAAGCGTTAAATAGCATTCGTGCAGGCATTCTGTGTAATGCCACTTTTAAAAGGGAGAAACTACAGAAGACTGAGACGCACTCTCCCGCACAGACCGCGTCAAGGTTTCACACGTGAATACAACCAATTTCAAGACTGGGTAATCTGCAGGGTGCAGCTGCATACCTTGCGTCGGCGAAAGGGCAACTGAATTGGCCCTCGTTGCAACGAGGGCATCGTGTATGTGCGAAACGATTTCAGGTATCATAGCTATACAAACCGATCCGCCTATGTAATGAGTGAGGAAGATTTCCTCGATGGAACCGTCCCAGAACAACTCGTGCGCCTAGAAAGCGTATCACTGATTGCTAACAATGGTAGAGACGAAGACCATCCTACCAGGAGCTGACGTGTTTCCATCGTACGACCAAGAGCAGGTGCAGCTTCGACGATACAGCGCACCAACTTCGAATGCGACTGTCACGCATTTCCTCGGGGAACCAATCAATCCACTTGTAAGACCTAGGTAAACTAGAGTGCTTTCCGGAAGTCCTGTGGGGAGGAGGTCAGGCTGCCATGTACTGCCTAAGTGAGACCATTTCCCCGTCACGGTGTCTATCGTGACAATGGTCCAGCGATGTACCCGTCAGGAATAACGAGAAGTTAGTCATACCGACGGTTTAGTGGAAGAGTATGATAGGCATGTCGATGTCGATGGCGAGATATGCTGCACCAACCTTTAGGATCGCACAAAGGACAACGATGGCCATTGGAGACTGCGTTAGAAAAAGGAGTACGATGTCACCGGGACGAACAGATAAAGCATCTTTCAAGTATCGCGCGAATTGGTTGGAAGCGGCGTCGAGTCCAGCATGGGTATATACCACTCTTCCATCGCATTCAAGGGCGACGTTGTCCGGATGAGTAATGGCGCGACGTGCCAGCAGATTGTGAACGTAAGATTAACGTGCAGGGTTCTCCGGATCCGCTAAACTGTTGATTTTGACGACAGAGGAAGTTCCTGCATGAACGCATGCTCGTTCGCAGTCGCCATATTGACTTCCACACCAGACAATGAGGAGTTAACGAGGAGTTGCTCAAATGCAAGAACGAGGTGGTCGAGCGTATACTGCATATCTTGCGCGTCGAAGGCAATGGGGTCGAACCCCAAAGTAAAGGTGAACAAGCGCGATGGAGTGTAGGTGTGTGTTAGATGGAGCGGCATGTCGTATGAGCAGAAATGCGATCACTGGGCTAAGGAAAATAGCGAAAACGCAGGCTCCTTGAGAATCTCTGCAACAGAGTGAATCACCTCGTTTATCTCTATCACGCTCTTGGCGACTTCCCAGGCTACCGAAACATGAATGACATCTTGAGCCAGTTGCGTGGATAACTGCTCTCGAAGAGGGGATATTGAAGCGAACTGAACCCGTTGAGGGACGAGAACGATCCCGGGAAATGCTAGATCACATTCCTCATTAGTGGTAAAACCGAAAGACGTCAGATGACATGCCTTTAGCAACGAGGACATCCTTAGTTCGGCGTGCTGTGACAGAACCACAGTCCTTTCAAGAGATGGCCTTTATGCCATTATGCGTTCCTTGTAAACCCTGTGATGATTCCCCCGCGTTGTCAGTATTGTCCCCGACATTATACTCGTCATTTAGCCGTCGAGGCTGTTTGTTACACCGTTTGTTCTTCTCGTACCCACAACAGGTTTGGGCATATAGACAGCCGGGTCTTGAATGCAAGTACACTAGAACTCTAGAACTTACAGGGAGGACTGGCGACTCGTCGGTCAGCTCGGATGGATGGAGACGCCATTTTGATGTGAACGTATTTGCACTCGTAAGCACGTTGAAATTTGTTCTGCCATCCCTTCGGGCATTCATGAATGATGGGGTGCCCTACACACGTACCGGAGCAGCGACTTGCAGCTCGCTGCCTTACCTGTATTATGCCCGGCACAAAATCGCCGAGACGACCAGTGCACGTGCAATCGCTTCAAACCATCCAATAATACTTGTCCAAGTGCCTGCTGAAGTGTACCCAATATAGCAGATAGGTTCGTAGATACAGTAGACACCTCAAGGCCTCATTCTTAACGCTAGTCTGTTCTGCAGTTGCATATACAAGGGTTACATCTTGTACCTAGATCTACTGTTACAAGGTCAGACGGGAAACACCTGTACATGTTGACTACATGCTTACACCATTCCTATGGACTGTATTGTCGTTGATGATGTGAATGTGTCCGGACAAATGTAAGGACATACTTGCCAAAATCCATGTTAGTTAAACCACTGATGCGGAGGGTGTTTGAGAGCTTGTACTCGGACCTTGCGTGTTGGTGTTGGTGGTGTCCCTCGAAATAGTTGCACCTGACCACTTGGCTTGCTCTGTGGCGCGAACGTCAAGCAACAACTGATATTTCGAAGTGCCCGCTCCAGCATCAAACATGATTCTAGAATGACGTATATTCAGATTCATAACGACGCGATCTGCCAAATGATGCTGCTTACCGTTGCAAATGAAGTGGATCATCATCTGGGTCTGTCAATGAAGACATAACCGACTCAACTGTTTCCGCTAATGCTCGCTGATGGTGGTGACGTTGCCGCGTTCGAGCGTGTGACAGTACTTACCCAGGAGTATTCCACCGTTCGACGGTAGTGATGAGCCTGAACTTTGTGAGATGACATCTAAGGAGTTGGGAAAATTGGCTTGCCTTCGATACTAGTTCGTCCACTTCTGCGCGGATCCCACACCAACAGAGCCACAAGATCTATTAACGAATGGACCATCAGTGTCGGAAGGTAGCAAGTCGATGCTGTCCTTGCCTTTCCAGTGATATCCTCCTCAAGCGCTCACTGTTCGTCTTCATCCCCCGTTGCACTAAGTTTTGCTTGGAGCGTCTCTACCTCTTTCGCCATGGAAGGAATGTTGAAGTGCCTACATATAGTGTTCAAGGCGTGGACTGCTAAAAGTTCGATATACAATGCCGACCTATCATATTCAATGCGACTGGCTGGACCTGCCCATCTGGAGCCGGGAAGCACTAAAAGGTAGAAAAAAAGAAAGAATAAGAGTACTCACGAGAAGTCATGTTCCTTGACTGGATCGCTCAAGGCAAGCCCAATGTATTCGAGTAGCTGTTTGTGATTGGAATTAGCGCCTACTGGTTTCTGTCGATAGAAGAACCTACGCTAGCACTCGGAGTTCGTGAGATGGACTCCAACTCGCGTGTCACTTTCTGCTTTTCACTAGCATACCGGCGCGCGCCAGACCATACAAGAGTTTGGCTCCGCTCACGCCAGAGAGGTAACACAACTTCAAGGCGCGGGTCCAGTGCGGCATTGGAATGCCGCTTTCCCCTGAATAGGTCTGCTAGTAAACTATGTGCTAACGCGGTAATGTAAGTTTGTGGGCGAAAATGCATATTGTGACGGGCCAACCTTCCACATTGCCCACAGAAATCTCATTACGTGAATCAGTTTCCATCATCGAAGGGAGCCTTTCAAAAAATGCTATTTTGCCGACCTTCGTTCAACGGTGGGTATGTGTGAGACGAAGCTGTGAAAAAAAAAAAAAAAGAGTACGCACGTAATTTCTGAGATACGGGAGACCAAACATGTCAGAGAAAATTTTGATTGTTCTATCAGTATTGTGTCGATTCTGTTGCCATCGTGGGTGAATATATGCGTGTTTCATATAATTGCCCAACACACCAAAGACTTGCGACGGGCTTCAGGTCTTCTAGATTGATCCTGAAGATAGCATGATCGGCATAGACAAACCCCAAGCATGATAAGAGAAGGTACCATATTCATGAGGGAGTAAAAGTGCTCCCTACATCCCGAAACACAGTGTCAGTAACAGCACACATAGTCATCCCACGGGCATACCGAATACTTTGGAATTGTTTCCTTCTCTCTTCAAAAAACGGTTTTCTTTGCCAAACTTGCGGGCTTGCGGCGGTATATAGTAGAGCCAAACCCTGTGGCTCTGTGGAGTGGTTCCCATCGCCTGAGGTTGAGGCTGACACTCAAGGTCAAAAAATGAGCAGCATACAATCGTTGTGGAAACTCACCATCCCCTGAATCCGTTCGTTTTCCCTCATCACCAGCTCTATCGAAGTCTGCGCGTTGTATGACTGTTATCACCAAATGTTTGTCTGCAGTACGGTTAGACAAGGCTTTCAGTAGCAGGGCCAAACATTCGTTGGTGGGAAGTGACAAGCCCTTTGGTTGACGCAGCTGAAGGCATCTGCCATCGTCAACATATTCTATAATACCGTCATCCGGTTTCCTGCTCCGCATGTCAACTACACAGGAGACCACGGGGAAATAAACTGAGCTCGTGGGGTCATTGCCAAGGGTCCGTGTATCCTCAAATATATTGCCAGTGCGTTTGAAATAACCATCGTCGTAGTCACCATAATCGCCCAGCTGGTCATATCAGACTTGACACATATGAGTATGAATGCATGACTTACTGCAACCCGTTTACCAGAACATCCTTCTAGCCCTGTACGCCATCCGTCCAGTTTGTACCAATGTGATTGTGAGTAAGATACAGTGTTTTGGACCCTGGAAACGCCGTGGGGATGTCCGTAGTGTTAGTCCTGTCGAAGCTGGATCCAGAGAATACCAAATCGATGATAGCCAGACCGAAACCATCGATTCTACATGCCAATAGGGCACGGAGATGAGACGGAGTCTTGTGATAGGGGATGACGGGCAAGCACACTTGGATCCCCGCATTACTGACAGCGAATGTGCGGAGTGACTGGCTGAGCGACGGGCACGCCACTTCAGCCATACAACTCTGCCCCAGTGTATCGGGTTGGTCGAGATACCCAGAAAGTGCCAGGGATTGCCGAGTTCGCCCTTTTCGATCTCCTTCATTAGTCCGTCGACAAATTCGCCGGGCTCCACCTTCACCATGGCACCACAGCCCCGAAAGTCGCTTGGATCCTGCCAGGACACTGCCTGCCCGCGGCCTGTGTGGATTCCATGCAAATATGCTGTGATTGCTGGATGTGCGGATGATTTCCAGTTGTAACCTCTGAAATGCCTTTTCACCCTCTCCATACAGCATGGGCATGTTCACTCCAAACAGCCCCATCAACGAATACGCCCGATCTTCTACACGCGTCGTCTTCCGGTCGGCGGCCCAGGACATGATTTGTGCGACTGGGACGCTTCGCAGCTAGGCCATCCCTCACAACTGCGGGTGGAATTGTCGTGATGTCCTTCAACACACATGCAAGACCTTGACTTCCTTTGGGGCGATGAGTTCCTGTAGCGTCCAGCCCCGTACAAACTACTCCGGCCAGCCATTGGACTTGTCGAACTTGTCCTCATCTCGCTTGACAGGGAAGACCTTCTCGTCGACGTCGTTGAGGTACGCATAACACACCTGTGCATTTCGGTACCACCGATACATCGAATTGATTGCCTCCGATAGTTCCGTACTGCTCTGTTTGTCGATGCAGCAGGTGTCTACCCACAACCATTCGTAGCCGTCCTTCGCTTGCTCACAACTCTTAATAATCTTTCGGTAGCCGCAGCGCTCCCTGACCTCATTCCTCTCTCCTTCCCCCATCTTCGTCAGCCCAGTCATCTCTTCGTAATTGACCTCGGCACCCCAGCGATGCGACAGTATGGCATAACCAGTATATTTGTCATCACGTTCCTTCAGGATTTCACCTTTGGGGTCAGTCTTTTGGATATCCTTTTCCCGGTCGAGAACAGCTTTCACGTCTAGTAACTTCATCTTACCCAGAAGTCAATGCAATATTCAACACGTCAACAAGGAATCACACATACTTTATTAGGTGTCCAATCCCGCAGAGTATTGTTTCACCTGGTGAGCTTTAGGCAATCACAAGACTAACGGTCGTTGCTGGTCGTAGGTGTCAGGGGAGGGACACAGGTGTTTTTCGGGGTGACTTATATATTCGGCAGACACGTGGAACAGGCGTTTTCGACTGGTACATATTATTTATTCGTTATTTGGTCTACGACAGCTTATCAAGAACATGAGACAAGACGACCTTCCAGGGTCCCCATTATTAGTTCATTGCGGTCATTCCCTCTGCAGTTGCAGCTATGGTATGTATGTAACAAGGCGGACCTAACCATCTACCAGGACACCCGTAGAGGCAGATGTCGATGAACTATGCAGACAACCATTATTGACGCAAAGAATGTCTATTACTATTTTCAGTAGATGTGTTGACCATATAGGGGAGTGCCAGAGTTCTTTTTTTGCACGGATACATGGTACAGATGGTTCGTTGCAAAAAAAAGTGCGGTGTGGCCTGAATGCTACAGCATACGTAGACCATCCCAAATGCCCCCAACTTGGAGCAGGGCCCTAGGCATTCTGTAATGATGCGCGCTTCCAAACAGCGCTAGAATCCCACCTTCATGTGAAGCTTGAAGGACGGCAAAAGGGCGGGCCGTGTTTGCATGCTGGAGACGATTGGTTGGTACCATTCCCAAACGATCACGATATTGAGGGTCCCATTAGAATTTGCGACTTCCATATGGCTTAGCTCAAACCATCAGAGGCATGATCATCTACTCACGAAGATCACAGGACATTCTGTCCGCCGAATGCAAGAACAGGAGAAAAGCATTGCGCTATCGGTGCGGGTGCTGAATTCAGGGTCAGCTATTCGAAAATCCACTTGTACCCCGCCAGAACATGTCCACTCACCTGACGTAGTATTTCGTGGAGATATCTTCGCAACATGTAGACGCTAGGGGCCAGTATCGAATTCCGGCAAGTTGCCCACGCGCCCGGGCATCGATAGACGAGATCTTCGTCGGTGGCGATATCACTAGTCTGCTGTATCACATCCTATCTCTGGGATTGGATGAGTGTACCGTAGGTAGATATTCCGATACAACACCACGCCTTCCTTCAACACGTTTCCGCCAAACCTTCTATGCGTGACTTCAGCAGATTTGAAAACGCCGGAACCTCCGGAGTCGTATAATGAGGCTTGGGGATTATTAACAAAATGGTATCATGTAATCCTCCAAATCTTCTCGATCTTGAAGAACACGTGACTTTGTAGTCTCGTTCCCAGCTCTGGGGATCGTTCAAAAGGTATTGATGCTTCCATGCGCTCGCAGCTATATCTGACACTAGATTCTGAATCTGTGCGGCTCGCATATATCTGCCAAGAAATGATTGGTCTTTCTGGCAAACTCTGCCTTCTGTGCCCAACTCAAAACACTGCTGAGCATGGGAAGGAATTTATTCACAATCAAGCCTTGGTGGCCAGCAAGCCATCTGACCTTCGAGTCGTTCACTATGCCATCGACCCTATGGGAGTTCCCTCTCAACTTCACGAGTGACACTGAGTCTCCCTGTAGTATCAAAATCAGTACCTCCGTCATGTGCCGAAGTCTTCGTTCTGTTCTTTCATGCCAATATCTATAAAGCCGCAAAGAAGTTCTAGGAACATTGTGCCCTCGGCATTTCGTCGCGACATGCAGAACGCTGTCTATCTATCCTTGGGATTCCTGGGTTTCCAAAGGTAGAAGGCTCAGAATTTTTTCGTGTATGCGGGAAGACCGATTTGACCCCGAAATCTTTGGACATGTCAGAAATTCTCTTAACGACAGAAGCGGATGCGAAAGATGCACTCCGTCAACGAATAGCTATCTATTTTGTCTGTGATGAATCGCCTGCCGGTGTGCCGACAAACATTTCTGTGGATGATGTGTTCCTTTTCCCATGCGGAGTACCGGCAATGTGGAATGTGCACCAACTCTTACTCGCATCGTGCCCTTCTCCGAAAAACGTTGTATCTGGGTAAGTGTGTCTTTGTGTAGAGGTGTCGTGGATTGTGCCATAGTAATTGCTTCGTCCCAGCTCTCTATACACAGACACTCAAAATTGTCGAGGAAAATGCCATATTCTACGGACACGGTCGTGATTATGACACTGATTGCCTATACACTATGCTCACAAGAAAGGTAGCCGAGAATCCTTCCGTGCCTCCCATACCTGCTCTCTACACGGAATGTTCATCGAAACCTCTACTACCTACCGTGAATATCCCGCGTAAACACAAACACTGGGTGCATCTGTGAATTCCTCTGCGCGCACTCTATTGAGGGTGGAGCATCCGAAAGTGAGGGCGCAGTTATCAAGCAAGTGTGGTATCCCAAGTACATAACTCCGGAGAACTACCAATCTCTGTCGCCGGCGTCTGCCTAGTGGCGAACAAGACCACGAGAATAGAGGGTATGGCGGCCTATTTTCACTCACGTTCACGAGTTTGGAGGCGTCCCGCGCATTCTACGATGCACTAGACGTCGCGAAAGATCCGAGTTACGGCACGGCGTTCACGTCGACCTATCCGTATACATTGTTGGGTCACTATTGGGAGCTGGAATTTGCGGCGGAGTATGGGGTAGAGGAGGGCTTGTTGAGAGTGGGAATAGCGTCGGAAGGTAAGGAAGCACTTCTTAGGGCTGTAGACAATGCGCTAAGGGCCGCTACGTCGGCTTGAATGAGTGTAGTGTCAGAGTCCACGACTTGTGAAGTGGTGTGGAAGACGGAAAGCCGCTGAAACGTATTGCTTATGAGTCGACATTGAGCGCGTGACACAACGCAGTTGTCACCCGGCCCGCTCTTGTTTGACTGGGACAATGGAGAACAAGTTACAAACAGAGTCGGGGATTGGCGACTCCACTCGCAGGCTACGATTCCGAGATCGTGGAGTTGTGCTTGAGACGCGACCACGTTGCCAGAACTAATGATGGGTATCATATCCAGTGAGTCAATTATGCGAATATGCACCCATATGGCGAGAATAGGGGGTATAACGTACCAGATAGTTCCTCCTACCAAATTCACCTTGGACGATGGAGATGTCCAATACTGCAAGTGCTTGGCACACATGAGTCAAACGGACAACCTTCCGAGGAAATCACCTGGGGAACAATCAGGAAGGTGCTAGGATTACCGCTTTGCATGTCCTAACTACTTACCCGAGTATCATGTTAGTGAAGCCACTGCCCGACCTTCAACCGAAGCCATAGCAAGAATTTCTTGTATCTTCCTCCAGTTCATCGCGTAGAAACCCCGTATAGGTGCGATCGTAACGATGCATACTCTCTCAGCTTGTAGGTGGATGCGGAAAGACCTTTTCAAGGGGACCGGATATCAGTCGACACCAACACACGACGAAATTACATTCTCCACCTCGGTTGTGAGTCGCTCGCTGTAACGTTCGGACCCGCGGGGTTGGGCCTGAGTCAGTGACCACCGATGCTTATCCCAAATGCAACGCTACGTTCACCCGGGTGAGTCTTCTGACGTGCAATTCTTGGATGTTGGGCTAACACCCGAGTATTAGATGCGTCGTGATGTGGCAAGCATCGCCCGCTCGCTCTGCATGGATGGTGGCAGCCCATGGAAAAATTCCTGCAAACATTCACGGTTCAGCTTCCCAGTGAGCGTGCATGGCAGCACATCCACTGGGACCTAGAGCTCAGGGTAACAGAACTTCAATAATCTCGGCTGAATGAAAGCCATCAAGCGAAAGATCGCAGCCTTTACATCGTCCTCGAACTGAAGCGTCAGACTGTGGACCATTGACGAAGCGTGGGGCAATAAATGAAGCAATAAGCGGCTCGTCATTGTGTGTGACAGGCTCCGCTGTTGTTGATCTTTTGCTTTCGGCAGCATGGAGAGCAGCCTCGATGTCTCCTGCATGAGAATAGGCGGAAGGGGTTAAGACTCACTGGCCAAAGTCGCCAGTTCGGTACATCCTAGACTTTTTTCTGAAGGGGTCTACCATGAACAACTGCGTGGTATCCTCTGGGTCTTCAACGTAGCCTAAGCCCACAGTTGGACTGGATACGAATATCTTCCCTACGCAGCCAACCGCCACAAACTTTATGTCGCAATCCAGAACGTAAAGTCGCGTTTTCCCTCCAATATTGAACGTCGCAGGGGTTTCGTTTGATGCTGACGAGCGCACAGGAATTTCCACCGTAAAACCGCAGATGGACTGGCTGGGACCAAAAGCGTTAAGTAGTGTTCGTCCATCACCAAGCCATTCTGTGTATGCGACTTGTAAAACGGAGAAACTATAGAAGATGGGACACATTCTCTCGTACGGACCGCGTCAAGGTTTCCCCGTGAACACAACCAATTTCAAGAATGGGTAATTTTCAGGGTGCAGCTGCGTACCCTAGGTAGGCGAAAGGGTAATTGAGTTGGCCGTCGTTGCAACGAGGGCGTCGTGTATGTGCAAAATGATCTCAGGTATCATAGTTATACAAACCGATCCGCCTACATAATGCGTGAGGAAGATTTCCTCGATAGAACCGTCCCAGAACAATTCGTGCGCCTGGATAGCGCATCGCTGATTGCTAACAATGACAGAGACGAAGATCATCCTACCAAAAGCGGGTGCAGCTTCGACGATCCAGTGCACCAAATTCGAATGCGATGCCATGCATATTTTCGGGGGACCAGTCGATCCACTTGTAAGACCTAGGTGAGCTGGAGGGCTTTCCGGATTTCCTATGGGGAAGAGGTCAGGCTGTCATGCACTGCCTAAATGACACCATCTCTCCGTCACGGTGTTTATCGTAACAATGGTCCGTCCCCGGCACATCGTACACAACTTCTGCTCCAGCCATGTAACCGTCAGGAATAACGCGGAGTTAGTCATATCGACCATTTGGTGGGGGAGTATGGGAGGCATGTCAATGTCGACAGCGAGATATGCCGCGCCTGCTTTTAGGATCGCATAGAGAGCAATGATGGCCGTTGGAGACTGCGTCAGAAAAAGGAGTACAGTGTCACCGGGACGAACAGATAAAAGCACCTTTTCAAGTATCGCGCGAGTTGATTAGAAGTGGCATCGAGTCCAGCATAGGTATATACCACTCTTCCATCGCATTTAACGGCGACGTCATCTGGATGAGTAAGGGCGCGACATGCAAGCAGGTTGTAAACAAGAGTACCGTGTGTGGTTCTCCGGTTCCGCTAGACTGTTGATTTTGACGACAGAGGAGAGTTCCTGCACGGATGCACGCTCGTTCGCAGTCATCATATTGACTTTCGCACCAGACAATGAGGGGTTAATGAGGAGTTGCTCAAATTCAAGAACAAGGTGGTCGCGCATATACTACATATCTTGCACGTCAAAAGCACTGGGATCGAACCTCGAAGTAAAGGTGAACGACCGCGATGAGGTGTGGGAAAGTGTTAGATGGAGTGGCGTGTTGCATGAGCGGAAATGCGATATCTCTGAGCTAAGGAAAATAGCAAAAACGCAGGCTCCTCGAGAAGCTCTGCAACAGGGTGGATTGCCTTGTTTATCTCTCATGTCAAATGAGAGTTGTGGAGACAAGAAAGTTGGCATGCCTTTGGTAATGGCTCGTCCACCTCCGTGCAGATCCCACACCAACAGAGCCACAAGATCTATTAACCAATGGACCATCAGTGTCGAAAGGTAGCAAGTTGATGTTGTCCCTGCCTTTCCTGTGACATCCTCCTCCAGGGCCCGCTGCTCGTCTTCATCCTCTGTTGCGCTAAGTTTTGCTTGGAGTGCCTCTATCTCTTGTATCATGGAAGGAGTGTTGAAATGCCTACACATAGCGTTCAAGGCGTGGACTGCTTAAAGTTCGCAGATAAAATGCCGACCTATCATATTCAATGCCTCTGCTTGGACGTGACCAACCATAGTGATGATACACCAATCTGGAGCCAGGAAGCATTGAAGGGTGGAAAAAGGAAAGAACAAAAGTACTCACGCAATCACTATGTATTTGAGTAGCTGTTTGTGATTAGAATCAGCGTCTACTGGTTTTTGCCGATGGAAACACCTACACCAGCACTCGGAGTCCGTGAGAACGACTCAAACTCGCGCACCACTTTCTGCTTTTCATCAGCAGACCGACGCGGTGTACGATAATCTGCACAAAGAATTTGGCACCGCTCGCCCAAAAGAGGTAAAACAACTTCAAGACGCGGGTCCTGTGCAGGCATTGGATTGCCGCGTGCCCTTGAATAGGTGTGCTTGTAAACCATGCGCTAACGCGGTATTGTAAGTTTGCAGGCAAAAACGCATAGTGTGACGGGCCAACCTTCCACATTGCCTACAGAACACTCACTGCGTGGATTAGTTTCCATCATCCAGGGGAGCCTCTCGAAAAATGTTATTTTTCCAACCTTCGTTCAATGGTGGGTACGAGTGGGACGAAACAATGAAAAGATGAGTACGCACGTAATTACTCAGAAGCGGGAAACCAAATATGTCTGAGAAAATTTGATCGTTCTATCAGTCTTCTGTCGATTCTGTTGTCATCATAAGTGAATATTTGTATGTTTCATATAGTTGCCTAACGCACCACAGACTTGTGACCGGCGTCAGGTCCCCTAGATTGATCCTGAAAGATAGTGTGATCGGCACAGACAAACCCCCAAGCATGATAAGAGAGGGTACCATATTCATGAGCGAGTAAAAGTGCTCCCTACGTCCCGAAACACAGCATCAGCAACAGCACACATAGTCATCCCACGGGCATACCGAATACTTTGGAATTGTTTCCTTCTCTCTTCAAAAAACGGTTTTCTTTGCCAAACTTGTGGGCTTGTGGCGGTATATAGTAGAGTCAAAACCTGTGGCTCTGTGGAGTGGTTCCCACTGTCTGAGGCTGAGTCCGATACTCAAGGTCGAAAAAGTGAGCAGCATACGATCATTGTGGAATACTCACGATCCCCTGAATCCCCTTGTTTTCCATTATCATCATCTCCATGGAAGCCTGAGCATTGTACGACCGTTATCACCAAATGTTTGCCTGCAGCACGGGTAGACAAGGATTTCATCAGCAGCACCAAATGTTCGTTAGTGGGAAGTGAGAGGCCTTTTGGTTGACGCAGCGCAACGTATTTGCCATTGCGACAATATGTCGCAGGATCATCAGCCCGATTGCTCCACTCTCCATCAGCCACGCGGGAGACCACGGGACAATAAACTGAGCTCATGGGGTCAACACCAAGGGTCCACGCATCCTCAAATATATTGCCAGTGCATTTGAAAGTACCATTGGAATAGTCACAATAATCGCCCAGCTGGTCACATCAGGCTTGACACATAGATGAGTATGAATGCATGACTTACTGCAACCCGTTGGCCAAAACATCCGTCTAGCCATGTAAGTCATATTGCACAGAGGAACGGGAGAAACGAAGAGCAATAGCAAGAACACTTGCCTTTATTCAGAACGGTAGTAGCATTTGTTGGTAAAGTTTGTTAAGCATTGAGGGGCTCAGTTGTTGAGTAGACAAGTGAAGAACAAATGTAGAATTCGATAGGGATTGAGGAAGAAATCCCTGAGTTTATATACATGAGTAGGTACGCACTGGACCAGTAGCATAAAAGGAAACTATTACTCAGTATAGTAAAGAATAGTGCAGAAGGTCATGGAATATGACATATAATATGATGTCACTATGACATCATTGTGGAGCTGATTGCTAAGAAATGTCATGTGATGACCAACGTGTTGATACACGTGTAAGTCTGGATCAATCTAGATGTCGGAACTATTAAGGATATTTCCAACACTCCCCCTCGCTCTAAAATGGTAGAGTCACAAGACCCATTGACGAGCGATTAGTTTTCGAACTTCTGCCAAGTTAACGATTTTGTAAGACCGTCTGCTTTTTGTTTGTCAGTTTGAACGTATTCAATACTGAACAAATTATCTTGAACACATTCGCAAACGAAGTGCCATTGGACGTTGATATGTTTTGAACGACCATCCGATACAGGATTCTCAGCTATGAAGCGAGCTCCCATATTATTGCAGTAGAGAATAGTTTTCTTGGTCTTGAGTTGAAGTTCTTCAAATAGCATAGATAGCCATTTGATTTGTCTGGCAGCATCGCATAAAGCCATATATTCGGCTTCAGTAGAGGAAAGTGCAATCGTCTTCTGTTTTCTAGAGCGCCAAGAAATAAGGGAATTGCCAAGATACATGGCATAACCGGTTGTCGAATGACAAGTGTCTTTATTAGAAGCCCAATCAGAATCTGCAAAGCCATAGATTCAAGATTCAAGTCCCGAATAATATAAAGCCAACTTTGGAGTAGATGCAATATAGTGAACTATATGCAAGGCTTTATTTCGGTGATCTTCAGTAGGATTTGCCATATATTGAGACATGCGAATAACTGCAAAGGCAATATCGGGACGAGTACCAAGAGCCATATAGAGTAATGACCCTATGATTGACTGGTACTGTGACCAAAGAGAAGATGTGGCTTGATAATCTGATGGTGCTTTTTCTGGTTGATATCCAGAGGGTAATGGAGTGCGAACATTTCGAGCAGTCTCCATGTTGAACCGTTTGATAACCTTTTTGACATAAGGTATTTGGTCAAGATAAATTTCTTTCTTCGACCTATCCTGGTGAATTTGAATGCCAAGGTATTCCTTGACTTCACCAAGATCTCTGGATTCCCATTTCTTCATAAATCGTTCTTTCTTGGCTTTTAGAAGATGTCTGTCTGATCCTAGAAAGAGTCCATCGTCGACATAGACAAGAAAGATGACGATTCCAGCTTTGGATATATGGATATAAATCCCAGCATCCACTTTGGATCGAATGTAGCCCATTGTGAGTAGAGATTGATGGAGGCAAGAGGATGAGTTGCACGTTTCCACGAAGGTTTAAAAGCTTCAGAAGAAAGTTTGCCTTGTGCACAACCTTTGCAAGAGGTAGTCTCCCCCTGTAATGTAAGATCTTGTTTAAGACCTAATCAGCAAATATGTCGGAGAACTGCTTGTGCAGGGTGACACATGCAATTATGCCAAAGAGACTCTTGTGTATCCTTGACCAAAGGGCAAAGGACCCCAAAAGCAGTGGTAGGTGGAAGCGGTATGCCCACAAACCAGTGTAGAGGTGAAGTCGGTGAAGCTACTTTCACTTCAAGGACAATCCGGCCATTTGGTGCTCTGATAGTCTCGCTAGTAAGTGTCGCAGTGCTCCTATACCTGTGATTGAGGAGCGCATTTCGAGAACACAGTCACTTTGAAAACAAAGGACTGTAAACAACATTATGTAGTGGCAGATTACTGCCATTTTCCAGGCGAATAACCACTGTTCCTTGACCGAGAAGTTGAACCTTTTTTGTGCCCGCAGTAGAGGCCAAAGGTGGATTTTGAAATTCTCGATAAGTCAAGAAATCAGTTTTAAAAGGAGTCACATGGTGTGATGCTCCAGAATCCAACATCCATAACGACTCACCCTTTGGTAGGTTCTTTTTTATATTTGCATATGACACACCCAAGGGGTACAAGTCATAAGAATCGAAGGCATGACCATCGAATTGCATGGGTAAGTACCCAGAGGCAGATTCGTTTGGATCATATTCGATGTCTGGATTATGCTTTATATGAAAAGATTTTACAACAGGCTTATCTGGCACAGATTCGTGAAATTGAGATAAGGACATAGGCTTAGCACGCTTTTTAGCGGCTTTTACAAGTACGGATTTTCGGAGAGATCCTCCATCTCTACTATTCTGTCCTCAAAGTCGAGGGGAAGAGAGATTAATAATCTGTTGTTGCGTCTCAGATGCATTGCCATTGTCCTCAACATTCCTATTCTCCACCAAGTTCTCGCCAGCCAAAATGGGAGTTCCCACTCGTACTGAGGGTTTGCAGGAACCACTCGTACATGTCCCGTCCTGCTCAGCAGGGGGAAGGGAAATCTTCCTCAGATGAGAGTCCAAGTACTCCTGTTGCTTCGGTTCCCGAAGGGAAACCTCCAGCAGGTTGCAAGTTGTGGCTGTTTGGCGACAAATAGAACATTGGCAAGAATTAGAGCCAGGAATGTTGACATGAATCGGTACTAACTCAACTTGATCCAGTTGGAAATTCAGAATTTCCTCCAGATACCAAGGAGCAAGATTTCCGGTTGTGACATCGACTGGATAATTAGGGGTTTCCCCCACAGTTTCCATCGCCATTTGTAAATCTTGGCGGGAAAGATCAGGATCATACATCTCGGTGTCAGTTATGACATGTTGACCAAGATATGTATTTAGGTCGGAGGAATAAACTCGTTCAACTGGAGTATTATCCAGGAGAGAATATTCAGGAGATGGTGTGTGGGATGGTACATTGATTGTGGTGATATCAAAATCTTCCGCATTAAAAGAAGCAGCGGCATTTTCGAAGTATTGTTGATCCGGGTATACATCCCAGGATCTTGAATTAGGATCATAGGAACCTTCAGGAAGTTCCTCGATATAGGCAGCGTCAATTGCTTCCGCGCCTTCTACTTTGATATTATGGGCCTGGGCTTTGCCCTTGCCACAACGCCTGTTTTGGCCTTGGCCACGAGAACCAGAACTTTGCTGCTGTTGTTGTGGAGTATAGGGAGTGTAACCTCCACGTCCACGTCCACAACCTCCGTGACCTCTTCCACGATTTCCACAGTAACCGCGAAAGGATCCTGATCCAGATCCAGATTGATGATCGGAAGTATTATGACCGCCTCTGCAAATTTGACAGAGTGGTGGCTTATTCATACGTGCCAGAAGAGAATTTGATTCTTGTTTAACCATGGTCGAAGATGACCCGGCTTTATCCTGTTGTGGAAGCATTGTTTTGCCCGATTTATGGGCCCAGACTTCTTTCATGCGAGGGATTACAGTATCAGGAGAGAGTTGATTGGCGGCAATAGAGGATAGAATATTGACCAGAGCTTGTTCCCAAGCTTGTGTCATAGAATGGACCAGAATTAGCACTTTCATTTTGTCATTTAGGGCGATGCCCTGAGTGCTGATCGCCGCGATGAGCATAGTGATCTCCGCGATCTTGGCCATTATGTCATCCTTCGGTTTGATTTGAATGCGAATGAGTCGCTGAAATTCCATGAATGTAGTCATGGCTGAAGGTGATCCGTAAGCACTTTTGAGTGCTTCCCATTTCAAATGAGATGACACTTGTCCGTCAATAGACATTGCGATCATTGGATCACAATACAGTGTGAGAATTCCTTGCGCACATGTGTCAGATGTAAGCCATGCAGGGAGAGTAGGATCTCCGGCTGCAGGTTGTGCCAAGGTGCTGTCAATGACTCCCATAATTCTGAGAGTTTGCATATAAGCCTTCATTAGAACCGACCAAGAGGCATAATTCAAGCCATTGAGCTTGGGGATCTGCTTTGAAAGACCTTCGGACATCTAGTGTCAAAAGTCCATAAGCAGGTGTTCGTATAAGAACGAGTGAGGCGGATGAATATCAACGGATGGAGGATTTAATTGATGAATCCGATTCCTTTTTGGTCTGCGAGCAGCTGCTCTAGCAGTTTGAGATGGATGGCATTTTCGTGTACAGGTGTTCTTGCAATAAGGACAGGGATTTCGTCTTTTCTCCATTTTGGTCTCTGGTGCCTTTGTACCTTTCTCAGCGAATCTCCAAGAAGAGATGCGAGAATTATTGCGCTCTAGACTTAAAAAGTCTAGTGGAGGAAAATAATGGTAGCTTAAAAAGCTCCAGTTGCAGTCATGCAACGGTATTCCATCCAAACAAAATCCCAAATAGGGATCGGCGCAGGAATATGGTACATTTAAGGCATAGGAATGATGAAAATGTTTGTCCTTTACAAGAATTTCCAAAACATTATATGATTCATACAAAGTACACGTATTAGTTGCTGAATGGTTTTGGCCGCCTGATGCATACGGTGCGTCCAGCAAGCTTGGAAGAAGATAACTTTTGGCGTATGGCTCGAGCTTCACGAGCTCGGCTAAGAGCCGTGGTGCGAATTCCGCGAGGTCGGGGTGCTGCGAGATAATCAAAAGAAGTGTCGTCCATGACATGTTCAAGATCGCATAGAATCTCTTCTGTTCCGGGCCAGTAAGCGAAGTCGGAGTTAATGGGGTCTGGACCCCATGAAAGATGCCGGTTAACAGCATTATATCGCACGGCAACTCCCACATCTGCTTCGTCCTGGTACCGTCGTATAGCCCTAAAGAGGTTGCTATCAAACTTGTTTCCTCCACGTCTGCATTCTCGGAACCACCCTGGGACACATCTAACGTCGGTGCTTCCGTCA